TTAGGATACAACTTTGAACAATTAAAATAAATTTTTTATTTCTAAACTACAATTACATCATGATCGTTAGTATTCATTGACTTAAGGGTTTTGTTTTTGTATTGCAAGGTATACGATGCTAATCAACTTCTTTTCTTCTAGTCACAATCAACCTTTTTTCTTGATCCAATAGATCACCATTGTTAATTTTCATTGGTCACAGGTTGAAGGCAGAAAGATTAAGGGTTTCCCAAAAGGTAAAACAACAAACAATTCTGATCATTATTTTGTTAGATAAGTATAAATAAACGACACGACTGATATATGAACAAAGGCAAATAAGTACTTATTATCTTAAGGTCAAGCTCAAGCTGAAATCTCACACTTTCTTGGACCAGTTGCTGCATCAAACATGTAAAAGATGTAACTAGATCTGGTTCTTTGATTCTGTCACTGGAAGTCTGGAACTCTACTATGTGGAAGAGAAGCAAGATTCTGAGGTTACACCATGTCCAAAATGTAGTCTACCGAGATACAATTCCATTGACATAATTACTTGTACATATACATTACAACGTAACAAGAGACAATTCCTCAATTCCATTGGTACATGATAAATTACACATATAAATCACAAGATCAAACTCCACTGGTAGATAGAGATCACACAAGAGACATAAGAGATAAGAGGAATGCACATAGAATAAATAAAAGATTAAGACATTTTTTCAGCTGAGAAAACGTGTGGAAGTTTATGTCTTAGACTTGAAAGGAATGGCTCTGATGACTATCTGATGGTACAGAGCAGCAAGAGCAGCACCAATGAATGGACCGAGCCAGAAGATCCACTGCACACACAGCAAACAGAGGATTACAACACATCAAAATTTCATACTTATTACGCTAAGCACAACCATTGATGTGACTAAAGAGAGAAACTTACATGGTCGTCCCAAGCATGACTCTTGTTGTAGATGATGGCAGCTCCAAGACTCCTGGCCGGGTTAATGCCGGTTCCAGTGATTGGAATAGTGGCCAAGTGCACCAAGAAGACAGCAAACCCAATTGGAAGCGGAGCCAAGATCTGCAGAATGTTCAACAACCCAAAACACATATCAGTTTACGTTCTATGCCATGAATATGAACCAAAACCAAGAATAGGAAAAATTTGCAAACATACAGGGACATGGGAGTCTCTGGCACTTCTCTTAGCATCAGTAGCTGAGAAAACAGTGTAGACAAGAACAAAAGTTCCGATAATCTCTGCACCAAGACCTGAACCTTTTGTGTAGCCATGAGCCACCACGTTGGCTCCACCTCCATTAGCCTGGTATGGTCCTGTTTGAAAACCTTTAACCACACCAGCACCACAGATAGCTCCAAGGCATTGCATCACTATGTAGAAGAGAGCTCTTGTTAAAGATAGCTTCCTCGCCAAGAACAATCCAAACGTCACCGCCGGATTAATGTGTCCTCCTGTTGATTACCAAACACAGTTTGCCGGAAAAAATCAGAATACAAAAATTTAAAACTTAATTAATCGAATTTTCAAACTCAAACCAAGAAATTGGCAAATTTCTCACAACTATTCAAGATTTCTTCAGTTCTTGATTCGGAGGCAAGAAACCCTAACCTGAGATTCCGGCGGTACAGTAGACAAGAGCGAAGATCATGCCGCCGAAAGCCCAAGCGATGCCTTGGATTCCGACAGAGGCGCACATGTTGGGAGCTCTCTTGACGCCCATGACTGTCAAAACGGTGATGTAGAGGAAAAGGAAAGTGGCGATGAACTCGGCTATGCCGGCTCTGTAGAAGGACCACGATTTGAGCTCGCCGGGTTCGAAAAACGGCGCCGGAGGAGGTTCCTTGTAGTCTTTGCTGTCCGTCTGCGCCGCCGTACCGATCGGCTGTCTCTCCGGGAACTTGTTAGCTCCCACATTCACGTCCTCTTCTTTGCCCTCCATTGTTTCTCCCTCTCACACTGTATGGATAATAATGGATGTGATTAAAAGAAAGTGAAACGATGAGGCTCTGCTTTTATAGTTGGGTCCATTAAGGCAAAATAAATTAAATTATTATACATTTGAACATTTTCAATTTTTCATTAGCAAGCTAATCACTTGCTAATTTCCAATTTTTTTTTGTTATTAATCATGTAAATTTCTCTAATATCATCTGCAGAATTATATATATGTTGATAGAGTTAATCCAGTGCATTTTTCTTTTTGATAAAGCAATCCAGTGCATTTTAAAAAGAATATATATAAGATAATTTAGTCAGAAATAGCTTAAACCTATCTATTAATCATAAACTGTGACTGCAATGGTTAGTAAGATAATTTTGATGTTTTGCATTTTCTCTCAGTCGGTTGAGCTATCATCAATTGTTTTGATGAACCAACATTTTCATGTTAGACTTTAAATTCGTTTAGTTTTTAATTTGTTTAAACGGTTATTGGTTTAGTCAGTCTTAGAGCAGAAACAAGTTTAGAATGATATTACAATAACGTGGGGGTGGGTAGATGAAATGGACTGGACAACGGCGAGAAAACGAGTGGACATAAAGATTAAGCAACTGTTATATAATTTGTTAAAACAAGTATTTTACAACTCAAAATGATGTGGACATATCACATTTGTCTCTATCACACAGCGCAAAACACACCTCACATGGACCATTAGAGTAATCGTCGAATCTGTTGTCATGTTGATGCCTTACCTAAACTCTGCATGTGTCAAATGATCGAAATATAACATATAGTTTTTATTTTTATTATTATTGTATCCCCGTGAATCCATAAGCACTAAACAACCAAGACTAGTCCGTGAATATAATGTAAATTAAGCACACATTTTACTTGTTTCGCTCGCAAAGACATTCTCATAAAGTCCTCAACAATGGGAGCTAGAAACCGAGGGACAGAAACACCAATGGTTTTAAATCACTGGTTTGAAATCTTAGAAGATCAAGCTCCAACAGAGAAATCAAGATACCGAAGAGTTGTGGGCAAACTAATATACCTGTCAGCGCATTTATCTCCCACAACATTTTCATTGTACATAAGACAAAAAGCTTTTTTAAATTTTGAATCCAGTCGCCTTTTGCCTCTCTAACTTTACTGATTCTTGTTTATCTAATTCTCTCTTTAAGATACTTTAATAACACAAGAATACAACAAGTGTATTAATAACTTGTACCACATAAGGGCAAGAGAAAACCACTTGTCAACTAATGTTTAAAGGTTGTTTGTTTATATGATTTTGGATTAGTTTTTTTTTTTTATTAATGGTTTCAGATTACTTACCTTAACTCTGCATGTGTAACCGTTGACTACTTTTCGCTTTAAATTTCATTTATTTACTTGCTCTTTTATTATTTTGACTAAATTAATTAACTTTCTCTTTATTGGATTTCTTTCATGGAAAGAAAAATGCAATGTGTAAATTCTTCAATCGTTTTGATTGCAAGTTATTCATTCATTATAACTGCTTCGTTTGATTCAGTATTACTCATTAACAGAGGAAAGATAGGAGCTAGCGTCGACTTTTGGATATGCCTACAATGGGTTCCTCCAATGGTCTTGTGTTACTGATTCTATTAGTATTAACAATCTCTCTTACGTTAGTCGCTGATGCATCTCAGAAACGCCGAGAAATACCATCGGAAGAAGAGATGATAGATCTGAAGAGGCAACTCAAAGCTATTAACAAACCTGCACTCAAGAGTTTCAAGGTTTGTCCAAATTAGCCTTCCTTTTGAAGAAACATTGCATGTGTTTATGACTACATATAAACTTATAACCTTGCGTTAATTAGGACTCTTATTTTTGGACTGACCGTGTCTCTTTAAGAGTGCAACTTCCAAAGACACATTTTTTTCAGATCACATCTAATGTTTGATATGCCTTGTATTTTGGCAGACCGAACATGGTTATATATTTGACTGCATCGAAATGGAAAAGCAGCTAGCCTTTGATCATCCTTTGCTCAAGAACCATTCAATTCAGGTTTTCATCTAAAATACACAAGTAAAAGCTAATAATAATCTTTTTTTTTTCGGGGTCCTAAATAGATTGAAATACCATATGCAGTTGAAGCCTACAAGTATACCTAAATGGACAAGCGATAACACCACTTCTAAAAGATCTAGTAGTTCTTTGCCATTTGGACAAGATGACATAACTTGTCCACTTGGGACAGTGATTGTTAAGAGAACTACACTTGAAGAACTTATACCACTTCAACGTTTAAAATCCGTAGGATTCTTCTATCCATCTTCAAAGAACAAGAACGCTGACAGTACGAATCATGTAAGAATCACCTTCTTGTTCACATATTTGAAACCCTTACACCCTAACATGTGCTTATAATATCCTTCTTCTTTCTTTCGATTGTCTTAGTTCGCCGCTGCTACTTACAAAAGGGACACTTACGGAGCATTAGGAAACATTAATGTATGGGAGCCACATGTCTCATCTGATCAATTTAGCTATGCAAGTATATCTGTCGCACGCGGCAGTGGAAACCAGTTACAAAGCATCTCAGCTGGATGGATAGTAAGTCAAAATCCAATTTTTACTCATAATATATTTATCAACAATTTAAAATAGTTATAAATTTGCAATTAAAAAACAAAAATATCCTTCAGGTGTACGAACTCCTGAACAAGAAACATAGTGTCTTATTCACGTACTGGACTGTAAGTTTCTAAAACATAATTTAAACTTGGTATTCATTATATGATATGTCTTCAACGGTTTATTAATCGTTTTTTTTTTAATTGGAAACAGACTGATGGGTTTCAGAAGACAGGTTGTTACAATACATTATGTCCTGGGTTTGTACAAGTGAGCAGAAAGTTTGCACTTGGAGCTCTTGCCAAACCAGTTTCCACTTATAATGGTCAACAATACCATTTAGAAGTGGGCTTATATCAGGTACATAACACCATTTTTCTTAAATTATCCCACACCCAAAAGTTGAGAAGTTATGTAATAATTAGGTACAATGTTCAAAAAATGGTTAAGGCGTTAGCTAGAAATTCAATAGGAGCCTATCGCTATCGATAACTTGACCCTTTTTTTTTTTTTAATTATGGTAGATAGAAAATAATCTTGATAAAATTATGGAACCAAAACCAAACCATGCATATATAATCTGAATTGCCACTTACTGCTTTTTGGTTTAAGCAGGATTCTGTTACCGGAGATTGGTGGTTTCTCATAAAGGATGAGCGAATTGGGTACTTGCCAAGATCATTGTTCAATGATGAAGGTTTAGCTAATGGAGCAAGTATAGTGTTTTGGGGAGGAGAAGTTTTCAGTTCGGTGAAAGAGAAGAGTCCAAGCATGGGAAGTGGACATTTCCCATTTGAGGGTTACAAGAAAGCAGCTTATGTAAATGGTCTTAAAGTGATCGATCACCAATTAGCAAAAGTTATAATTCCACCACCTACAAGTATACAATTGCTGGCAGACAGTCCACACTGTTATGACGCTGAGAAGGAAATAGGTAAGGGCGATTGGTCTAGAGCTATTTTCTTTGGAGGTCCTGGAGGGTGCACATTCTAGTTACACATCTCTTGTAAGATGTTTATGCATTTAAGTTTATATGTCTCCCTGTTTTCCTCTATTTAAGTTGAAGAATAAAATGGGTGTGTAATCTGATATTAAGGTTGATGTTCTTCTTTCTTTATACATTTTAGTTTATATATCCTCTGTTTTAACTAACCTTTCATATCTTCATAATTGTTAAATTAATTTTTAACATGTTTTACAAGTTAGACCAAGTGTGTGGTAGGTCTTTTAAGATCACAGATCATGTCGAGTGGTGTCAAAGCAGCCATGCTAATTTTCTTTAGTCCCGTAGGAGAATTTTGCACAGCTCTGATACCACTTTATACAATGGAAACATCGATATTGCCACTCTGTGTCTCTTTTATTTAGTTTAGATTCGATAACGTAATGTCACTACAATCAGATGCTCAAAGGTAAGCTCATTACTGATTCATACTGATATTTAAGAACTGGGCTAATTTTTTTTTTCCATGAACACACTTGTGTCACTTTTTTCCACTTGTTTGTTTTTGGTTTTAGCTTTATTTTTATTTCATTGACTAATCATATTAGTTGACTTAACTTACATTTTGAGATGAAGAAAGAAGAATGGGCAAAGCTTAGCCAATAATGAACTTACCTTATTGAAAATCCAATTAGTTGACTAATCAAATTAGTTGACTTCACTTACATTTTGACTATACTTTCATATTGTGAGCTTTGTTGTAAATCCAATGTGAAATGCTTGTTGGTAGTGTCTGAGCCTGACCTTATCGTTTTTTGTTTCATCTAATATCTTTTAATTGAGGCACAATTAGTTAGCACAAGAATACAAGAAGACAAAATTGTCTCTAAAGTTCTGCTAATGACTCTAATTTAAGAATCCACATAAAGTGACTTAGAAAGAGAAACACTTGCCTGTCATTGTTATATGTATAGGTTCATCGTAGGTATTTATGTTCTTAAAAGTAGTGTGACTCCAACATCTTATAGCCTTGATTCTCAAGAAAACTATCAGTTGCCTTCATTTCCTCCGATAGGCTTCTTCCGCTGACTTTTGAGCTCTTATTTTAGTTGCAGAGATTCGCAAAACAATCAAGTTTATTTTTTCATTATAAAAAAAAGTTGTTGAACATGAAGTTTATGCCAACAGAATCACTTTTTTTTTTTTTTTTAATCACATCAAGTTTATTGCCTTGTATAATACGTAGACTGCATGAACATGGTGATGAGTTATTCTATTGATGTGATCAAAGAAAAATAAAATGTGATTCTGATTGCATAAACCATGTTTAGTCGACAGATATTTTCCTTTTAATTACCTGTAACCTTTAATTACTTGTAGCTTTGAATTCCATTAATTAACTTGCTCTTTATATTGTTTTGACTGAATTAACTTGTTCTTTATTGATTTTCTTTCATGGAAAGAAAATAGGCAATGTCTGTAAATTCTTCAATCGTCTTTGATTGCAAGTTGTTCATTATAACTGCTTCTTTTGATACATTATTCATTTACAGAGGAAAAATTGGAGCTAAATTCCACTTTTGAATAAGTCTACAATGGGTTCCTCCAATAACCTGGTGTTACTGATTCTGTTCGTATTAGCAATTTCTCTTACGTTAGTCGCTGAAGCATCTCAGGGACACCGAGAAACACCATCGGAAGAAGAGAAGAAAGATCTGAAGAGGCAACTCAGAGCTATTAACAAACCTGCACTCAAGAGTTTCAAGGTTTGTCCTAAATAGCCTTCATTTTGAAGAAACATGACATGATTTTATGAATACATATAAACTAAACTCTATGACACTCGGTTTCCAATTTTACTTTTGGACAGACTAAACAGGGTATAATATATGATTGTATCGATATTCACAAACAACTAGCCTTTGATCATCATCTCCTCAAAAACCACTCTGTTCAGGTTTTTGCTTTCTACACAATTTTCTCTTCCTCTCTATTCTCTTGTACTAAAGATGAAGACTTTGATTGAATTTGTGAACGTATTTGGCGTACATGCAGCTGAAGCCAACCGTTTTACCTGAATGGATCACATACAAAAACATTTCACAGAAAGTTAGTCCCTTGCAGCTTCTGCAAAAGGGCATAAGTTGTCCAGATGGAACAGTAATTGTTAAAAGGACTACAATGCAAGATCTTATGCATGCAGAGCGTTTGAAATCCGTTGGATTCAATAGCTCAAATCGTCTTCCAGCTGGACATCATGTAAGAACCCTTACTTTTGCAAGTATAAATTAAAACACCATTTCTCTTCTTAATTAGTTTATTTGTTGAATATGGATATTAGTATGCAACAGCCGATTATAAACGTACCAGCGTTTCTGGAGTAAAAGGAAGCATTAACATCTGGGATGTACAAGTGGCACAAGATCAAGTTAGTATGGCAACCATGGCCGTTGCCGGAGGTCCTGTAGAACAACTCGCCAGCATTTCAGTTGGGTGGATGGCAAGTCAAGTTTCTCCTTCTTTTCTTTGTCCAAAAAGTCACATGAATCATGAATGTGAATGTGATGGTGAAATTCTAATATTGACTACAGGTGAATCCATGGTTGTACGGAGATCACGTACACTTGTACACGTACTGGACTGTAAGTTTTGAGTACCCATTTGAAAGTTTACGCTAATATTTTTTCAAACTTCCGGGTAGTCTTAATTAGTGCAATGGTGGTTGATTTAAACAGGGAGATGGATATAGAAGAACAGGCTGCTACGACGTTAGATGTCCAGGATTTGTGCAAGTCAGCAAGAGGATACCACTTGGTGTCCTTATTCAAAAAGTTTCAATTTATGGTGGTATACAATATCAAATGGACTTAGTCTTGCATCAGGTAAAAAACAAGAATCAAGATTCTCTAGTAGTGTTCTCTGTTCTTAAGTAATTTTGAATATTCATCTTTTTAAAACCGGGAACAGGATCATGCCACAGGAGATTGGTGGTTTATATTTGGGGGTGAGAACGTTGGATACTGGCCAGCGTCGTTGTTCTCGCCCGGGGGCGTTGCGAACAGAGCAAATTATGCATCTTGGGGAGGTCAAGTGTATAGTCCATTGACAGAGGCGAGTCCAGTTATGGGCAGTGGGCATTTCCCAGATGAAGGTTTTGGGAAAGCAGCTTTTATAAACGGTATCCAAATCATTGATGGTTCTGGGACAGCTTTGATTCCACAAATCTACACTATAAAGACGCATGAGACCAGTCCAACTTGTTATAAAGCCAAGTATATTCATGATGATGAAGAACCTTGGATAAGAGCTATTTTCTATGGAGGTCCTGGAGGTTGCATAGGGCAATAGTAATCTATGTTCTGAAAATTTACATGATCTTAAGAAATTAAGATAGGCTATAGGAGAAATTCTATAGATTTGCAATATATCAAAGCATTACTTATGCTTTTATGAATAAATAATCAAGTATTACACCTCTAGAACTTTCAGCACCAACTTTTTAATGTTTCTTGAACATAGATTATGTTCAAACTCACCTAAAAGTTAAGAAAAAAATCAACATATTTCTTGGCTGCAACATCAGGTAACTGCCTAATTCTTAATTTGATTTTAACAGATTTCACATCAAAGATACGGTAAAATTGATAAACTCCCTCTATTTAATTTAATTTTATTTCATTCGTGGTTTTACATTTTTCAATGCAAACAAAAGTTTCTTAAAGAAAAAGAAAAAAAAACATGACCTTTCTAGGGTCGCTAGGGCTTGCTCTATCTCCTCTACCATGTTAAGAAGCAAACCCTAGAAAGGACTAGATATAAAGCTTCTTAACATTCTCAGCTCACAAGACCCCAAAACAGTTAAAGATGCCCTTTCTAGGGTTTGCTCGATCTCCTTTACCCTTTGTCCGATGTCAACAGTTCAATAGTCCATCGTTCGGTTTTCATCACGTCGATTGGTATCAGAGCTACGCATGATGTAATATAACCAAGCGTCGCTCTGATACCAAATTGATGCCATGGAAACATCGATATATTACCTACTTCCGTATTTGTTAGTTTGTCGTGATCACTTATTCACTTCTATGTTTCAGGTTTCGTCTCTCTCAAAAAGAGAAAGTGGCTGAAGATCTCCCACGAGTCAAACTCAAACAAGAGAATTCCATAGTCAGAGATTTTAGTTTCCCCTCATGAGGGGTATGGATCTAATCTAGAGCTTTGGGGGTTTCTTAGAGCAGAATAGGCCATAAGTTTTGGAGGTTTTCTGTATCTCTTTTATCGTTTTGTTCTGAACTGGAGTCATAGTCGCCTATACACCTACTGGACTGTATTATTCTTAAATAGCTTTACAAAGACATCTAGACTTTTCTGGTATTCTTATGAGTTATGATGGCGTGTCTCGTTATCAATTGGTATGTGTCGTATTGTTTAGTTTAAAACACAGGCATATGTCTTTAACAAGACAGTTGCTATAATTAAATACATGCATTATGTCCTGAGCACCAAATTCCCACTTGGCTGCCTTCTTACACAAGTTTCCACTTACAGTGGGGAACAATATGTATGAACTAGGCCTAACATAAAAGGTCTTGCATCAACTTCCTCATATTTGCTCATATGAGAAGTTCCATAAAATGAAATGAGCCAAATCCACCAAAATTTGAGGCTCTTTGTTAGTTAAGATAATGCAGTGTGTTTTTGTCTAGTCCACTGAATGAATATATGTAAGGTCCATATGTATCAGCGCCTGTTTTAGCAGGACCGCAATTCACGAGATTTGGGGTTGGTTTTGTTTGGTCCGACACTATATCTCTCTGCATTAGTATCCTCTGTTTTCTCTTTTAATTTGAAAAAATAAAGCGGTATGTTCTCATCTTAGATCTTAATTTTTGTGAGATTATAAAGTAATACTACTAGAATGTTTTGGACCTTTTGGTTGTGTAATAAAATCAATTAAGTTGGAGACTAATGGGGTCTACTTTCTAGTGTCCTTTTTCAACATTTATGTTTCCTTAAGTAAGGCTTTAGCTAAGGTATGAATATGCGGAGTTGTATCAGAATTGTTTCCTCTATTTTTTTTTTTTTTTCTGTAACCGTTACTTGAGCCTAAGATAAAAGTCAACTTCATTAATGAAGTCACATTTTATTTGATTTATTTTTCCATGGATTGGTGTAGGCCATTCGACTGTAACAGTGTAACTGATATCAGCACTTAAATTCATTGCCAAAGAAAGATAAGAGCCTCTTTGCCAAATATATAAATAGTTTCTCTTTTTCACTAATCGCTTGGAAAAAAAATAGTTACCTTTGGAATTATAAATACTCCGGCATGAGTTTCTCTGAAAAGCTTCTTTTGCTGTTTTTTTCAGCAGTAGCTCTCATTCTAGTTGTAGAGAGTCACAGAAAAACACCTCTGAAAGAGGAGGAAAACGAGTTGGAGAGATTACTCAAATATATCAATAAACCTGCTATCAAGAGTTTCCAGGTAAGTTTAATATCATTTTAGGTTTTGGTTGTTTATGCGACAAGAATATATCACTTTCTTGTCAAATCACATAAAGTTTATTGCTTTGCGTTTTGACAGACTGAACATGGTGATATATTGGACTGTATCGACATTCAAAAGCAGCTAGCCTTTGATCATCCTCTGCTCAAGAACCATTCTATTCAGGTTTTAAGCCTATATATAACAAGTTCCATACTTTGGGTAGAAATTATCAAAAGATCTAATTTTGTGTGTGGTTTGAAATATTATGTGCAGCTGAGGCCTACAACCATACCTAAGTGGACCATAATAAATAACAACAATTCTAAAGAAAGTGGCTCACTGCCGTTTCGACAAGATGGGATAAGCTGTCCACTCGGGACAGTGATTGTTAAGAGGACCACACATGAAGATCTTATACAAGCTCAGCGTTTGAATCCATGGGGTCAACGTATGTTTCTTCAAAGGGAGAGAAAATTGATTTAACCGGTTTTCATGTATTAAACCAAACTAATACATTCCCTTCTCCTTAGTGGCAATTTCTCATTATACTAGTAGTGACTTCTTTCTTGTTATTTGTTTCTCTTTATACTTTAGTTTGCCGTGGGTGAGTACAAATATTACCATTATGGAGCCAAGGGTAACCTTAACCTCTGGGAACCAGAAGTTTCACCAACTCAATTCAGTTCTGCAAGTATGCTTATTGCGGGAGGCTCTAACGAACAGTTTCAGGCCATTAGAGCTGGATGGATTGTAAGTAAATATTTAGTGTTTTCCTTTGCTTTCTCCGAATTTTACTCATTAATTTTTATATCCCTACAGGTGTACCAATGGCTGACCAAGAATCAGAGTCGCTTATTCACCTATTGGACTGTATGTTCTCAAAAATCTTTTAAGAGCTTTAACGAGAGCATCTTGACTTTTCTTCATTTCTCATGTTGTGTCTTGTCCAGATCATATATGTGAGTTGTATATTCTTTGATTCAAAACAGGCAGATGGGTTTACAAAGACAGGCTGCTACAATACACTATGTCCCGGTTTTGTACAAGTGAGCACCAAACTCCCACTCGGCTTACTTCTTCAACCAGTTTCTAGATACGGTGGCCAACAATATGAAGTTAACGTCAGCATTTATCAGGTACTACCGGTGTTCTACAAATTGTTTACATGAAATGAAAGTGGAAGTTGAATGAAATGAGCCTAATCTACCAAAACTTGATGCTCTATGCTAATGAGAATGTGCATTGTTTTGCTTTTCTCATAGTCATTTGAATGAATACTGTAATGTCCAAATTGTAACACTACCTGTTTAAGCAGGACCAAATTGTAGGAGATTGGTGGTTGGTGGTGTTAGGCGAACAAGTTGGGTACTGGCCAAAATCATTGTTCACAAAGGAGGTTTATGTAAACATACTTTTACATGAACCCTAAGACCTTCAAACATCCAGAGTAATCACATAATAGAATCATAAGAGTTTATAGATGACTTACCTCCAGCCATTGTAGAGAAGAGATGGAGGTATTGAATCTGAGGTAGGTGATTAGGTTTCTCTCCCCTTGCCTATGAGCTTTATGTGTCTTGACTTTTGGGATGCCTTTACGATGGACTAAAGGCATATATTTATAGGTGGAGAGAGGACCTAATTCCTCTTTAGGGTTTCCTTAAAGTTAATCTCAACCGTCCATCAAAGTAGAGATAAAAAGGAAATACTCCATTATATTTAAGTTAATTAAATACCAAATATGTTATGGAATAGTAATAGCCCAATAGGAAAACGGATTAATATAAGACCATATAATAGGAAGATAAACTTATCTTACAGTTTAGACCATGGAGCGAGTATGGCATCATGGGGAGGAGAAGTGTATAGTCCAGTGAAAGAGAAGAGCCCAAGCATGGGAAGTGGACATTTTCCGAAAGAAGGTTTTGTGCAGTCAGCTTATGTGAATGGTATTGAAGTTGTTGATGATTTTGGAGGCACATCTTCGAGGCCAGAAATTTTTACAATAACGCCATATTCAAGCACTCCAAATTGTTACAAAGCCATAAAGAAACCTGGTAGTAGTGAAATTTGGTACGACGCTATCTTCTATGGAGGACCAGGAGGTTGCGTATTCTAGTTAACATGTGTTTTATTTTCTGTTTTTCAGTTTTGTAAGAACTCTCGTCTTCATGTATTCTCTGTTTTTCTGCATATCAAAGCAATTATAGCCTTGATTCCCAAGAAACATGAGATGGCCTTACTCATATTCTTTTTGCTGTGTGTCTCCTCATCATTTATATGTGTCGTCTTGTTTTGCTCAAAACAGGCAAATGTCTTTAACTAGACAGGTTGCTATAAATACATTACGTTCTGGGTTTGTACAAGTGAGCACCAAATTCCCACTTGGCTACCTTGTTATACAAGTTTCCACAGTTCCAATAAACATGGTGATGTATTATTCTATTGCATCGACATTCACAAGCAGCTTAGCCTTTTGATCACCCTCTGCTAAAGAATCATTCCATTCATGTTTTATTTCAAGACGCTAGTCGAAATTCTTAAATGATGTTTTCTGTACGGATTGACATTAGCATTGGAGCTTACTTAATAGTTTACTTTTTTTTTCTTCTTAAAACTTTTCTGTTTGCTCTAGCTGAGGGAGAAGATTTTATCTCTCAGTATTTACATACACAGATGAATCTCACATTTTTTACCTTTTAATTATATGTAACCATTAATTACTTTTTGACTTGATTGCAAGTTGTTCATTATTACTGGTTTATTTTGATTCGTTATATATTCATTTACAGAGGAAAAATAGGAGCGTACGTCTGACTTTTGGATAGGTCTACAATGAGTTCCTCCAATAATCTTGTGTTACTAATTCTATTAGTATCAACAGTTTCTCTTACGTTAGTAGCTGAAGCATCTCAGGAACGCCGAGAACTACCATCGGAAGAAGAGAAGAAAGATCTGGAGAGGCAACTCAAAGCTATCAACAAACCTGCAATCAAAAGTTTCAAGGTTTGTCCAAAATATAGCCTTCCATTTGAAGAAACATGACATGAGTTTATGAATGCATATAAAACTTTAAGACGCTCGTTCTCCAATATTTCTTTTGGACAGACCAAACACGGTGAAATATATGATTGTATCGACATTCACAAGCAACTAGCTTTTGATCATCCTCTGCTCCAAGACATCTCTAATATATGCTCCAAGACATCTCTAATAACAAGCAACTAGCAAATCCATATCTGTTCATGAAGATAAAGATCCTTGGATAAGAGCTGTTTACTTCGGAGGTCCTGGAGGATGCATAGGCAAATGATCTATGATCTGAAGAGTTACAAGACATCTCTAATATATGCATAAATCTTTAAATGTTTCTGACTTCTGAGGGTGCAAATAATGAAACTATAGCCAAAATGTAAAATATCACAATCAAAATCATAAGTTATCATCCTTTCTAATACCGACATAATGATTAGTTAACCAGAAATGTGGATTCTACTGTTACTGCTTTTCTCTGAAATATATCTTAAAACATCTTTTAATCATGTCTTTAATATAGATATACCCCTATGCATAGCATAGCTTGCCCCTACTCTATACCCCTAAGCTCTTAAGAGGAGCAAATCTTATATAATATTATGTCTGAACTTCAAAGCTCTCTGCAGCTTCCTGTGTTAGACTTAACACAACCGATTCAGTCCTCTGTTCTGTCTTCTCTCTCTCAGGCTTGTAAAGAGTGGGGATTCTTCTATGTCACCAATCATGGAATCTCTAAAGAGATGTTCAATAGGATCTATTCATTGTCAAGAGATGTTTTCAGTGTTTCTCTTGAATCAAAGCTCAAGCTTGGCTCCTTTTCATATACTCCTCGTAACATCGCCTCTCCTTATTTCGAAAGCCTTGTTGTCTCTGGACCTGACTTCTCCGGTTCTGCAAAAGCTTCTGCAGATGTTTTGTTCCAAGATCATCATAAACCAGAGCTAAGGTTGTCACTACTACACAAATCAATGTTTTTCTACTTCATCTTCTGTCTTTATATCTGTTTCTTGGCTTGACACTTTTTAGTTCTTCTCTGTTTTGGTTCAGAGAAACACTGCAAGAATATGGCGCTAAAATGGCGGATTTGTCCAGAAGACTCGTGAAGATACTCTTGATGATGACATTAGGAGAAGAAACCGGGAAGAGTTTCTATGAAACTGAGTTTAGCGATTGCCATGGATACTTAAGACTAGTGAACTACACACCTCCACAAGACGTAGAAGAGCAAGAAGAGCTCGTTGAAGGTCTTGGGATGCACACGGATATGAGCTGCATAACAATAGTCTATCAAGATTTGGTTGGTGGACTTCAGATGAGGTCTAAGGAAGGGAAATGGATCGATATAAATCCGTGCGAGGATCTCCTTGTTGTTAACATCGGAGATCTTATGCAGGCTTGGAGTAACGGACGGCTGAGATCGTCTGAGCATCGAGTGGTATTGAGAAAGTTGGTGAACAGAGTCTCTCTGGCGTTTTTCCTCTGTTTTGAGGATGAGAAAGTGATACGTGCGCCAGAAGAAATCGTGGGGGAGGGAAGTTGCAGGAGCTACAAGTCGTTTAAGTGTTCGGATTATCTGAAATTCAGACAGAGTAATGAAGTGGGGAAGTTTGAGAGGATTGGTTACACTGTCAAAGACTTTGCTGGACTAAACTTGCCTAAACCAGATGATTCGTAAGAGACAAAACCAGTGTGTCGTTTGTAAAACATAAACCGGTTCCTGGTTAAGAAGGAGGAAAGAGCTTACGATCTTGGTGACTTGTGAGTGTCATGCAATATCAAATATTAGCTAGTGGAATCCAAAGCTACTTTTGGGTTTTTTATTTTTGTAATTTTTGTTGGAGAAACCTTTTCATGAGTCGTTCGATTACCATCTAAAGTAATGTTTCAGAGGTTAATTTTGACATGTTTATTCAAAGTGGGGGTATTAGTCAAGATAGACTCAGTTAAATGGTGAACAAAGAAGCATAAGTGTGACCCACAAATGATTATGTCCTGTTAAGAGCACTAAACACTACTTTTGTCATTAGATCTTATAGTTTGTCTAATCGAATTTGATTTATACAAAGTTTAAAGGTCTAAATTTTTTGTACATAACTGTCTCACTCACTGAATACTTTTCAAAAGAAACTACAGTTAAGCTGAAGCCTGCTTCCACTTCAAGCTGAATAGCATTATTATTATAGTGGAGCCAACACTCCATTGCAAGAAAGTTATAGCTATGTTACTGAAATGCGAAAGTTTGATAGATTCAATGCAAAAGGTTGTACAGAGCTGATAGTTGAAAGAGAAAAATCAACTGTAAAGTCTTAACTACCGAAGAAGGAAACTCGAGATGGAGCACAAAAAACAAGAAGATGACTTCAGTTATAATCAAAACCTGTATGTACGAGAAATAAACTATCCGAAGTACGTGAAAGCTGATGACTTCTCATGGAGGCCGAAGAAGTTTGTTCACAGCCGTGTCAAGAACATCTACATTTCTCCTCAGGTGCTTTCTACAGATTGATTTATTAAGGATTGTACAACAAATTCCGTCTACACCATACTTAAGAAAAGCTTTGAACTGACAGGGTATGTCTCTGTCTTTGTGTTCAACATTTACACACAGATTCAAACATGTTTGACACGCAAAGAACCATATTAAGGATACAACCGAGCCGCCAAGTTCTCAACGCCTTTAATTTCCTCGTTTAATCTGCATGTCAAGCCAAATTTGCCAAAAATAGTCATACATTTTTAGCAGAAGAACTCGTTCACAACTCTGAACGCATTTGAAAGTTAAGAGGTCAAGGCTTATGAATCATCAACATATTTGGACACAGAGTAATATCAACATCATGATGAAAATACCTGAGGCAAGAGTTGATGTATCGGTTCCCTTTAGTAGCTGCATCTAGAGCTGTAAATTCATCAAAACAAAGAAAAATGGCTCAAATTTTACTGTTCATTTATAAATAGCAAACTGAAACTATTGCTCTTAGTCTTTAATTAGATTTACAGCAACCAGTAGACTCAAAACAGGTAGTTTACTTATCTTACCGGTTACTTGAAGCCGTCCTGCTGCATCTCCAAAGCAACTCATGTGATCAACTGAGCTACCAGTAGCCTGTTAACACCATCAAAGAAGTCTCATAAACCACACAAACAAATATTTTAATCCAATAAACCATCCTGAAAAAGAATCAGTTTTCCGAATAAATGCCATCAAACTTAGCAATGCTTTCATCGTTCCACGAACATCACATTATCAGGTGAAACAAGGATTATGATCAAATCAGAGCTCGAAGTATAAACATTGAAATTTGTTTCCTTTTTATCCAATTATCTAATCAGACACACTCTAAGAAAGTAAGAAACTAAACAATGCACTGATGAAATCTCCCAATCTCAGAATCAAGTCAGTAATTTGAAGCAAGCTTAGAGAAAAGCACGCAAATCCTATCCCAAAATTCAAAAATTGTTCGAGATTGATGGATTTAAAAACCTAGACTTTAATTCGCCCAAATGTCATATTTTCTGGGCAACAAAATGATGTTCAATGCAAAAGAGAGAGACTTTAATCGGTTCACATATAAGCGTATTCTAACCTCAGAGAGAGTCGATCGGAGGGAAACAAAGAGAGACGAAAAGCTCTCCGCGATTGCCTGCGAATCCTTCTCGACCGTAGCAAGGGTTCTCAAAATATCCCCCTGGTTCAACGACGACGTCTCCGATCTTCCGCCGGTGTCTTGATTCGACCCAGGTTCTGCCGCCGATGAATCGTCATCCACCGGCCGATCCACGTCAACTTCTGCTCCGGCATCCATTTTCCAGTTAGTTATTTCCGGTGGGTTCTCGATGTGGCGTCATTTACATGTCTCTGGTCTCCAAGTTTTAGGAAATTAAAAAGTCACCCCACTACTATTTTATCTTTTCATAAATCCCCTAAATTTAAAACGCACCCCCACTGAACCGGTAACTATACAAGCAAAATAAATTTAAACCGAAATTGAGAATTAGGCTCATGAGAGTGAGAGACATCGATTGATGATCATTTTCCAAAGTCTAAAAGTTAGAAAATTCAATGACAACTGGTCACTTTCGTACAGCACAAGTGACTGAAATTGAGTATTCAAGATCTGAAAATCAAACACAAGAGGAATGACAAAAATCGACGACTTGTTATTAGTCTTCTGATTTGTGATCATACGCTCTTGTCCTGTCTCTGCAGATATATGCGTGGAAAGATCTGTTTTTTCACAACCAATGATAATATTATTCCCCCTCCTCAGAAAAGAAAAACACTGTTTTGTAATCTTTGTTGTTGTCAGGTCATATCAAACATTGTCTGCTCTGTTTTTGTTTACTAGCATATCGATCATCACGTTTGTTAGTCCTCATTGAAAGCGATGCTATTGTATATATATGAATATTCTTATCCACAAACCAATTATTGGTAACGAGATCTTAAATCAAAAGCCTAGTCCGGAAGGATGACTTAAAGACTTAAAAGATAAAAAGCATCCCACAATAATTCCTATTTATCAGTTACTTATTAGCATGGCTATTACCTTCTGATTTAACTGTTAAGAACACACATACACATTAATAAGTTATGATTAGAACAGAGAAGGAGAATGTATCAAAGATCACTGAGATTAAAAATCTTGTTGAAGGAAACTAAACTTTAAAACAGAGCATAATTTACTTACTTGCCGGGCACATAATGAAAATGAACAATGGCAACAGTTTAATTTAAAGACAAATCTTTGTTCATTGTCGATGTTTAATAGTCTACGATCACCACTTAATATTTATTCGTTGTCTTTGACTTCAACGAGGAGCTAAACTAGTAACGGAAGCATCATCGACTGAAAGATTAAACGAATCCATTGATGGACCTGCTTCTCTTACTTCTTCATGTTTTCCCCGTAAGAAGAATCCAGGTGGTCGAGGTACGGCGAGAGCGATTGAACTAGTAGTGAGCATTTGGACGATCGCTGACATGGTTGGACGATCTTCAACTTCTTCTTGAACACATAGTAAACCGATATGGATGCATCTCGTAATTTCGTTTGCTTGATAGTTATCTTGGAAGGACGGATCCACGAGCTCTAATGGCGTCCCATTGCTCCACAGCCTCCAAGCCTATTGAACATTTTAATTATTAAAACTTTGGTCTTAAAGAAAGTTTGAACATTTTAAGGATGTATACTCACATAGGTAACCAAATTGCCAGCAGTACCATCCATTTGATAGACTACTGTTCTTTTTGGCACTTATTATCTCAAGAATTAAGACTCCAAAGCTATAGACATCTGATTTCATGGAGAACTGGCCGTACATGGCATACTCGGGAGACATGTAACCACTGCCACGATGCATAAATGTTGAGTTAGTAGAAGAATATTGCAGAAAAAAATAAATTATAGATGGAAAACTTACTAGGTTCCAACTATTCTTCTAGTATCGGCTTCGGTTTGGTCAATCTCGACAATTCTAGCCATTCCAAAATCTGCAACTTTGGGGTTCATGTCAGCGTCTAAGAGTATGTTACTTATTTTGAGATCACGATGTATGATTGTGAGACGTGAATCTTGATGAAGATATAGGATTCCTCTAGCAATTCCTCCAATGATCTTGTACCGTCTTGTCCAGTCCAGCTGGCTTCGCATTGCAGAATCTGCACATTGCATATTCAAAATGTTTTTTAAAAAAGAATGCCATGAATTTTGATAAATATATATCTTATAATTTGACTGACCAAAAAGGAAGTAATCAAGGCTTTTGTTTGGCACAAACTCGTAGACTAGAATCTTCTCTTCTCCTTCCAAACAAAAACCAAGCAGCCTTACCAGATTCCTATGCTGAAGCTTTGCGACAACAACAACTTCGTTCTCAAACTCTCTTACACCTTGTCCTGATGTCTTTGATAGCCTCTTCACCGCAACTTGTACGCCATTAGGAAATGTACCCTGGGATTCGCAGTGTAATATTAATCATAAAATTTCATGCAGTTCTATAGAAATGAAGAAAACTAATTAAAGATACAGAAACAGAAACAGGGAAAACAGAGAGGGGTGTTGCAATGGTAAATACCTTGTAAACTGCACCGAATCCACCTTGACCAAGCTTGTTACTCTCAGAAAACTTATCCGTTGCTGCCTCAATAGCCTTAAAATCAAACTGAAGTGAGCCTGCCGTCGTAATATCATTCTTATCTGTATAAACATAAGAAGACATCAGAATATTCATTCAACCTAAAAAGACAAAAGGAGTCTTTTTACCTTCAGTAAGTGGTTCCGTCTCATGAATCGTCCTCTTTTTCTTAGCTCGGACACTAAAAACAGCCACGAAAATAAGAAAAACGACGATGATTGGAACAACAACCGCAATGACTTTGACAGAGGAGTTCCCGCCTTTTTCTATATCTAAAGAAACAGTTGGGCTCGGATTTGAAATCGGCGGTTGTGTTGGTGGAGGAGGAGCTGAATCCAGCTGCGGCTGACGTGTCGTGACGGCGGATTCGTTATAGAACGGGTAAAGCTCAAATCTTGAACTGCAGCTCGGCACAATGACTCTTCCCCCGATTTTGTCAACGGGCAACTGATTATTAATCTGTTGGAGACACCATAAGCAGTCTTGGTTCGTCAGATCAGGAGTGCACTGCACTAGCCCGTACACACTCTGTGACGCAGTGAAGTTGACGTTTCTCGCATCAAATTTTTGAGAACTGCGCGATGCTGCGGTGGCGGCTTTTTTCATCATGGTGAGGACCAGATCACTGAACCCTATTTGGTTCGAGTTAACACCCTGGTTGTTAAACAAGATAATTCCTCCATTGGGACTCATGGTCGAGAGGATATATCGGTCGGAGTATCTGAGCATACACTCATCGTAATAGAGTGTGACCTGTTTCTCATTCGGACACCGAGTTAGGGTGTCGTTGATGGAAAAGGCAACGCAGTTACGGCAAGCTTCCGGCGATAGGTCCCCTCGGCAGAGGAAAAGTCCGGTGACCCTGTCGGGGGATTTCCCGACGGTGGCGTTATGGAATCCTGTGGAGTAGGAGACTCTGCGGGAAGACAGGGAAGACAAAAGAATTCTTAGATTGGTGGAGAAGGCGCTGTTCCTTGAAAAAGTTTCCCTATCTGGACAAACATGGTAAGAATAAGTGGGATCTTGTGCAGACGCTCTCAGGCTAGTGAGGAAAAAGAAAATAAAAAGGAAGAGAGATCCAAAAGAGGCATAACCAGACATTATCCGATTCTTCTCCTGCCCTTTCCTTTCTGATTTTTTTCTGTTTTCTGATTCTTAGTACTCTATTACGATGAGTGTATGCTTGTAGAGTGATGAAGGCAGCCAATACTTGTTAATTAAGAATGAAATACTTCCAAGTGTGTCAACTTCTACTTTCCATAAAGAACATTCCAACGGTAAAAGAAGACGTACGTATACCGTCGGAATTAATGATTGTAGCCCCACTAATGAGTTAGGTAATGGGTTTTTTTCTTTTTCATTTTCTTGGGGGACAAACATATATTGAGATATTGTAGAGTTTAATGCTTAGGGCCTTAATCTTTAGAGAGTGTGTAAGATAATACCCACATCCAAAGTGGGAAAGGACCTTGAGCGATAACCTCTCCACCTATTGCCAATTGGTTTTAGGTTGAATGTTGAGAAAACTTAACATGGTATCAGAGATTAACTTAACATGGTTTTAAGCACAACTTCTTAAAGTATGTGTGTGTGTGTGTGTTCGTAACAATTACAAATGTGATTGTAGCTTTCTTAAGTTTATAAAATTTTGTACCGTAAAAATGATAACATTTCAGAGATTCAAAAGAGTTATAACGAGACATCTTACAGTTTTTCTTCTTTTCTATCCTTTCTATTTGTTTCTGTCTTGATAAATCATAAATGTTCGCTAATTCTTTCTCTGTAGAAGAATGCAATTTTCTTCCAAGTCAAGGTCAACTCTTCTTGGCGAGTACCGTCAACTTGATCAACGATTCTGATGTAGCTGCATCTCTTGTTACTGTAAATTGAACGTAACGGGACCAACTCATGTCAGTTTTCAGGTTTTGGGCTTTAGGGTTTAATCAATCCAAAGTTTATATGTGTGACCTAGATGAGACCGTTATATAAGTTGTTTTTTTCTTTGAATAATCAACTTTTGATCAATTACAAACGAGATTATACTCAACCCTAGAATTCTATATCTCTTTTGACATCGCATTTCAGAAAACAGGTCCTGAACTTTCCTTGAACATTCAGTTGAGCTGATTCTCTCTCTCTCCGCCAGATTCCAATGAAGAAAATTCCAAGAGTTAATAAAGTCACCCTAACGTGTACCGTGGGCTCAATCAATTACAGTACTTAGGGTTTTAAAGATTGGTTAGGAACGTTTATGGCCCCATATTTTAAAAAGGCAATGTTATATTTTCTGAGTTTTCTCTTTCGTGTTTGCAATGTTGTGGCTCAACCTCTAGATTTTAATCATCACATCCTCCCATTCTTTGTTTACGTCACAGTATATATTACTTATAGCTAGCTTAGCTCAATTAGCTTCAGCCATTGTATATGTACAAGTATGATTTTTTGTGTACAAAAGAGCTTTAAAATCTAGATGGATCGGTTTCGTTTAAAACCATTTAAATTCAGGTGTATTGATAACCCAAATAATCAGTAGTTTCAACCTAAGCTATACGGATCAGATGAGTTCAAAGAAAGCTACAATCACATTAGTAATTGTTACGAACACACACACATACTTTAAGAAGTTGTGCTTAAAACAGACAAACAGAATGTGTCAAAGATCACTGAGATGAATCCTTGTCCAAGGAAACCTAACTTTAAAACAGAGCATCGTTTCCATATTTGCCGTGCATATAAAGAAACTGAACAACATAAACAGTTTAACTTAGACGAAACTTTGTTCATTGTCGATGCTTTATAGTCTAGAATCACCACTTTTAGATTTGTGAACTGTTTGTCTTCAACGCGGAGCTAAACTAGTAATGGAAGCATCATCGAGTTACAAGTAACCGAGTTACAACTTGTAGGAAACGTACCGTACAAGTAACCGAGTTTCAGTACTAGATTAATGAAGAAAATGAAGAAGTTGTCAAATACCTTGTTGTAGAAGTTAGTATTCATTACAAATGAAGAGAGATAATTAAGGACTATATATATATTTTTTTTTGTTTTGTTCTGCAGCTCTGTACAACAGGGAATGAGTAATGATGAAGGATTTTGTGTGTTAAGTTATAATGATGGTAGACATATTCTCTCAAGTTACAAGGTTTTTACACCTAATCCCATTCATAGCGCAATGGTCAAAAGTATCAGTTTGAGATTTGATTCGGAAACAGGGGAAAACAGACTGTTGTGGAGGTTATATATACCTTGTAAACTGCACCGAATCCACCTTGACCAAGCTTTTTACTATAAGAAAACTTATCCGTTGCTGGCTCAATCGTCTTAAAATCAAACTGAAGTGAGCCTGCTGTCGTAATATCATCCCTGTCTGTAGAAACAACTTCAACAGCTGAATTAGGGTAAGAAATTAAGAACAGAGCAGAGTATGTATTCAACCCTAAAAATATAAAAAGGAGGTCTTTTTATCTTTTACCATCAGTAAGTGGTTCCGTCTCATAAATGCTCCTTGTTTTCTTATCCCTGACGCTATAAATAGCCACGAAAAGAAGAAAAAGCACCGTGATTGGAACAAGAACAGCAATGGTTATGACAGAGGAGGAGTTCCCGCCTTTTCCTATATATAAAGAAATATTGAAACGTGTCTCGTAAGAAACGTTGCTCTGAAACATGTAATCAAAAGAAAAGGAGAAAATCGAACGTCCAGACTCCAGACCAGGTCGTGGTGAAGGAAATGACGCCGGCGGTGGTGGAGAAGCTGAATTATGCTGACCTAGAGGTAACCTAACGGCGGCGGATTCGTTGTAAACCGAGTAACGCTCGTATCTTGAATTACAGCTCGGCACAACGACTCTTCCCCCAATTTTTGCAATGGGCAGTTTATTAGTAATCTGTTGCAGACAGCTTAAGCAGTCTTGCGTCGTCAGATCAGGAGTGCACTGAACTAGTCCGTACACAGTCTGTAACGCAGTCAAATTGGCTTTTCTCGAGTTGAATTTTAGAGAACTGAGCGATGCCTCGATGGCTGCTTGGCTCATCGTGGACAAGACCAAATCTTTGAACCCTGTTTGGTTCGAGGTAACATTCTGGGTGTTGCTCATGATGAATCCACTTTCCAGTGAAGAGTCCAAGAGAACTCTCCTACTAGAGTATCTGAGCATACACTCATCGTTATAGAACGTGACCTCTACCTCATTGGGACACTGATTTAAGGTTTGATTGACGGAAAAGGCGACGCAGTCGCGACAGAATTCCGGCGACATCTCCCCGGCATAGGAAAAGTCCAAATACCACGTCAGGACTATGACCTACGGAGGTGCTGTAGAATCCGGTGGAGGAAGAGCCACTGTTGGAAGAAAGAGAGGACAAAAGGGTACTGAGATTGGTGAAGTAAGTGCTGTTTCTGGTATATGTTGTCGTGTTAGGACAAATATGGCGTAGGTACATAGGGTCTCCAGCAGAAGCTCTGAAGATGGTGAGAAGGAAGAGAAGGAGAAGGAAGAGAGATTCAAAAGAGGCATAGCCAGACACTACACAGTTTTTCTCCTTTCCTTTCTGTTTGTTCCTTTTGTTTTATCTCTCTTATGAGGAGTCTTAATAAATGTGATGAAGGCAGCTAATTCTTTCTCCGTACAAGTATGCAATTTGCTTCCAAGTCAAGGTCAACTTCTTCTTGGCGAGTATGGTCAACTTGATCAACGATTCCGATGCAGCTGCATCTCTTGTTACTATAACTTGAACGTAACGGCACCAACTTCATGTCAGTTTTGGGGTTTACTCTATCTTAAGTTTAAATTTTTCCTTTTTACGTTTAGTATAATTTTATTTTGGGCTTTAGGGTTTAATCAACCCAAAGTTACGTGTGACCTAGATGAGACCCTTGTAAAAGTTGTTGTCTTTCTCTCTGAATAATCAACTTTTGATTAATTAAAACGAGTTTATACTCAACCCTAGAATTCTCTGTCTCTCTTTTGACATCGCAATTCAGGAAACAGGTCCTGAACTTTCATTGAACCTTCAGTTAAGCTGATTCTCTCTCTCCGCCAGATTCCAATGAAGAAAATTCCAAGAGGTAAAAAAAGTCACTCTAACGTGAACCGTGGGCTCAATCAATTACAGTACTTGGGGGTTTTAAAGATTGGCTAGAAACGTTTACGGCCCCATATTTTTTTAAAGGCAATGTTATATTTTCTGAGTTTTCTCTTTCTTTGCAAAGTTGTGATACACAGGCTCAACCTTTAGATTTTAAACAACACAACCTCCACATCGTCTCATTCTTTGTTTACGTCACAGTTTTAATAGATTACTTAGCTTATCTTAATTAGCTTTAGCCATTGTACATGTACATGTATATGTTTTTTGATATATCATCTACGTAAGATTTTTTTTTTTTTTTTTTTTTTTTTTTTTTTGTGATTACAAAAGAGCTTTAAAGCCATTTAAATGCAGGTGTATTAATAACCCAAATAATAAATAGATTCAACCTAAGCTATACGGATCAGATGAGTTCAAAGGAAGATACATGCTAACATGCACATGACATTAGTAATTATTAAGAACACATACACACATACATTAATAAGTTATGCTTAAAACAGACAAACAGAATGTGTCAAAGATCACTTAGATGAATCCTTGTCCAAGGAAACCAAACTTTAAAACAGTGCATCATTTTCCTTACTTGCCAGGCACATAAAGAAAATGAACAATGGGAACAGTTTAATTTTTAAAGACAAATCTCTTTGTTCATTGTCGATACTTAATAGTCCAGGATTACCACTTAATGTTTATGCGTTGTTTTTGTCTTCAACGCGGAGATACACTAGTAATTGAAGCATCATCGACCGAACAGAGACCAGAAATATCCATAGATGCTCCTGCTCTCGCTACTTGTTCATGCCTGCTTCGTAAGAAAAATCCAGGCTGTCGAGGTACAGTGAGAGAAATTGAGCTAGTAGTGAGCATCTGGAGGATCGCTGACATGGTTGGACGATCATCAGCTTCTTCTTGAACACATAGTAAAGCGATATGGATGCATCTTGTAATTTCGTTTGTTTCATAGTTATCTTGAAAGGACGGATCCACGATCTCTAACGGCGACCCGTTGTTCCATAGTCTCCAAGTCTAATGAAATTTTTAATAGTTAAACCATTGGTCACAAACTCACAACTAAATGAAGCAAAAAAACAAAAAATCTGGAAATTTTAAGGGTGTATACTCACATATGTAACCAAGTTGCCAGAACTACCATCCATTTGATAGACACTGCTGTTCTTTCTGCCGCTTATAATCTCAAGAACTAACACTCCAAAGCTATAAACATCTGATTTCATGGAGAAATGGCCGTACATGGCATACTCGGGAGACATGTAACCACTGCCAAGATGCATACATGTTTAGTTAATAGAAAGATACTAGGGCCTACAGAAGAAATAATCGACAAGAGAAAAACTTACTAGGTTCCAACTATTCTTCTTGTATTGGCTTCAGTTTGGTCCATCCCAAAAATTCTGGCCATTCCAAAATCTGCAACTTTGGGGTTCATATCAGCGTCCAAGAGTATGTTACCTGCTTTAAGGTCTCTGTGTATGATTGTGAGCCGTGAATCTTGATGAAGATATAGGATTCCTCTAGCAATTCCTCCGATGATTTTATACCGTCTTGTCCAGTCTAGCTGGCTCTGCATCGTAGAGTCTACACATGCATGTTTAAAATGTTTAACACAAAGAATGCCATGAAATTTGAAAAAAAAAATGTTTCTTAGTCTAAGAATTGAACTTAACTGACCAAAAAGGAAGTAATCAAGGCTTTTGTTGGGCACATACTCGTACACAAGTATCTTCTCTTCTCCTTCCAAGCAAAAACCAAGCAGCCTTACCAAATTTCTATGCTGGAGCTTTGCCACAACAATGACTTCGTTCTCATACTCTCTTTCACCTTGTCCTGATGTCTTTGATAGCCTCTTCACCGCAACTTGTACTCCACTAGGAAACGTACCCTACAAGTAACATAATTTCAGTATTACATTAATGATGAAAATGAAGAAGTAGTCAAATACCTTTTTGTGTAAAGATATGGCGATGACAGATGGGTTTAATGATGTAACACCTAATACATTCATAGTGCAATCCTCAAAGTATGTGTTTGAGATTTGATACGTAAACAGGGGAAAACAGAGACTTGGTGATTTTACATTATTTGTTTCAATTAAAAAATCTAAACTACCTTATCTTAATGTACTACTCAGTTTATACAATTGTCTACAGAGGAAGCAATGTTGAATGTTATAATACCTTGTAAACTGCACCGAATCCACCTTGACCAAGTTCGTTATTTTCCGAAAAATTATCCGTTGCTGCCTCAATGGCCTTAAAATCAAACTGAAGTGAGCCTGCAGTTGTAATATCATCCTTGTCTGTAGAAACAATTTCAATACATGAATTAAGATAAAGACCACAGCAGAATTAAAATATGAACACAACAGAATTGTACCTTCATTAAGTGGCTCCGTCTCATGAATCGTCCTTGTTTTCTTAGACCGGACAATACAAACAGCCACAAAAACAAGAAAAAGGACAGTGATTGGAACAACAACAGCGATGATTATGACAGTGGAGTTCCCGCCTTTTCCTATATTACATATGAAATAGTTAGTGTTACATAGAATATTGAATTCTTCACATGAAAAGTTGCGCTAAAACATGCAATCAAAAGGAAAAGCCAATGTCCAGACCAGGTCGTGGTGGTGGAGAATCTGAATCCAGCTGCGGTTGAGGTGTTCTAACGGCGGTTTCGTTGTAAAACGGATAAAGCTCGTATCTTGCATTACATCTCGGCACAATAAGTCTCCCCCCAACTCTGTCAGTGCCCAATGGATTAAAAATATGTTGCAGACAGCTTAAGCAGTCTCGGGTCGTCAGATCAGGAGTGCACTGAACCAGTCCGTACACACTCTCCAAGGCAGTAAAACTGACTCTTCTCGCGTCGAATTTTCAGAGAACTGCGCGATGCCTGGATGGCGGCTTGGCTCAACGTGGGCAAGACCAAGTCACTGAACCCTATTTGGTTCGAGGTAACATTCTCGGTGTTATACAAGATTATTCCTCCGTTGGTGTTCAGGGTCGAGAGAATGTTCCGGTTAGAGTACCTGAGCATGCACTCATCGTAATAGAGTATGACCTCTCTCTCACTCGGACACCGATTTAAGGTGTCGTTGACGGAAAAGGCTACGCAGTTACGGCAAACTTCAGGGGACAAGTCTCCGCGGCAAAGAAAAAGTCCGGTGACCCTGTCGGTGGCTCGACCGGCGGTGGCGTTTTGGAATCCGGTGGAGTATGATGAGGCGTTGCGGGAAGAGAGGGAAGACAAAAGGGTTCTGAGATTGGTGAAGTAAGTACTGTTCCTTGTATATGTTGTCGTGTTTGGACAGTCATGGTATAGGTAATTAGGATCTTGAGCAGAAGCTCTGAAGGTAGTGAGGAAAAAGAAAAGGAAAAGAAAGAGAGATCCATAAGCAGACATCATCCAGTTCTTCTCCTTTGTTTTTTTTTTGTTTCTTTCTTAATGAGTCTTTGTAAATGTGATGAAGGCAGACATTACTTTCTTTGTACGAGAATGCAATTTCTTCTTCTCCAAGTCAAGGTCAATTTGATCAGGTTCGTGGCGGCGTTTTGTCAAGGCCGCCTCATTGATAAATTCAAGATATGGTCTAGTTTTTTCTTTATATTATAGACAAACAGTACCGTTTTCCTATCTAACCTGAATTCTAAATATAGAAAATTTGACGGAGTTGATATAGAGTAGTGTTTAGATGAATATCTTCCAAGTCTATCATGGTGGGCTCACGTAAATCTTAATAAGATTTGCTACGTAAAAGCAGATTGTTTTCCATTGCTAGGGAGTAGAATTACATCATCCTATCGTCTCATTCTTTGTTTACGTCACAGTATTTCTATAGATTACTTAGCTTAATTCTTACATCATCCTATCGTACCGTTTTTCTCTCATTGCAAAAGAGCTTTAAAATCTATTTTAAGAAATAATCATCTTAACGAAAATACAATTTCTTCTTCACAGTAACGTGAACGTCAAACTTACGCAATATGCAGGGCGAAATTCAAACGGTAAAGGGAGCAGAACTGCTCGGTAAAGACATTGTTTACACTTTACACACTTTGACCTTGGAGACTAATACTTTTCTATGGTATACTACTAACTATCAAACACTTCGTTTCTTTGTTCTAATGCAACGTTGAATATTTCATTGTTCCATTTTTTTTGTTTGTGTGTTGACTTGTCAGGTTTTATATTACGCTGCTGCTGACCAGGAATAAAAAAGGAAATGATTACTACACCAAGTGTTCTAGAAAGGAAAAGGAGACTACAAACTATTATGTTTGGTAATAGTTGGGTAATTTTTCCTTGGCCTCCCTAAGAAGTTTTTATGCACCAGCTTCATGTACTGCTCTGTTCCATTTATCAAATAGTTCACGAATCCAGTGGATTGAGTTGGCTCTGACTCTTCCCAGAGCACTAGTGACTGCGTTTTCTTGTCCTTTTCCGGTTTAAAATTGACGTGGTGCGATTAGGAATTCACAATCTTGGAACTTGGAAGACAGAAGCTGAAAGATGAAGTCAACGTTTCCTTGGATACTGCATTTGTAACCAAGGGCATAGAGTGTCATACTCCGAATCATATTAAATCAACCTTGACAAACAAATTTATGAAGAAAACTTGCAACCGAAGACGAAGAGCATAACGTAGCAGCAGAGAAATATTGGTCAACCATTTATTACATCCAACCCCATCAAAAAAAGGTCTGACAAGGAAAGAAAATGCAAACAAACATAGCGCCTTTAAAAGCCAAAAATCCTAAACCAAAAGTTATATTAGATCTCATCTATTCCTCTCTTTATTAATCTTGTTCATCTCAAAGAAACTCTCACTTTGGCTGCTTAACCAAAAACTCTTTCTTCATCAAAAGAGCTTCAGGAAAGGTCATTAATGAGTCAAGAGCGAGTGAGTACTCTTGATAGTATGGTAACCCGCAGCTAATGCAGTAACCGAGGTGATGACCGGAAGTTGCTGCTGCACATGGAAAAGAACTTGGTAGAAACTCGGGTACGTGAGGCAGACCAAACCCATTTTCAGGTAGAGAAGATAGCCGCCGAAAGTGACTCCGGTCAAGTAAACCCCCGAGATTCTGTTGAATATCGATAACATGGAGTTCATCTGAGGCTGGTAAACCGGAAGGTGAGGAGATAAAGGACGAAAGCTTTTCACTTTCTCCTCCTGCGTCGTCTTCATATCCCCTGAGATTGTAGAGAACGTGTGTCTCGATGATGCTCCCAAACCAACAGCTCCGAGAGGTCGAGTGGTAGCTTTTGAGTGCTACAAGAATTGACACAAGGACACACAAAAGCATAAAGTTAAGACGCTCTTGAACAATTACAAAAATGTGGACACACAAAGTCATCATCTTACCTCTCTCTCCTCCTTGCTTGCGCCCAAACCAGTACCAAGAATGTCATTCACAACAGACTTCGACCTATAAAGGAAACAACAATACATCTTCATAGTGATTATATTTATATATATAAGTATTTGCAATATCATTGAAACAGAGGAGACTCACCCGAAGGCTCTAAACAAATTTGCATGGTTTTGACCAGTGTAGGAGCTACCAAATGACGGTTGAGCATTAACAGCAAGCTGCAAACAAGAACATTTCAAGTAGAGATTAAAGAAGAACACTTTCTTTTACTTTCTCACCATAATCAGCTGCAAGCGTTCTCAATCAACCAGAGGCACAGATTTGAGAAAATGGTAACACTCTTAAAATCATTCCGAGAAAAGTTCATTTCTGTTACAGAAGGGGCTATATAAACTTGTAGCTACTGCATAATCTCATGTTCTCAAACCAAAATCTGCAAATTAACATTACCCGTTTCCATTCCCTGACTAGTTTCCGCGAAACGAAGCTAATTTGAGATGTTGATTTTGACGAAATCGAAACGAATTCCAAATTTTATCGATCTATCAACAACTTCACAGAAAAAGAAAAGCAATCAACGAGTAAGAAAAGATACAGAGTCGATCCAATCCATATAACAAACGGGTCAGTTCCGATCACGTAATTAGTTAACTTGAAACTCCAATTTCGTCTACAGATCGCTGGAATATAGAAGAAGACTTACGCATTTGTAAGCTGAGAAAGGAGCGGAAGCGACTTCACGGCGTCGAATCGTACGGAGGAGAGTGGAGGTAGCCATGGTTTGAAAATCAAGAGGCGATTGGTAGATGCAAAAATGATGCGAATTTAGTTGCGTCTGCGTCCAAGGCGGTGATAACTATCGACGTCGTCGACGGCGACGATAATTGGAGAGCCATTATCTTTCTTTTTTCTCAAAACAACGTCGTTTCACCAGCTCGAAAAGCGATAAAAAAACAATTATGTGGGAATACGAGGACCGATATGAAAAACATTTTTTCGGGAAAGAAAAAGTATATACATGCATGCACCCTTTTTTTCTCTCATAGAAAACATTCTCTGGAATAAGTTCTAGAGAATCTTCTTCACATGTGCACCAAAAAAAAAAGTTTTAGAGGATCTTCATCAATTATTGTAGATCAAAGAAGAAACACATAACCCTTGGTAGTTGGTATAATCTCAGAGAACAAAAAATGAAGCAGAATAGTTCCTTATTATCCTCCGTGCTGTCCAGTTGCTTCCAAGACGGTTTGTACATCATCAACATGCCTTGTTCCTTGGATAACAAGCATCTTATAAGAACTGGTGGGCTAACCCTAATCTCATTTGCGAAATCAAAGGATTCATACTCTCTTCTTCGTTTTCCCCTTATAGGAAGTTGACATGAATTCTTGCGAATTGTGATGAAGAATTTACCTCTGTTCTCAATTCTCAATTGATACCGTTTATTTATATTAATTATAGAAAAAACCTTTTATAAAACCTTAGACTGAGTTTTGTTTCTAGCGTTTTCTTAAAAGAGATTACATAATATTTTAAATGAGATGAGAAGAAAATCATGCGATTAGAGACGTGTTGTTGTTGAGAGCCACTCCATGAGACTTTGTCTTAAGCATGACCCTTAGATGTAATTTAATAAACATTGACTATTGACTTAGCATATCCAAAGCCTTTACTCAATTACCCAGTTGTATCAGTTGTAGTATTTATAGTCTCCAGTTGTAGTATTATTAGTCTCCTATTGAAGAATCCAACAAAACAAGCCTATTTAACGTTGACCTGTCCAACACAGGAAAAGAGACAATCTTGAAAAATGGGTCGAAGCGTTCTCTTGCCTATCTTCTTGGTCGTTCTCATGGCCATCAGTTTTGTCTCTGTGTCCGGACAAATATGCGTGGACAGTGCAGGCACATTCAGAACTAATTCTACTTATGACTCCAACCGTCGACTCATCCTCTCGTCTCTTGCCTCTAATGTCACGGCTCGAGACGGATTCTTCTACAACTCCTCGATCGGTGAAGAACCAAACCGAGTCTTCGCAATGGCCTTATGCATCCCTGGATCTGAATCAAAGGAATGCTCAGATTGCATAGCCGACGGTGTTACCGAGCTGATAGAGACCTGTCCTAACAAAACAGAGGCCTATTCATGGCCAGGCGACGAAACTCTCTGTATGATTCGTTACGCGAACCGTTCCTTCTTCGGATCGATCAAGCTGGAGCCACACTTTGTAAGGTACAATGGCGCAAGCATCACGTCGAATGTTGCGGACTTCCACAGAATTTGGGATGACTTCATACTTCAAATGTTAGTTTCGGCTTCCTCAGGAGGAAATGGAGTTTCATCATCTTCTAGTGGTAAGTATTATGCGGCGAACCTGGCGTCAGTGACGACGTTTCAGCGAATATACGCGGTGATGGCATGCACTCCGGATTTATCTCCCAGGGACTGTGATGGTTGTCTCCGAGCAAATATTCAGAGCTATCAAGAGTGTTGCCGTATGAATATCGGCGGTGCTACTCGGAGGCCGAGCTGTTATTTCCGGTGGGATCTTTATTCTTTCGTAGGAGCTTTTGATAATATCACCTCCGCAGATCCTCCGCCACCACCCGGTGATGGAGACGGTCCAGCGAAGAAAGGTTTGTACTTTCTATCGAAAAAGCTTTTATTCTTTCTTTTTTTTTTCTCAAAAAGTATTTCTCGTAGCTAAAAAGTTAGGATTTTTATAAAAACTTCGATATTTTGTCGTAGCTTTTGATAAATTAATATTACCTCCGCAGAGTCTCCGCCGCCATCTTTGACCGGTGATGGAAACGGTCCGGCGAAGAAAGGTTTGTGCTTTCTAACTACAAAAGCTTTTGATCTCGGTTGCAGTAAGAATAATTCATCTGTATATTAATTGTTTTCATAATTTCAGGGAAATAAAGGAAAGATATTTGATTTTTCTATGATATTTATTTCATTACTTGGTGATTGGTCAATATGTAGATAGCGAATTTCTTTCAACAGCAGCTATTGTGAGTATTGATCGTTTTCCTGTTGCTCGCCTTTGCGTTTACGTTTTACCGGAGGAGAAAATCGCACCAAGAAGAAGTTCAGCGTGAGTTTATACTTTATAGTTCAATTTCTGTTATGATTAGTATTCAATTTAGTTTATTTGAAATTAGGGTTTGAGCATGATTGCACCCTCGTTCACTTCTGTGTATTATTTCGTGATATTTTCCGATTACTTGTTTCGTACGTAAGAGTCGGTGTTGGATTTTTACCGCTTCAGAAATAAAATTGTGAATTTCAGATTAACAGTGGTATACTTTCTGCAGCTGGTGATGATATTTCAACAACACAGTCACTGCAATTCAATTTTAAGACGATTGAAGCTGCAACTGATAAGTTTTCAAAGAGTAACAAGCTAGGTCAAGGTGGATTTGGTGAAGTCTACAAGGTATATTCAAGTTTTTCCAAATTCTTGATTATGTTGCATCACTTGAATGTTTGAATCAATATGGATTTGATTAAATGTTGTTTTATTTAAGGGTATACTTCCAAATGGAACTGAAGTAGCGGTGAAGAGACTTTCGAAAACATCAGGACAAGGTGCACAAGAGTTCAAGACAGAGGCTGTTCTTGTAGCAAAGCTTCAACATCGGAATCTCGTCAGGCTTCTCGGGTTTTGTCTAGAAGGAGAAGAAAGGATTCTCGTCTACGAGCTAGTTCCCAACAAGAGCCTCGATTATATATTGTTTGGTATGCTTTGGCCTAAACATTGTAACGATATAGCAATTCTTAAAACATGCGTCGTTTTTAGTCAAATAGCTAACGAGTTTGCATGGATGTGCAGACCCTAAAAAGCAAAGGCAGTTGGATTGGACAAAACGATATAAGATCGTTACAGGGATTGCTCGAGGAATTCTATATCTTCACCAAGATTCACGGCTTACAATCATACACCGTGACCTCAAAGCTAGTAACATTCTATTAAGTGCTGATATGAGCCCGAAGATAGCGGATTTTGGCATAGCCAAGATTATTGAGATTGACCAAACTCTAGACAATACAAATAGAATAGTTGGAACATAGTAATTATTTTTTCCCCTTTCAGCTCCAATGGAATGAAGTTTTTATATATGAAATAATTTTTGTCATCTGTGTGCTCAAATTTACTCTTATGTTTCAGCGGTTATATGTCTCCTGAGTACGCAATGCATGGACTGTTCTCTACAAAATCTGATGTCTATAGCTTTGGGGTCTTAGTTCTCGAAATTATTAGTGGAACGGAGAATAGCAAATTCCACCAAAGAGATAGTTATGCTAGCAACTTGGTCACACATGTGAGTATGAAGATAGAAACACCAATAACACAAGATTTGGCATAACTTTTTGAAAAGGTTTATGAGAATGAATTGATTTGTATCATTATGCAGGCATGGAAGCTTTGGAGCAATGGTTCGCCTTTTGAGCTAGTTGACCCCGCTCTTGGAGAGAGTTGTGACATCAGTGAAGTTACCAGATGCATCCATATCGCATTGTTATGTGTTCAAGAAAATTCCATGAATCGTCCAGATTTGTCAACAATCATCTTGATGCTTACAAGTAACACAATTACCTTACCGGTGCCTCACCAACCTGGATTTTTCTTCGAAACCACACGCACTCAAAACCTAGCAGCTGAAGATATGGAGACAGGTCAATCTATCAATGATATAACAGTTAGTAATTTAGATACTCGTTAAATATCTTTCTTGTTGTTCTCTATAATGGTTCTTGAGTGATTTTTGTGTGTGTATGTGGCGTTAGAGCTCCATTTTATCTACGTTTCGTTCTCATACTGAATTTCACTCTTATTTCATTCTATATGTGATTGTAAATTGTAATGCAATTCCCACTTGAATTTTGGAAGTCTTGTATCTGTTTCGTTAAAGATTAATTTACCCATGTCTCTTCACCTGTTGCGTCCAAGTCAAGGCTCAAGACAGCTTCTACAAACGCTTAGATCAGTTAAGGAATTAGCTGGTTCTAGGTCAATGCCTTGTGCATTCCAGGTAATGAAACCATGGACAGTTCGTTACGAACGTTAATTTCTCTATATTATCTGTTTACTCTGTTTACTGGTCTAGACCCTGCCGTGGGAAGCAAGTTAGCGTGATATTAAGCTGTTTTCTTTTTCCGGTGGGAACTGTATCATCTCTGGCTTTTTTTCTGGTGATTTTGATCAAATTACTATACAGCCTTCACCGCTGTGTTCTCTTACACCCTTGTATTCTGTTTCCCAGGAAGGTAAGCCTTTTTGGCAACATTTTCAGAAATGTAAGGTAAGTCTCCATTTCGTCATTTCTAACACTCTGTTTTTGACCATCATGTTCATCATCCTCTCTATTTTTTTCTTATACAATTTTTTTTTTATTAGATATTTATATGACCAATCCGCTATTAAAATCGAATGGAGACTTGGTTACATTAATTCCAAAGGGATACAAATTCTGAAACAGCTAAACAGTCTTCATATTCATGAAAAGGACAAGAAGACTAGACTATTCAAAGGAAAGATTTGTCATCTTCAACCTTGTGCTCGATTAAATGTTATTCTTGTAAGTTTCCCTTTACGTGATTCACTTTAAAACCCTTTAACACCAGTGATTACGTCGAGGGTAAAGTTTCCAACCAAATAGAATGTTCAAAGGATGACTTAGAGTGGTCAATTTGTTAGAATACATTCATGGGCATTCACGTGGAGTATTCAGAGCTATGGAAAAATTGTTAAGATCCACACACATACACACACAGATCTGAATTATCCAAAGAGACAAAAAATGGTAAAGAAGAGCTCTGTATCAATCCTCTGCTTCTTGATCATAAGCTTCAGTGCCATTTATGTTTCTGCACAAGATCAAACCTGTGACGAATCTGATGGGATTTTCAAACCCAATAGTTCCTATGATAAGAACCGTCGTCTCGTCCTCTCTACTGTCGCTTCTAACGTCACGGCTCACGACGGCTACTTCAACGGTTCGACCGGGCTTGGTCCCAACAGAGTCTACGTCATGGGGATGTGCGCTCCAGGTGCTGAACCCGATGCTTGCTCATCCTGTATCATCAACGCATCCGGAAATTTGCTACAGGTCTGTCTGAACCAGACAAACGCGTTCTCGTGGTTCGGTGAAGAGACTCTTTGCCTTGTTCGCTACTCTAACCGACCATTCTCTGGTTTACTCGTCTTGGAGCCGTATCATGAGTTTTTCAATTATATGGACATAGAAACAAATGTCCGGAAGGGATTTGATAGTGTGTGGGATGGCTTCATGGCTCGTACGATCACAAGAGCTTCTTCGTCGGTGAGAAACAATCCGTCTACTTCTTTATCATCATATTCTAGTAAATACTACGCCAAGGATGTATCTCCGGTGCCGGTTTACGGGAACATATGGGTGTTGATGCATTGCACTCCAGATGTTTCTTCACAAGACTGCAAAATTTGCCTAGAGAGCAGCGTTGATTACTATAAGAGAAGGTACCCTGGGAAGAGAGGTGTGATTATATTGCGGCCGAGCTGCTTTTTCCGGTGGGAATGGTATAATTTCTCTGGTGTTTTTGATAGTTCTACTAACGCAACATCACCTCCGCCTTCGGTCATCCTGACCAATATACCCAAGAAAGGCAAGTCCGTAACATTTTCAGAGCAATTATTCTGTTTTTTTCTTTTTTTTGGTTTTGTGTAGTTATGTGTTTGTTGGCTTGTTGCATTGGTGGTTTTTCGCAGATACACGATTCTCTGGAGTAATTATCGCTGTTACAGTCTGTATTTTCTTTTTGATAATAATGAGTGCTATAGGTATAGCTATTTCCAAGAGGAGAAAGCAAAAGCAAGAAATTGAACTTCCAAGTGAGTTTTATTTTTGTTTGTAAAGCCTAAAAAAAAGCCTTGATTGGTATGTTAGTCTTAAGAATTTCACAGCTAAAGAACTTATTGACGAGCCTAATGTTGGATGGTCTTAAATGAAGCGGAATCAGTTCGATTTGATTTAAAGACAATTGAAGCTGCGACAAGCAACTTTTCTGAGCGCAACAAGCTTGGCCAAGGTGGATTTGGTGAGGTTTACAAGGTAATATATATATATATATATATATACATAGGCTATTTATCAACCTCACTTGCTTCGTTTGGGGAGAAACTATAAAATGATGATGCCTTAATTATTTACTGTAAAGGGAAATAGTATAACTTCCGTCAATCATTCGATCCCTATGATCTCTTATATCATTACTTTTATATTTTGTCTTGTAATTAGTTAAGATTATGTTCATCTATATATATGTCCTATGTATATTGAATATGTCATGAGAATGAATATACAATTCTTCGGTTACAAACCTCTCATCACACTATCATTTACAAGGGTATGCTCATGAATGGAACTGAAATTGCGGTAAAGAGATTGTCGAAAACATCAGGACAAGGTGAAGTAGAGTTCAAGAACGAGGTCGTAGTTGTTGCAAAGCTTCAGCATATAAATCTTGTTAGACTTCTAGGGTTTTCGCTCCATGGAGAAGAAAAATTACTCGTCTATGAGTTTGTTCATAACAAAAGCCTTGACTATTTCCTCTTCGGTCTGTTGTTTTTTTCTTTTCCATCTCAAAATATATACTTTCGTTGGTTGTTTATTTTTCTTGTACACTGCTTAATGTGACTATGCATGAATTCAGACCATGAGAAGAGAATCCAGTTGGACTGGACAGTGCGATGCAACATCATCGGTGGGATAACTCGAGGGATTTTATATCTCCATCAAGATTCACGGCTCAAGATCATACACCGTGACCTCAAAGCCGGTAATATTCTCCTGGATACAAATATGAATCCGAAAATTGCTGATTTCGGAATGGCAAGGATCTTTAGAATGGACCAAACTGTAGCAAATACATCAAGAGTAGTTGGAACCTTGTGAGTGTATTGTCTGTACTTAGCAGTTCAATCTAGGAACCGATTTTCTTGCTGACTGACTTGTGTATTTTGCAGCGGTTACATGCCACCCGAGTATGTGACACATGGCCAATTCTCTACGAAATCAGATGTTTATAGCTTTGGAGTATTGGTTCTTGAGATCATTAGTGGCAAAAAGAATAGCAGCTTCTACCAGATGAACGGTTTGGTTAACAACTTAGTCACATATGTGAGAAAATACAAACTTAAAAAGTCTTAAACTTTGGTAAATTCCTTGAAAAGAGTGATCATAGTTCTGAATATTATATTACATAACTTCTACAGGTCTGGAAACTTTGGGAGAACAAATCATTGCCTGAGCTCATTGATCCTCTGATCAGAGAACGTTGTAAAATCGATGATGTCATTAGATACATTCATATTGGGTTGTTATGTGTTCAAGAAAATCCTGAAGATCGTCCAACAATGTCGACGATTCACCAAATGCTCACAACCAGCTCAATGACTCTGCCTATACCTCTGCCACCTGGATTTTTCTTCAGAGACGGACCAAGGTCATCCTCATTTGCCCAGAGATTGATGCCTGGTCCGTCTACTACAGTGTCTTTTCCTTGTTCTATCGATGATGCATCGATCACGAGTGTTTGTCCTCGCTGAAAATTCTACATGTTCTGTTTGAATTTTGTTGTTTTCAGAAAGACTTGTCACTCTAGGAAGTTAGAGAGAGTGTATTTAATTGTTATAGAAGAAACTTTACAAATAAAAACATAACGTAAGATACAAGAAACAGAAAAACCCTCAAGAACTACACTTAAATTTTATGATTAAATACTCTGTTTCATCTGTCCACTTGTATAGACCCCAAGTGGATCAGATGCCAAGTCATAGCTTGAGAAGGTTTCTTCAAATGCTTAGATCAGTTAAAGGATTGGTCGCTTCTATGTCAAGGCCTTGTGGATCCCAGGTAATGAAGTAAAGGTCAATTAGTTACCCCAGCGTTAATTTCTCTACAACTCTTTAAAAAGGTGATCAACTTTGTTTCTAGAGATTTTTATAACTTAGCTTATTTTTGGCTTGGTCCAATTAATAACACTTTCATCATGAAATCAAAACTAACCTAAACCCAAAATCTAGTTTAAGTTCAATAATAACAGAATCTGATCTGTGTAAAAATCTATTTTATGTATGTCATTATAGGTTCTCATTTCTAACACTATTTTTGACCATCATGTTCATCAGCCTCTCTCTATTTTGTCGTATACAAATCTTGTTTTTATTATTTGATACTAGAATGCATACGCGCAGGTTATAAACTTTTAAAATATTCAAAAATAGTTATACCATATATTTATGTGCTTGCTTGTAACTCTCTTTGTTTATCTACTCTGATTTCTCGCTATCGCTTGGTTTCTCCGTATATTAGAAGAATTTAAATGTTTAATAATGACTGATGATGGAATTAGAAGGGTTATAACATTGGAGTAATAGAGTGTTTTTGTTATCGAAAGTTGAAATGTTTATTAAATAAATAAGATTTACAATTATAAATTGAAAGGAAGAGGAAAAGTCATATGAGACGTTAATTAATTGAGTGTTAATGCAATGTAAAAGGTGAAACAATTGACGGTTTTCAAAAACCAAGAATGTAATTTCTGCAACAACCAAGAATGTGAAGAGATTAATCTCTTTAAAATTTATGTTATGTGTCAATTTATTAAACATCCACATGTCAATTATATGGAGAGGGATAACCCTTTTTATATACTAGGTATCTTACCCGCGCTATGCGCGTATTTCATTTTTATGTTTTTTACTACAAAATATATATAAATATTCTAACTTTCAGTTCTTTAAAAACTTTATTGATACAAGTGCTTACAATTTTTATGTTTTCTTTTTAATATTTTTAATATATGTTTTATTTATTTTATTTTATAATTATAATTTCTGATTGAAAACATATTACAAATATTTCTCATATTTTCTCAAAAGGCATAGAATTGGAGAAGTTACATTAGTTCCTAAAGTTTATTTTCCTATCATGATCATGGTGATTATAGTAAACCGATGTTTTTATTCTTTTTCTTTTGTCTATTTTTCTTCGGTGTATTTTCATTTTATTCTCTGTTTTTCTTCTTCATCTTTATGCTTCCTCTACAGTTTTTTATCCTTGCGATTTATTATTCTTTTATTTTGTATGCTTCTTCATCTTTAATTTATATTTTGTCTTTAATATTTGATATCTTTATTTTCACTTTTTTATGTAGCTTCTTATTCTATCCCTTTTTGTAGTTCTTATTCTTCTATAATGAGTTATTTCATCAAAATTGCGAGGTTTTGCTAGATTTTGTTTTTTCTAGGTTCTTTTTCTTTTATGTATTCCTTTTAAATTTTCCATGACTATATCTTTTGTAAATATGTTTAGTTAAATTCTTTTTGATCTTATGTAGAACAAATTTTTCTGTGTGATACATTTTTATATTTACAGCTCAACAAACATAAGCTAATAAAGCTAATATTATTATAGATAAATTAATTTCCGTTTTTATGTTTTTTTTCTACAAAATATTTATAAAATTCTAATTTTCAGTTCTTTAAAAACTTTATTGATACAAGTCCTTACAATTTTTATGTTTTCTTTTTAATATTTTTATTTTTTATTTATTTTATAATTATAATTCATTATTATTATATTTGTTTATAATTTTAAATTAAATGAATTATTTTAATTCTTCTATTATCAATCAAAATAATAAAATGAATTTCATTATGATAATTTCTGACTGAAAACATATTACAAACCTTTCTCATATTTTCTCATAAGGCATAAAATTGGAGAAGTTACATTAGTTCCCAAAGTTTATTTTTCTATCATGATCATGGTGATTATAATAAACCAATGTTCTAATTTTTTTTTTCTTTTGTCTATTTTTCTTCAGTCTATTCTCATTTTATTCTCTGTTTTTTTTCTTCTTTGGTTTCTTTGCATCTTTATTCTTCCTCTTCAGGTTTTTTATCATTGCGATTTATTATTCTTTTATTCTGTATGCTTCTTCATCTTTAATTTATTTTTTGTCTTCAATATTTGATATCTTTGTTTTCACTTTTTTTATATGTTTCTTCTCATTTTCTCCCTTTTCTTGGTTTTTATTCTTCTATGATTAGTTATTCCATCAAAATTGTCAGGTTTCCTAGGATTATGTTCTTCCAGGTTCTTCTTCTTTTATGTATTTATTTTAAAATTTTCATGACTATATCTCTTGTAAATATGTTTAGTTAAAACTTTTTAGTCTTATGTAGAACAAATTTTTCTATGTGATACATCTATATTTACAGCTCAACAAACTTAAGTTAAGAAAGCAAATATTATTATAGATAAGTTAATTTTTTATTCATGATAAAAACTTATACATGTTTTACTTATCTCATACATAACTCTATCGATAAAACAATTTTAAGATTTGATTTTTTTTTTGTGTTTGATAAACTTATGTAAATTTATAATATTGGTTGTTTAAATTTCTCCATAACTATTTTACTGTAACACAATTTTATTTTTATTGTAATTAGAAAATATAGTTTCCTTATTTCTAAAATAAGTAACTCATAAACTTTTCTAAAATATAAAAAGGTAAATAATTTTTGTGATGATGTGAAATGATTTGGCTGTATAAAATTTTATATACTTAATTTTCTTATCTTTTACATTTTTTAAATTGGAAATCTTCTTATTAATAAGAATGCTTATGTGGACCAATCATATTGTATTTTAAAATCTTTGGTAGACATTCTCTAATGTATATAAGGTCAACTTTTATTAGTAATAGATATGATTGACCAATCTAAGCTATTCAATTGGAAAGGAGACTTGGTTACATTAATTCCAAAGCGATACAAATTCTGAAGCAGCTAAATAATCTTCATATTCATGAAAGGGACAAGTGACCCGACTAATCAAAGGATAGACCGGTCTAGCTTTTGGCGATTGATTTTTGGTTTATTGGTTCTCATGTCAAAGTGTCGGTTTTGTAGGGGGCAGCAACAACATGCTATGTGGCATTGCATCCTGAGGTTTCAGGGGTTACAGGAGAATACTTCTTAGACAGCAGCATTACTAAACCATTACCACTCGCCAAAGATTCAGAATTGGCCAAGAAAGTTTGGGATTTCAGCACTAAGCTCACCGATTCACAACTAGGAGAAAGTAGTTCTTGAAACATAATGATAAATAAGTTCAGTGAACCTTTTTACTTTGATGGTTTTCACATTTTCATGTCTCTGTTGTGATTCCTAAAAGTCAGTGGAGATAAAAACAGTCATGCCGATGTACAAAACACATACATAGCTACGTTTGCAAGATATGGGCTGTAATATTAATAACCTTCGAGTGAGGCCCATCAAATGTATAAAGTAGGCCTAGTCAGATAACGAAAGACTGCAAATGTCATTTCCCCCACATCGGAAGCTTTACGATGGAACACTCCTCTGTGGCTTAGTATATAATAAGACTAGTATCGAACGTTGAAAGATACTTACCTGGACGGGGTCGACTCTTGATCAAGAAGAAGAGTGGCCTAATCTAGTGACCTCCATTGCACACATCGGAGGGGTGCTTAGCTTAAGGTCTCCTCACGTGGGAGAGCCTGCGTCATTATTTGTGGCAGTGGGGGCCTGCGTTCGCGCGGCCCCTTCCATTCCTAACAGTTCAATTTTTTTTGGAGTCCCAAGCCCAAAAATCGAGTTGGCTTACATTCTTACAGTAAGATGAAACGTTAAAAGAGACTTTAATATCAACGATGACTTTTCCTACGGAAATCCAAACTAGTCAATTTATTACGGCAGTATATGGTCCTTTCAAGTGCAATATTCAAACTTCCGGACAAATTGATAAAATCCACACATTCCAACACGCACAATATCTGAAAAAAAAAAATTCTAAAGAAAGAAAAAAAAAGAATGGGAAAGAAGAGCTCTGTATCAATTCTCTGTTTCTTGATAATAACCTTGAGTGCCATTTCTGTTTCTGTACAAAATCAAATCTGTAACGAAACAGATGGGCGTTTCAATCCCAATAGTTCATATGACAGGAATCGTCTTCTCGTCCTCTCTACTCTGTCTTCTAACGTCACGGCTCAAGACGGCTACTTCAACGGCTCGACCGGGGTAGGTCCCGACAGAGTCTACGCCATGGGGATGTGCGCTCCAGGCGCTGCACCCGGTGCTTGCTCATCTTGTATCAACGACGCAACCGGAAATTTGCTACAGGTCTGTCTGAACCAGACCAACGCATTCATATGGTTCGGTGAAGAGATCCATTGCCTTGTTCGCTACTCTAACCGATCCTTCTCCGGTTTACTCGTCTTGGAGCCGTATCGAGTGCTTTTCAATTACATGGACATAGAAACTAATCTCCGGAGAGAATTCGATAGTGTGTGGGACAGGTTAATGTCTCGTATGGTCACAAGAGCTTCTTCCTCGGTGAGAAACAATTCTTCTACTTCTTCTTCTTCTTTGTCATCTCCTAGTAGATACTATGCCAAGGATGTATCTCCGGTGCCGGTTTATGGGAACATATCGGTGTTGATGCATTGCACTCCGGATGTTTCTTCACAAGATTGCAAAATTTGCTTAGAGAGCAGCGTTGATTACTATAAGAGGTGGTACCCTGGGAAGAGAGGTGTGATTATATTGCGGCCGAGTTGCTTTTTCCGGTGGGAATTGTATCGTTTCTCTGGTGCTTTTGATGAAGCTACTAACTTAGCATCACTTCCGCCTCCAAAGCCTTCAGTCGACAACCTGACCAATATACCCAAGATAGGCAAGTTCGTAACATTTTCATAGCAAGTATTATGTTTCTTTCTTTTTGGTTTTGTGTAGTTATGTGATTGTTGCATTGGTGGTCTTGTGCAGATACACGAATCTCTGGTGGAGTTATCGCTGCAATAGTCATTGGTAATTTCGTGTTGATAATAATGAGTGCAATAGGCATAGCTATTTCCAAGAGGAGAAAGCAAAAGCAAGAAGTTGAACTTCTAAGTGAGTTTTATTTTTGTCTGTAAAGCCTTGATTGGTATGTCAGTCTTAAGAATTTGACGGCTAAGGAACTTTTTGACGAGCCTAATGTTGGTTGGTCTTAAATGAAGCGGAATCAGTTCGATTTGATTTAAAGACAATTGAAGCTGCGACAAGCAACTTTTCTGAGCGCAACAAGCTTGGGCAAGGTGGATTTGGTGCGGTTTACAAGGTATATATATATATATATATATATATATATATACACTATTTATCCACCTCACTTGCTTCTTTCGGAAGAAACTATGAAATGATGATGCCTTTATTATCTGTAATTATTTACAAGGGTATGCTCATGAATGGAACTGAAATTGCGGTGAAGAGGTTGTCTAAAACTTCAGGACAAGGTGAAGTAGAGTTCAAGAACGAGGTTGTAGTTGTTGCAAAGCTTCAGCATATAAATCTTGTTAGACTTCTCGGGTTTTCGCTCCATGGAGAAGAAAAATTACTCGTCTATGAGTTTGTTCATAACAAAAGCCTTGACTATTTCCTCTTCGGTCTGTTGTTTTTTTCTTTTCCATCTCAAAATATATACTTTCGTTGGTTGTTTCTTTTTCTTGTACACTGCTTAATGTGATTATGCATGAATTCAGACCATGAGAAGAGAATCCAGTTGGACTGGACAGTGCGGTGCAACATCATCGGTGGAATAACTCGAGGGATTTTATATCTTCATCAAGATTCACGGCTCAAGATCATACACCGTGACCTCAAAGCCGGTAATATTCTCCTGGATTCGGATATGAATCCGAAAATTGCTGATTTCGGAATGGCAAGGATCTTTAGAATGGACCAAACTGTAGCAAATACATCAAGAGTAGTTGGAACCTTGTGAGTTGTGAGTGTGTACTTATTACTTCAATCTAGGAAACGATTTTCTTGCTGATTAACTTGTGTATTTTGCAGCGGCTACATGCCACCGGAGTATGTGACACATGGCCAAATCTCTACGAAATCAGATGTTTATAGCTTTGGAGTATTGGTTCTTGAGATCATCAGTGGCAGAAAGAATAGCAGCTTCTACCAGATGGACGGTTTGGTTAACAACTTAGTCACATATGTGAGAAAATACAACAAAATACAAACTAAAAAAAGTCTCAAACTTCGGTAAATTCCTTGTGAACAGTGATCATAGTTCTGAATATTATATTACATAACCTCTACAGGTCTGGAAACTTTGGGAGAACAAATCATTGCCAGAGCTCATAGATCCTGTGATCAGGGAAGATTGTAAAATCGCTGATGTCATTAGATACATTCATATTGGGTTGTTATGTGTTCAAGAAAATCCTGAAGATCGTCCAACAATGTCAACGATTCACCAAATGCTCACAACCAGCTCAATGACTCTGCCTATACCTCTGCCACCTGGATTTTTCTTCAGGGACGGACCAAGGTCATCCCCATTTGCCGAGAGTTTGCTGCCTGGTCCATCTACTAGAATGTCTTTTCCTTGTTCTATCGATGATGCATCGATCACGAGTGTTAGTCCTCGCTGAAAATTCAACATGTTCTGTTTGAATTTTGTTGTTTTCAGAAAGACTTGTCACTCTAGGAAGTTAGAAAGAGTGTATTTAGTTGTTATAGAAGAAACTTTACAAATGAAAACATAACGTAAGATACAAGAAACAGAAAAACCCTCAAGAACTACACTTAAATTTTATGGTTAAATACTCTGTTTCATCTGTCGACTTGTATAGACCTTCGTTTTATGATTAAAAATCTGGTTTTCATGTGTTTCTTCAGTAGCATTACATGGCTAGTAGGCTTTATATTTTATTACAGAATCTGATCTGTGTAAAAATTGGTTTTTATCTATTATGAGTATCAGTTCTCATTTCTAACACTCTGTTTTGGACCATCATGTTCATTATCCTATCTGTATTTTTTCTTATAAGTTTTTAATATGATATTTATATGACCAGACTTATTCAAATCGATTGAAGCCTTGGTTACAATAATACCAAAGGGATAAAACTTGTGAAGCAGCTAACGAGTCTTCATATTCAGGAAAAGGACAAGAAGACTTGACTAGTCAAAAGGAATGATTTGTCATCTTCAATCTTGTGCTCCAGTTTATGTTATTCCTGTTCATTTCCTTTTACTTAATTCTCTATAAAACCTCGTAATACCACTAATGACTTACAAGGTAAAGTCTCCAACCGAAATCCAAATAGAATATTTAAAGGATGAGTTAGAGCCTCAAAAGGTCAAATTGGTTAGTATATATTAGTGGGCAATTCAAGTGGACTATTCAAAGTTCTGGACAAATTGATAAGATCCACACACTCCAACACACACAAATCTGAACTATCTAAAGGTAAAAAAAAATGGGAAAGAACAGCTCTGTATCATCAATCCTCACTATCTAAAGGTAAACAAAAAATGGGAAAGAACAGCTCTGTATCATCAATCCTCTCCTTCTTGCTCATAAGCTTCAAAACCATTTCTGTTTCTGCACAACATCAAACTTGTGACGAATCTTATGGGATGTTCAAACCGAATAGCTCATATGACAAGAACCGTCGTCTCATCCTCTCTACTCTGGCTTCTAACATGACGGCTCACGACGGCTACATCAGGAGTTCTATCGGGCTTGATCCCGACATAGTTTACTTCATGGGGATGTGCGCTCCAGAGACTGCACATAATGAATGCTCCAACTGTATCCAAGACGCATCCAGGTACATACAACAGATCTGTCTGAATCAGACGGACGCTTTCTCGTGGTTTGGTGAACAGATTCTTTGCCTTGTTCGCTACTGTAACCGCTCCGTCCCCGGTTTACTAGTCTTGGAGCCGTATCAAGTGTTGTTCAACAACACGGAAATAGAAAAAAATATCCTGAAGGAATTTGAAAGTGTAAGAGATGGGTTAATGCTTCGTATGATCACAAACTCTAGTAGTAAATATTATGCAAAGGATGTAGCTCCGGTGCCGGTTTACGGCAACATATCGGTGTTGATGCTATGCACTCCGGATATTTCTCCACGAGATTGTAAAGTTTGCCTGGAGAGCAGCGTTAATTACTATAAGAGATGGTACCCTAGGAAAAGAGGTGTGATTATATTCCGGCCGAGTTGCTTTTTCCGGTGGGAATTGTATACTTTCTCCGGTGTTTCCGACCATACTAACTTACCTTTTTCACCCCGGCCTTCAACGACGCCTTCTATAGCCAAAGAGACTAATATACCCAAAAAAGGCAAGTCCGTTTTTGGTAACTTTTTTAGTCACTGCAATTTTTTTTTTTTTGGTTTTGTGTAGTTATGTGTTTGGTGATATTGTGCAGATACAAGATTCTCTGGAGGAATTATCGCTGCGATAGTCATTGTTATTTTCGTTTTAGTAATACTGACTGCTATAAGCGTAGCTATTTTCGAGAGGAGAACAGAAAAGCAAGAAATTGAACTTCCAAGTGAGTTTTTGATTTTTGTTTTTGTTTGTAAAGTCTTGATGGTTATTTTATTTTTAAGATTCAACGTTTTGACGAGCTTAATGTTGGTCTTAAATGAAGCGGAATCTATTCAAATTGATTTAAAGACAATTGAAGCGGAATCTATTCAATTTGATCTAAAGACGATTGAAGTTGCGACAAGCAACTTTTCTGAGCGCAACAAGCTTGGTAAAGGTGGATTTGGTGAGGTTTACAAGGTAGGTATATATACGCTATGTATCCATCTCACTTGCTTCTTTTGTTGAGAAACTATGAAATGATGATGCCTTTATTTGTAATTATTTTATTTACAAGGGTATGCTCATGAATGGAACTGACATAGCGGTAAAGAGGTTGTCTAAAACATCAGGACAAGGTGAAGTCGAGTTCAAGAACGAGGTTGTAGTTGTTGCACAGCTTCAGCATAGAAATCTTGTTAGGCTTTTGGGGTTCTCGCTCCAGGGAGAAGAGAAATTACTCGTCTATGAGTTTGTTCATAACAAAAGCCTTGATTATTTCCTCTTCGGTCAGTTGTTTTGTTTTTGGTTTTAATTCAAAAATATACTTCTTCTTCTTCTTGTTGTGCACAGCTAATTGTGATGATGCATGAATTCAGACCATGATAAGAGAATCCTGCTGGACTGGACAGTGCGGTGTAACATCATCGGTGGGATAACTCGAGGGATTTTATATCTTCATCAAGATTCACGGCTCAAGATCATACACCGTGACCTCAAAGCGAGTAATGTTCTCTTGGATGAGGATATGAATCCGAAAATTGCTGATTTCGGAATGGCAAGGATCTTTGGAATGGACCAAACTGTAGCAAATACATCAAGAGTAGTTGGAACCTTGTGAGTGTATATACTTATATTTGACCTAATAGTAAATATCAACGACCGTTTTCTAGCTAATTAAGTTGTGTGTTTTGTAGCGGTTACATGCCACCCGAGTATGTGACACATGGCCAATTCTCGACGAAATCAGATGTCTACAGCTTTGGAGTATTGATTCTTGAGATCATTAGTGGCAAAAAGAATAGCAGCTTCTACCAGATGGGCGGTTTGGGTAACAACTTAGTGACATATGTGAGTATGAACTAATTCAAGTCTCAAACTTTTTTAATTCTTTTAAAGAGTGATCATAGTTCTGAATATTATATTACATAACCTCTACAGGTCTGGAGACTTTGGGAGAACAAATCATTGCCTGAGATCGTAGATCCATGTATCAGAGAAGATTGTCAAATTGATGAAGTCATTAGACACATCCATATTGGGCTGCTATGTGTTCAAGAAAATCCTGAAGATCGTCCAACAATGTCGACGATTCACCAAATGCTCACAACCAGCTCAATGACTCTGCCTATACCTTTGCCACCTGGATTTTTCTTAAGGAATGTGTCTAGGTCAAACCCATTATCCCAGGGGTTGGAGCCGGGCCAATCAAGCAGCCTGTCTTTCTCTTGTTCTGTAGATGAAGCAACAATCACCGATGTTAATCCTCGCTGAAAGTTCAACATGTTCTGTTTGGTTTATGCTGTTTTCACTAAGTATTTGTTACTCTAGAAACTTGGAGAAACTTAAAAAATAAGAAACTTTAGTTGTTATAGAAGAAACTGTGAAAATAATGCATAACGTAAGATACAAGCAACCGGAAAACCCTCAAGGGCTACGCCTAAATCTCATCGGTAAATCCTCTAGGTCGTCCAACCATGTCTACAATATTTAAAATTTGCAATCCAATTCCCAGTTTGGGAAGTCTAGTATCAGTTTGGTTAATGACTAATTACCCATGTCTCTTTACGATAATAACAAACTAAACCTCGCACCTCTTACTTCCTAGTCATGGCTCGAGACGATTTCTATGATATCAACAAAAGCTTAGATCTGTTAAGGGATTGGCTGGTTTTATGTCAAGACCTTATGCAACCCACGTAGAAAGAGAGGTCATCCCCATCGTACTCATCTCTGTTGATTCAATAACAGATTTGTTGGAATCAAAACATGATTTAAGGAAAGAGAAAAAAAAAGAGAAGAAATATGTAATTGAAAGCGATACCTCATATCTGGACGAGATTCTTTCTTAATTGGTGGTCGGAGTGAGATTTGAGAGCCTGAGGGAAACATTTTATAGTACCTTATTCTTCGGTGAGCCAAACAGCAAAATAGTCTCAAAGAACCCAAATTCGAACGAAAGTGCGATTGAGAGATATGATAGAATAAGTAGAAATCACAAACAAAAGTGCGATTTAGAGAGATGATGATAGAACAAGTACAAAGAAGTCGATTTCAAGTTAGGATAATAGGAAGGAAGTAGAAGCTTAGATGGGTTTGAGAAAGAAGTCTGATTTCCAGATTGGATTACACAAGGAAGAAGAAATTGAGATTGGACTGCTGACGTGTATTAAAAAATGTTGACTGGTAAATCATTCAAATTATACAATCAAGCTATCTGTTCATCACATAGTCTTATTCCATTAAAGATTATCCCAAAATCGTCGTCTTAGTGTTTACGCGTCTGACAGGTTATTGCTAATCAAACAGCAAGTCGAAGTTTCTTGGCCTATGGGCTATGGCTATACCAGTCAAAACATTTTCTCGTCATCGTCGTGGGGCTACTTGCTCGGCGTTTTAGGGTATTTTGCTGGAGGAGAAAATCATTTAGAGAAGTTGAACTTAATCAAAGTGAGAGTTGTTCATTTATTAGTTTTTGGTGTCTTAGATTTTAGCATACGTATAGTCCACGGAACTAAACTAAGACCTTTTATGAAAATTGCAGCTGGTGTTACAGCTGTACGCATCCGGAAATACAGCTTCGAGACGATCAAAACTGCAACAGATACATTTTCAGAGAGCAACAAACTAGGTGGTGGTGGATTCGGTGAAGTTTTCAAGGTGTTCATTACTTTAGCTACTTGGTTCATTAATTACTTCTCTTGGAAGAACAATTGCATTCACAGAGTCAAAGTATAAGCCGATCATTTTGTCTCATTAATTTTATACGTAGGGGGTGTTACCTGATAAAAGAGAAGTTGCAGTGAAGATGTTGTTTAGAAGATCAACACAAGGTGAGAAAGAGTTCAAGAATGAGGTTGTTGTTGTCGCAAGACTTCAGCATAAAAATCTTGTTAGAATTATAGGGTTTTCTGTCAAAGGAGATGAAAAGATACTTGTCTACGAGTTTTTGCCGAACAAGAGTCTCAACTTCTTCCTCTTTGGTAAGAAATAATTGATAGGCTTTTGTATAACTTAATTCTCTGAAACATTATTATAGTCAATATATGGGTTATGTGCAGACCCTACAAAGCAAGGGCAGTTAGATTGGACAACACGGTACACAATCATTGGAGGAATTGGTAGAGGGATTCTATATCTTCATCAAGATTCACCACTCAAAATCATACATCGTTACCTAAAAGTAGATAACATACTCTTGGAAAATGATATGAACCCCAAGATTGCTGATTTTGTGATGGCAAAGATCTGTGGGATGGACCAAACTACAGAGAACACAAGCAGAGTAGCTGGAACTGAGTACAAAATTAATCTTTTTACTATTCTTGGTGGATTATGTTCTGAATTTTCAAGAATATTTGCTTCAAGTTTGTACAATTAATCTTGCAGGGGTTACATGGCCCCAGAATACATGGAACTCGGCCAGTTCTCAGTCAAATCTGATGTGTATAGCTTCGGAGTCTTAGTTCTTGAGATTGTTAGTGGCCGGAGAAACAAGAGCTTCCTCTCTTCGGGTCTGAATTTGGTCACATATGTGAGTACCTAAAAATCCTATCTAATTGTGTTTGTAACTCTAAGTACTGATTGATGATTAAGTCATGTTATAGGCTTGGAGGTTGTGGAGAGACAAGTCACCATTGGATCTTGTGGACAGAGCCATTGCAGGTAATTATCCTAGTGGAGAAGTGACAAGATGCATCCACATTGCGCTCATATGTGTTCAAAAAGATCCAACAGATCGTCCAGACATGTGGACAATCATGTCGATGCTCACTAGCAACACAATGAGTTTACCTGTTCCTAAACAACCTGGATATTTCATCCCAAATACTACGCCCTATCAATCTACGTTGAGGTCCAGTTCCCATTTTATCAATGACAGAACTTGATTCTTGTTTCCATTGGGACATTGGATCCATGATGTTTCACGTATATGTTATGTATGTGTCGATTGTAAGATACTTATCAAAGTTATTAACACTTTCATATAGTTATAAGTTGTAATATCTGATCTTTGTCATTTCTACATTGTAATATCAGATCACTGTTAAAATCTTGTTCAATATACCAAGTGATGTCAATCTTATATAGTTATAACTTATAGGACAAATTATACTCTTTAATTAATTATATATGTATTATGTATAAAATTGATTCGTCACTGAAGGAACAACGTGCTATGCAAGTAAAGCATACTTGTTTCCACCAGAGTCCAAGTTTTCCGGTCCGATGGATTGCAAAAACAGGTTTATTTGCAAAATCAGTGAGTCTCCAGGTCCACGTACCGCTAAAAACTATGGTCACGGTTTTTCAATGTAAATTGTCTTTTTTTTTTCTTTTTTTTGAGGGCTCTTAAAAATAAAAAGTTGCCGGCCCGTTTTACACCGTATAAGTCTGCATGGTGCCAAAGAGGTTTAGGACCACACGGTGTATCAATTTGACGTTTTCAACATTTTGGGTATTCGCCGAGAAACTTCCACTTGCTGTTTTTTTTTTGCTACGAACTTCCACTTGCTGTTTAGTTAGTTATGAACCGGTATTGGCGCTTAAACACTAATACAATGATTTGTGATAATCTTTAGTTAGAAATACATGATGAACGTTAAAACCAAAAAATATATATATATATATATATATGATGAACTCTTGGTTGTATAATTTGAATTGATTTGCTGAATGATTCATTATGGACGCAAATTGCAATGCAGATGATGTGCTAGGTCATAAGAGAACTTTAAAGCTCATGAGAGACTCATCCAAAATCCGAACTGGCCTTCCTTTAAAGGTTTATTTTTACTCGATTTGGCTCGTTGACTATTGCATTCGCTGAAAGTTTTTGAACTCTTTTTATTGCTACTTTGAAGGTTTTGGTTTTTTAAAAGGTGAGAAAATGATTAAGTATCCGCGGATAAGTGTTTTTGGTGGGTCCTTGATCATTATTTGAAAGGGAATCAGACATTAAATATTGTATGAACAAAAACAAAAACGAACTTTTGACTTTATATTTTTGCCTCAAAAAGAAATATCAGTTTGGCGAAGTCAACTTTTAATAAACTCGTAGAGACACCACGTTAGCTCTTTAAATAGTAACAATCGAACAGTACATACTCTTAAACCTTTTTTTAAAAACAGATCTGATAAAAACCTTTTAAGGGAAAATGAAACAGAGGAGTTTGAGTTCCTTATCAATCCTCTGTTTTTTCCTCCTAAATTTCGGTGGTTCTTCAGTTTCAGCACAAACATGCATACAAAACCGTAAGAACTTCACACCAAACGGCACATACGACGATAATCGCCGTCTCATCCTCTCTTCTCTTCCTTCCAATACCGCTACTCAAGATGGCTTCTACTATGGTTCTCTCGGACAAGAGCCAAACCGTATCTACGCTGCAGGGATGTGCATCCCACGAGCAGATGCAAACGACTGTTCTGCTTGTATCAAAGGTGCATCTGACTGGTTAATACAAGACTGTACTAACCAGGAAGACGCGTATTACTGGGCTCTTGATCCAACAAATTGCCTTGTACGCTACGCCAACGTCTCCTTCTCAGGATCTGCAGCTTTTTGGGAAACTACGCCGCAGTATTTGGTCATGTATAATGCAGAAATCAACCCAAATCTAACGGATTTCAAGAAGATATGGGAAGGACTGATACGTGGTTTGATCTCTGCAGCTTCTGCGACAAAGAACACACCATCATCTAGTGATAACCATTACAAGGCTGGTGTTGCAGCCTTGACACCTTTCCAGAATATGTACGGATTGATGCAATGCACGCCGGATATATCTTCTGGTGACTGTGACAATTGTCTGCGACAAAGCGTGATTGACTACCAGACATGCTGTGCGCAGAAGACAGGAGGCTATGTTATGCGGCCAATATGCTTTTTCCGGTGGCAGATGTTTACATTCTCTAAGGGCTTTGGTAACATTACGTTGGCTCCTCCTCCATCTCCTCCTTCTCCTTCTCGTCCTCCTCCGCTGCGACGTCAACCACCTTCTGCAGTTGACCGGGCCAAGACGACAGAAAATAGTAAGTTCTTGCAAAAGTTATGACTTTGAGTACGGTCACAAGAACTTGTCCAAAAGATTAAAAAGCTTATATGTTTTTTTGTGATTTTTTGCTTATGCAGATAGTAGAAAATTCTCAGTGGGATCAATTGTAGCTCTTGCTGTTCTCGTTTTACTCGTCCTCATCATCATCTTGGGGCTGCTTGCTTGGCGATATGAGGTATTTTGCTGGAGGAGAAAGTCCTCTACAGAAGTTGAACTTATTCAAAGTGAATCACACAGAGAAGTTGAACTTAATCAAAGTGAGTGTTGTTCATTTCCTTTTGTTTGGTCTCTTAGCTTTAAGCAGATAAATGGTCTACGGAGCTGAACTAACTAAGACAATTTATGAAAACTGTAGCTGGTGTGACGGCTGTACGCATCCGGAAATACAGTTTCGAGACGATCAGAACTGCAACAGATTCATTTTCAGAGAGCAACAAACTCGGCCGTGGTGGATTCGGTGAAGTTTTCAAGGTGTCATTGCTTTAGCTACTTGGTTTATTACTTCTCTTGGAAAAACAGAGTCAAAGAGTAAGCTGATCAATTTTGTCTCATTTATGTATGTAGGGTGTGTTACCTGATGGAAAAGAAGTTGCAGTGAAGAGGTTGTTTAGAGGATCAAGACAAGGTGAGAGAGATTTCAAGAACGAGGTTGTTGTTGTTGCCAAACTTCAGCACAACAATCTTGTTAAAATCCTAGGGTTTTCAGTCAATGGAGATGAAAAGATAATCGTCTACGAGTTTGTGCCCAACAAAAGTCTCGACTTTTTCCTCTTTGGTAAGAAACAATTCATAGTCTTGTATTCTCTGAAACCCTATAGTTCTCCATCTCATAGTCTAATGGGTCATTTGCAGACCCTGCAAATCAAGGGCAGTTAGATTGGACAACACGGTACAACAAAATCATTAGAGGGATTCTATATCTTCATCAGGATTCACCGCTCAGAATCATACATCGTGACCTCAAAACAGATAACATACTCTTGGAAGATGATATGAACCCCAAGATTGCCGACTTTGGGATGGCAAGGATCTGCGGGATGGACCAAACTACAATGCACACAAACCGGATTGCTGGAACAGAGTAGAAAATAAAATCTTTTAATATTCTTGGTGGCTTATGAAGTTTCAGTTTCAAGAATCTTATTTACAATTAATCTTGCAGCGGCTACATGCCACCAGAATATAGGAGCCTCGGCGAGATCTCGGTCAAATTTGATGTGTATAGCTTCGGGGTCTTAGTTCTTGAGATTATATGCGGCAGGAGGGACAGGAGCTTTAACAATTTGGGTTTGAAATTGGTCATATACGTGAGTATCTAAGATGAAACAATCCTATGTAACTGTGGTTATAAGTTATAACTGTAAGTGACTGATTAATGATTAAATTATGTTATAGGCTTGGAGGTTGTGGAGAGACGGGACACCATTAAACCTCGTGGACACAACCATTAGAAATAATTATCCGAGAGAAGAAGTGACTAGATGCATCCACATTGCGCTCCTGTGTGTTCAAAAAGAACCAACAGATCGTCCCGACATGTGGACAGTCATGTCGATGCTCACTAGCAACACATTCAGCTTACCTTTACCTAATCCACCTGGATTTTTCATCCCAAATACTACGCCCTACCAATCTACGTTGAGGACTGATTCCCATTTGATCAATGATGGAACTTGAATCCTCGTTTTCATTGAGACATTGGAGCCGTGATGTTTCACGTTTGTTTTATTTTTGCAAACGTTATGTTATGTATTTGTGAATTGTAAGATACTCCTCAAAGTTATTAACACTTTTATATAGTTATAAGTTATGATATCAGATCTTTGTCATTTCTACATTCAAATATTGATGATCAATATACCTAGTCATGCATATATATAAAGCTTTTTGAACGGTCTCCGTATATTCTTTAATTAATGAGAAATATGTATAAGATAGGTTCGTCACTGAGGTTGACGTGCTACACAAGTAACTGGATTAGAAAAAGCATAATCGTTTTCCCGCTATATGTAACCTATGGACGTTTATTTGTTTTTTTCAGGTTTTTAAAATAAAAACCAATGACACTGATAGGAGTCTTTGCAAAACCAATGACATTGATATGAGTCTTTAGGTCCACGTAACCCTGAAAACATATGGTCACGAATGATGATAAAAATTCAACGGATTTTGTTTCTATGAAATTTTAAGAAGGAAAACAAATTTGAATTTTGACTTTTGTCTCTTTAAAAGGAAAAAGCTGCCGACCCCTTTCACACCATATCTGTCCGCAAGGTGGTTTCAGGACCACACCACTCGTATCACTTGACGTATTCAACATTTTAGGTCTTCGCAGAGAAACTTCGACTTGCTGCTTAAAGTAGTAATAACCTATCACTGTCAACGCGTAAACAGTAAGACTACGATTTTGGGATAATCTTGGTATGAACCTTTGTCACAATAAGAAAGATGATTGAAGATTTAGGCTAAGCTTCCTCTTAACCCTAAACTCTTGGAGGTTAAGGTTAATTCTTGGAAGTTTCTTTCTTATTAATCAATAGAGACCTTTATAATAGGTCTTGATACAACTTTATTCATAACCCTAATGCAAGAAGGAAAACACACGTAACATATAAATGAATTTATGAAAACCTAGTTCATTAAGTAAAACACCAAAGCCAATAAGTGATAACGCCCTAAACATACTCTAAACACTCTAAGTCTCTAAGACTAACCATAGTCTCGTATCAAATCTTTTATGAAATAACACTATGTGATGAATCATGAACGCAATGCAGATGATGTACTTAGGTCATAAACTCATAATAGGACCTAACGTAGAGCTCACGATACTAAGGACTCATCCAGAACTGGCCTTGCGAGTTTTGTAACTCGATATCGTTTGTAGCCTTTTGGCATTCGCCGGTGGTTTTTGAATTTTGAACGCTATTTAATTGTTACTTTGAATCTTTACTAATGTGGTTTTGGTCTCTTTAAAAGAGTAAGAAAATGATTATGTATCCCACATTCCCACCACATAAATCAATAATTAGAATTTAGAAGTAGGAAAAAAAAGAGAAAATGATTATGTATCCGCGGATAAGTGTCTTGGTGGGGTCTCGACCATTACTTAATAGGGAATAACAAAACGAAAATCAACTCATGACTTTCGATTTTTTGCCTCAAATCAAAATATCAGTTTGGCGAAGTCAACTTTTAGGAAACTCGTAGAGAAACTTCGGTAGCTGTTTAAATAATAATAACAGTTCGTACATTTTCTTAAACTCCCAAAACAAATAATATCTTGGTAAAAAGTATGAAACAGAGGAGGAGTTTCTTTTCATTCCTCTTCTGTTTCGTCCTCGTGAGCTTCTTCGGTGTTTCCTCTGTGTCAGCACAAACATGCAAACAAAGCCGTTATTATTTCACACCGAACGATACATACGACGCAAACCGCCGTCTAATCCTCTCTTCTCTTCCTTCCAAGACCGCTTCTCAAGATGGCTTCTACTACGGATCTCTCGGACAAGAGCCTAACCGTGTCTTCGCAGCAGGGATGTGCGTCCCGCGAGCAGAAGCAAACGATTGTTCTGCTTGTATCAAGGGTGCTTTATACTGGTTAATACAAGACTGTACTAACCAGACAGAAGCGTATTATTGGGCACTTGATCCAACGAATTGCCTTGTCCGCTACTCAAACATTTCTTTCTCAGGATCTTCAGCTTTCTGGGATATTACGCCGAGATATCTTGTCTTTCACACTGCATATATCAGCACAAATCTAACAGAGTTCAAGATTATATTTTATGGTACAATTGATCGTATGATTTCAGAAGCCTCCAAAGCAAGAAACACATCATCGTCCAGTGATAACTATTACACAACTGATTATGCGATCTTGAAAGATTTCCATACGATATACGCATTGATGCAATGCACGCCAGATATTTCTCCTAGTGATTGTGAGAGCTGTCAGCGACATAGCGTCATTGACTACCAGAGAGACTATGGGAACAAGACAGGAGGTTATGTTATGCGGCCAATCTGCTTTTTCCGGTGGCAAGATTTTATATTCTCTAAGGCTTTTGGTAAAATGACGTTGGCTCCTCCTCCTACTTCTCGTCCTCCTCCGGTGCAACGTCAATCTCCTTCTTCAGGTGACCGGGCCAAGAAAACAGACACAAGTAAGTCTTTGCCGTCACAGGAACCTGTCCAAAGTATCAAAGATTATATATTTTTTATTTTATTATTTTTACTTCTGCAGATAGTAGAAAATTCTCAGTGGGATCAATAGTAGCTCTTGCTGTTCTTGCTTTAGTCGCCCTCATCATCATCGTAGGGGTGCTTGCCTGGAGAATTGAGGTATTCTGCTGGAGGAGAAGACCGTATACAGAAGTTGAACTAAATCAAAGTAAGTATTGTTCATTTCCTTTTGTTTGGTCTCTTAATTAGCTTCTAGGATATATATAGTCTTAAACTTTTAATTGGAGCTGAAGTAACCAAGACCATTTATGAAAACTGTAGCTGGTATTACAACTGTAAGAATTCGGAAATACAGCTTCGAGATGATCAAAGCTGCAACAAATACATTTTCAGAAAGCAACAAACTAGGCCGTGGTGGATTCGGTGAAGTTTACAAGGTGTTATTTCTTTAGCTACTTGGTTCATTACTTTTCTTGGGAAAACAGAGTATAAGCTGATCATTTTGTCTCATTAATGTTATACGTAGGGTGTGTTACCTGATAAAACGGAAGTTGCAGTGAAGAGGTTGTTTAAAAGATCAAGACAAGGTGAGAAAGAGTTCAAGAATGAGGTTGTTGTTGTTGCCAAACTTCAACATAACAACCTTGTTAGAATTCTAGGGTTTTCTGTCGAAGGAGATGAAAAGATACTTGTCTACGAGTTTGTGCCCAACAAGAGTCTCGACTTCTTCCTCTTTGGTAAGAAACAATATAATTCATAGGCTTATTCTATAAAACCTTATAGTTCTTGATCTCATAGTCTGATGGGTTATGTGCAGACCCTACAAATCAAGGGCAGTTGGATTGGACAACACGGTACAAAATCATTGGAGGAATTGGTAGAGGGATTCTATATCTTCATCAAGATTCACCGCTCAAAGTCATACACCGTGACCTAAAAGTAGATAACATACTCTTGGAAGATGATATGAACCCCAAGATTGCTGACTTTGGGATGGCAAAGATCTGTGGGATGGACCTAACTTCAGAGAACACAAGCAGAATAGCTGGAACAGAGTAAACAAATAATCTTTTAATATTCTTCGATGGCTTATGAAGTAATGTTTCAAGAATCTTTTCTTGATGTACAATAAATCTTGCAGGGGTTACATGGCCCCAGAATACATGGAACTCGGCCAGTTCTCAATCAAATCTGATGTGTATAGCTTCGGAGTCTTAGTTCTTGAGACTATTTGTGGCAGGAGAAACAGAAGCTTCCTCCCTTCGGGTCTTAATTTGGTCACATACGTAAGTACCTAAAAAAGAGCCAATCAGGTCTTAAGGTATGATCCCATCTAAATGTAGTTGTAACTGTAAGTTCTTGATTAATGATTTTACAGGCTTGGAGGTTGTGGAGAAATGGGGCACCATTGGAGCTCTTGGACACAACTATAGCAGATAGTTATCCGAGAGGAGAAGTGACAAGATGCCTCCACATTGCGCTCCTATGTGTTCAGAAAGATTCAGCAGATCGTCCAGACATGTGGACTATCATGTCGTGGCTCACTAACAACACAATCAGTTTACCTGTTCCTAAAACACCTGGATTTTTCATCCCAAATACTACGCCCTATCAATCTACGTTGAGGTCCAATTCCCATTTTATCAATGACAGAACTTGATTCTCGTTAACATTGTGACATTTGATCCATGATGTTTCACGTATTTTAATTTTGATAATGTTATGTTATGTATGAATTGTAAGATACTCATCAAAGGTTTGTACACTTGTATATAGTTATAAGTTAAAACATCAGATCTCTGTCATTTCTACATTGTAATATCAGATCTCTGTTAATATCTTGATCAATAATATGATGCATATAAAGTTTTTTGAACGAATTATAGGTATAGGTAAAAATTGTAGGACACACTTTATTCTTTACTTAGTGATATACGTATTATGTATAAGATAGGTTCGTCACTGAGGGAACCTGCCACGCAAGTAACTGGAATTAAAAAAGCATGAGTACTTGTTTCCACCAGATTCCGAGTTTTCCCCATATATATATATTACGTAAACACTGTTGTTTATTTGCTTCTTTTGGATGAAAGCCATTGATACTGATAGGAGTCTTTAGGTCCACGTAACGCTGAAAACATATGGTCACGAATGATGATAAAAATTCAACGGATGTTCTATGAAATTTTGAAAAGAAAAACAGATTTTAGTTTTGAATTTTGTCTCTATAAAAAGAAAAAAGCTACCGGCCCCTTTCACACCGTATATCTCTGCAAGGTGGTTTCAGGACCACACCACTGGTATCACTTTGACGTATTCAACAGTTTAGGTATTCGCAGAGAAACTACGACTTGGTGCTTAAAGTAGAAATAAACTATCACTGTCAGACGCGTAAACACTAAGACGACGATTTTGGGATGATCTTGATATGAACATTGGTTATGATTAAATATTTAGGCCAAGCTTCCTCTTAACCCTAAACTCTTGGAGGTTAAAGTTAATTTTTCGAAGTTTCTTTCTTATTAATCAATAGATCGACCCTCTTGATACAACTTAATTCATAACACTAATGCAAGAAAGAAAACACTCTTACATTAAGTAAAAAAAAAAAAAAGTGATAACGCCCTAAACATACTCTAAACACTCTAACAAGAGTCTCATACCAAATCTATTATCGAATAAAACTTTGTGACAAATCATGAACGCAATGCAGATGATGTACTAGGTCATATACTCATCATAGGATTTAACGTAGAGCTCACTATACTAAGGAAGGAGTCATTTCTAAAGACTCATCCATAACTCGCCTTTAAGAGTTATGTAACTCGATTTCGTTTGTTGCCTTTCGGCCTTCGCTGATTGGTTTTTAACGCTTTTTAAAAATTGTTATCATAAATCTTTACTAATGTGGTTCTGGTCTCTTTAAAAGGGTAAGAAAATGATTATGTATCCGACATTCCCACCACATAAATCAATAATTAGAATTTAAAAGTAGGAAAAAAAGGAGAAAACGATTTTGTATCCGCGGATAAGTGTCTTGGTGGGGTCTCGACCATTAACCTAACAAGAAAAAAAACTAATACTGTATGAACAAAACAAAAATCAACTCATGAGTCATGTCTTTCGATTTCTTGCCTCAAATCAAATTATCAATTTGGCGAAGTCAACTTTTAGGAAACTCGTAGAGAAACTTCGGTAGCTGTTTAAATAATAACAGTTCATACATATCCAATTTAACACCAAAACAAATATCTTGCTAAAAAGTATGAAACAGAGGAGGAGTTCCTTATCAATCCTCTTCTGTTTCGTCCTCGTGAGCTTCTTCGGTGTTGCCTCTGTCTCAGCACAAACATGCAAACAAAGCCGTTATTATTTCACACCGAACGATACATACGACGCAAACCGCCGTCTAATCCTCTCTTCTCTTCCTTCCAAGACCGCTTCTCAAGATGGCTTCTACTACGGATCTATCGGACAAGAGCCGAACCGTGTCTTCGCAGCAGGGATGTGCGTCCCACGAGCAGAAGCAAACGACTGTTCTGCTTGTATCAAGGGTGCTTTAGACTGGTTATTACTAGACTGTACTAACCAGACAGAAGCGTATTATTGGGCACTTGATCCAACGAATTGCCTTGTCCGCTACTCCAACATTTCTTTCTCAGGATCCTCAGCTTTCTGGGATATTACGCCGAGATATATTGTCTTTCAGACAGCAGATATCAGCTCAAATCTAACAGAGTTCAAGATTATATGGTATGGTTTAATTGATCGTATGATTTCAGCAGTCTCCAAAGCAAGAAGCAACTCATCGTCCAGTGATAACTATTACACAACTGATGATGCGCTCTTGAAAGATTTTCAGAAGATATACGCATTGATGCAATGCACGCCAGATATTTCTCCTAGTGAGTGTGAAAGCTGTCTGCGACATAGCGTTACTGACTACCAGAAATACTATGGGAACAAGACAGGAGGTTATGTTATGCGGCCAATCTGCTTTTTCCGGTGGCAGGATTTTACATTCTCCAAGGCTTTTGGTAGAAATACGTTGGCTCCTCCTCCTACTTCACGTTCTCCTCCGCTTCAACGTCAACCACCTTCTGCAGGCGACCGAGCCATGAACACAGACAAAAGTAAGTCCTTTCAAAAGTTATGACTTTGAGTACTGTCACAGGAACCTGTCCAAAGATTGTAAGGTTATATGTTTTTTTTTTTTTTTTTTTTTTTTTTTTACTTCTGCAGATAGTAGAAAATTTTCATGGGGAGGAATAGTAGCTCTTGCTGTTCTTGCTTTAGTTGCCCTCATCATCATTTTAGGGGTGCTTGCCTGGAGATTTGAGGTATTTTGCTGGAGGAGAAAATCATATACAGAAGTTGAACTTAATCAAAGTGAGTGATCTTCATTTCCTTTTGTTTGGTCTCTTAGCTTATAGGATAAATATTGTCTTAATTGGAGCTCAAGTAACCAAGACCATTTATGAAAATTGTAGCTGGTATTACCACTGTACGCATCCGCAAATACAGCTTCGAGGCGATCAAAGCTGCAACAGATACATTTTCAGATAAAAACAAACTCGGCCGTGGTGGATTCGGTGAAGTTTACAAGGTGTTATTTCTATAGCACTTGGTTCATTACTTCTCTTTGGAAAAACAGAGTCAAAGACTAAGCTGAACATTTTATCTCATTAATGTTACTTATATGTAGGGTGTGTTGCCTGATAAAAGAGAAGTTGCAGTGAAGAGGTTGTTTAGACGATCAAGACAAGGTGAGAAAGAGTTCAAGAACGAGGTTGTTGTTGTTGCGAAACTTCAGCATAACAACCTCGTTAGAATTCTAGGGTTTTCTGTCAAAGGAGATGAAAAGATACTTGTCTACGAGTTTGTGCCCAACAAGAGTCTCGACTTCTTCCTCTTTGGTAAGTAACATTATTACTGATAGGCTTATAATTCTCTGAAACCTATATTATAGTTTTTGATCTCATAGTCTAATGGGTCATGTGCAGACCCTACAAATCAAGGGCAGTTAGATTGGGCAACACGGTAAAAAATCATTGGAGGAATTGGTAGAGGAATTCTATATCTTCATCAAGATTCACCGCTTAAAATCATACATCGTGACCTAAAAGTAGATAACATACTCTTGGAAGATGATATGAACCCCAAGATTGCTGACTTTGGGATGGCAAAGATCTGTGGGATGGACCTAAATTCAGAGAACACAAGCAGAATTGCTGGGACAGAGTAAACAAATAATCTTTTAATATTCTTCGATGGCTTATGAACTAATGTTTCTAGAATCTTTTCTTGATGTACAACTAATCTTGCAGAGGTTACATGGCCCCGGAATACATGGAACTCGGCCAGTTCTCAATCAAATCTGATGTGTATAGCTTTGGGGTCTTAGTTCTTGAGATTGTTTGCGGCAAGAGGAACAGAAGCTTCCTCCCTTCGGGTCTCAATTTGGTCACACACGTAAGTACCTAAACAAGAACAATCAGGTCATAATGTATGATCCTATCTAACTGTGATTGTAACTGTAAGTTCTTGATTGATGATTTTAAAGGCTTGGAGGTTGTGGAGAGATGGGTCACCATTGGAGCTCTTGGACGCAACCATTTCAGGTAATTATCCGGGAGGAGAAGTGACAAGATGTATCCACATTGCGCTCCTATGTGTTCAGAACGATCCAGCAGACCGTCCGGACATGTGGACAATCATGTCGTGGCTCACTAACGACACAATCAGTTTACCTGTTCCTAAAACACCTGGATACTTCATTCCAAATACAACGCCCTATCAGTCTACGTTGAGGACCAATTCCCATTTTATCAATGACAGAACTTGATCCTTGTTTCCAGTAAGAGATTACATTGGAACTGTTTCACGTTAAACCATGTTCAGGTATTTTCAGTTTTTCAAATGTTATATATATTGTGAATTGTGAGATACTCATCAAAGTCAAGAACACTTTTATCTTTTCAGTTTTTCACATTTTGTAATATAAGTTGTCTACAATGAAAATTCATCTGATTTGTTGTATTTTTTTTCTTGCTCTAGAATTTTGATCAATATACCAAATTACCGATTGATGTACAGTTTGTAAGCCAAACCGGATTATTTACTTAACCGGTCCTATATGAATCCCGGTACGCTAGTCAGCTGATTTATTATTATTTCCCTCGCCGTCTCCTTTCGCCGGAGCTCGTCTCTCGGCCTTTCCCTTGCCGCATTTTATGTTTCTCGGATTTCGGATGGAAGAAAAAGTTTTCCGCTTTCCGATTCGAACTATTTCTGTGAGAATTGGGGTTTTGTCTGTTAGTCAGATGCTCGTAGTTGATCGTATTACTTGAATATTTTATCGGAATCATGTTCGTCTCTTCTTGTTCTGTCTGGGTCAATGTCATTCCTTTCGGTACACATACATTTGCTATTACAGCGACAAGATACTCAGAGGTATGCATACTTATCTTAAATTACCACTTCCTTCCTCAATTTGAGTTTTCGAAGCATCTGACTAATTTCTTTGAAAATGAAACAGAAGATTCGCTTGTTAATATCCGAGTTTGTTCTTGGAAGCCTTGGTGAAAAATGGGATTTTCAGACCCAATTGTTTCATGTAATGCAACTATTACATATCTGGAGGAGACTGGAACTGTTACTGAAAACACATACCACATTTCAGGTATTTCTGTTGAAACTTAGTAATATGTGAGGAAAGTTCATGATTTTTTTGAGTTTTATGTAAATAAAGGATGTGATTATTTACTTGTTATTTATGTTTTGTTTCTTAGTACCTTTCATCCAATCAAATTCTCATACTTTCTTTGAATTCATGTGTTTTCTCGTCTTGTTCTACTTTAAATATCTTCTGATAATGTCTGCTGCTTCCTTACACATATCTTCTAGTTCCTTAGAATACAGTGCGTTGCCTCTCTTGGACTTGTTCTTCTTATAACTGAATGGAATATTATTTTCAAGAATCTTAGTGGAAAAGTCATCTTAGATAGACTATGCATAATTGAGAAGGGACTGATGTGTCAATGTCAATGTCATCATCCTCTCTGTCAATGGCAATTAGCAGAGTGGAGAAAATTTGCTATTAAAGTGACAACACATGTACATATACATAAGGTATGCATCATAGTAGCTCAAGATTCCAAAGCATCATCCTTTAAAAACGAAAACAGATGAAATTTTTGTCAGTCCTGTGGATTGTTCTTGTAAGCTCTGCTGTTGTTTCTGCACAACAACCATGCTTGAACACCGGATATTTCAAACCCAATAGCACATATGACACAAACCGTGGCCTAGCTCTCTCTTCTCTTGCTTCTAATGTCAGGTCATTTAACGGATTCTACAATCTTTCCATCGGCCTAGGTTCCGATCAAGTATATGGAGCGGCGATGTGTATTCCAGGCGCTGAAGCAGGTCTGTGCTCAGATTGTATCGACGAAGCGTCAGAGAGGTTAATAAAGAGTTGTCCAAACCACACAGAAGCTTTTACATGGTCTGGTGGAGGTGAGACTCTTTGTATGGTACGTTACTCCAACCGTTCCTTCTCTGGTTCACTCGATATGGAGCCTTCTTCGTCAGGGTACAATGTTCGAGATATCAAATCTAACTTAACAGAGTTTGATCAAACATGGAAGGAGTTGTCACTTCGTATGGTAGTTGCAGCTTCCATGGGGAAGGACTCATCGTTAACTGATGATAAGTACTATGCTGCCGAGACTGCGGTCTTGGAAGCTTCTCAGACTATATACGCATTGATGCAGTGCACTCCGGATTTATCTCCTGGAGAATGTAAAACTTGTTTGCAACAAAGTGTTGATGACTATCAGAAGTGTTGCCATGGGAAGCGAGGTGGTTATGTGTATAGGCCAAACTGTATTTTCCGGTGGGATTTGTATCCATTTAATGGTGCTTTTGATCATATTACTTCCCTCAGTGCCTCAACGGCCACCTTCTTTGAAACAACCTGTGTCAAATGGAACCTTTACAGCCCAAGATGGTATATTATTCTATCTCTGGTCGTAAGAATAACCTGTGGAAAGATTGAAACTGTCATTTTGTAAGTTACCTTCTCTGTTGGGCTTGTGCAGATAGTAAAACAGTCTCAAAGGGAATCATCTTGGCATTTGTTGTTCTTGCTACTGTTATCGTCTTGGTGCTGCTTGCTCTGGGATTTGCTGTTTGCAGGAGGAGGAAGTCACACCAATCATTTTATTGTCAGTGTGAGTTTGCTTTTTGTTTCTACCATCATTTCCTTGATTGGCTCTTATCTGTAGGAAGTATACATCAATTTATAAAACCTATGCGTTTTGCACTTCTGAATTGAAGTGACCTATATGCGTTTCTGTATGCATCAGCTGGTATTGATATTACAAGTACACAGTCACTGCAATTTGATTACAAGACAATCGAAACTGCAACAAATAAGTTTTTAGAGAGCAACAAGATTGGCCGTGGTGGATTTGGAGAAGTTTTCAAAGTGTAGTTTCTTAGACCTAGGAAGACTGCATAACACATCAATGAGAGGTGGTAATAAATAATGTTTCTTATATTCGTTGTAGGGCGTTCTTCCAGATGGGACAGAAGTGGCAGTGAAGAGGCTGTCAAAAACCTCAGGACAGGGCGGAGAAGAGTTCAAGAACGAGGCTGTTGTGGTGGCAAAGCTTCAGCATAGAAATCTTGTTAGGCTTCTCGGATTTGTTTTAAAAGGAGAAGAGAAGATACTTGTGTACGAGTTTGTCCCCAATAAAATCCTCGATCACTTCCTTTTCGGTGAGTCAAGTTTAATACATAAGAAGAGTCATAATGATTAATGATCATGCCTTTACTATGTGAAACATGAATTGTATATACCATTTATATGTGCAGACCCTTTAAAACAAGGCTTAGTGGACTGGACAACACGATACAGTATCATTGGAGGGATTGCTCGAGGAGTTCTTTATCTTCATCAAGATTCACGGCTCATATTCATACACCGTGACCTCAAAGCTAGTAACGTGCTCCTAGATGCAGATATGAATCCAAAAATTGCGGATTTTGGAATTGCTTGGATCTTTGGGATGGACCAAACTCGAGCTGAAACACGTAGGATAGTTGGAACATAGTAAGTATTTTTTTACCTTTCAGCTAAAGTTTGACAAAGTTTTTAGTTTGTGTGTAAAGTTATACGTTCTCTTTTGTGCTCTTCCAGTGGTTACATGTCTCCAGAATATGCAATGCAAGGCCATTTCTCCATGAAGTCTGATGTCTATAGCTTTGGAGTCTTAGTTCTTGAGATTATAAGCGGCAAGAAGACTAGCAGCTTAGACCAGACGGACGGTAATATTAGCAACTTGGTCACATATGTGAGTACCAACAAAAACCAAATTTCAAAAAATTCAACTTCCTAAGTTTGAGAGAAGTAATGGAATTTGGTTGTCATGTTTAGGCATGGAGGCTTTGGAGAGAAGGTTCACCATTAGAGCTAGTGGATCCGGCCATAGGAGGGAACTATCATAGCAATGAAGCAACAAGATGCATCCATATTGCACTGTTGTGTGTTCAAGAAGATCCTGCAGATCGTCCGACTTTGCCTTCGACTACCTTAATGCTCACTAGCAACACAGTTACTCTACCACTGCCTCAACAACCTGGATTTTTTCTTCCATAGTAGAGTTGATCAAGACATTGTAGCTGAGGGCTTATATTCAAGTTCTACGGCAAGATCAGTTCCTTGTTCTGTGAATGACGCATCGATTACTGATTTAGAGCCTCGTTGAAGATGGAAAAAGTCCAAGAGTGTGAGTGTCTCTTCCACTACACTGATTAAACTGATTATTGGTATGGAAGTAAGCTGTAAATTGATGGATCCAGTTGTGCATTCTCTGTTTTAGCTGTACTCTGTTTAGGATTTGAATCATTGACATTATAGGTTTTCATTTGTATGTGTAGACTCCATTGATTGCTGCTTTGGCTGCTCATACTGCTCTGTTTCAACAGTTGGTTTCATGTGTATAAAATTGTAAATTCTACTTTCTTACTCTATTGTTGACCTCCTGTAACTGTAAGTATGTCACATAATTTCAGATATTTTGATTGATTCCATATAACCAAAATTAATTTATTTACAAACCAACCACTAACCAATTTCTCTTCTTCTACTTGTCCTTGTTCTACAACTTCGTCAATTTCTTGAAGCTTTTAAAAGTAAGGGGTTCAAAACCGGGCAAGTTTTCATATGATTGCTCTAGAGAATTTAGATTTCCCACATAAATTCTCTATAATATTTCAAGAAGCTATATACAAGATTCTAGATATTCGATCAGTTTAAATTGGATCTGGTCAAATAATATTGGCTAAGTGGGATCATTGACCAATTCATTTATAAAACTTGTCAAAAATCAACTTAATACTGCAGCACACCTGCAGCGGTTTGGCAATATATGCTTCAAACTGCTCTGCTTCAACGAATCAATTCTCATTTCACAATTCAATATTTTCAAAAAGAAAAAGAAAAAAATATTCTCTTTTGTTTACGGTCAGAGAAATTACAAAAGAGATACTCCAAATGTGAAGAAGCTATTAAGTCTTTTCTCACACAAACAAAACACGTGAAGAGACTGGAAAAACGATATGGCTTTTGGGGAATGGTTGTCGTTTCTCATACAAACAAAAACATTGCGTCTGTAAATAGGTTGTAATATTAGGACAGTCATGGTAAATATAAGTAGGATTTTTAGCAGCAACTGTAAATTTAGGAAGTTGAAACTCGTGAGCAGAAAAGAAGAGGAAAATTAAGGAAGTTGGAACATCCGTAAGAAGACATTTATATATTTCGATTTCCTCAGATTTTTGTTTCTTGTCAAGCTTGGGGAAGCATAATTGATTTTGCTTCTCAGTGGGACTCTGTTCTGTATTAGATTAGGCTGGTTGGTTTGAGAGATGGTTTTGTGACACGAAAAGTCTAGTAAATGCGTGTGTTTTGTCAATGTGACTTGAAAAGTCCTGCCCAACAAGCTTTTAACCAACTCAAACTGAATTAGCAAAATAAAGCTGGTTAAATAATAACAGCGTAACGATCAAATTCAAACCCCAAACGTCTATCAAGTCCCCAAATTTGAAATCCAGAATCTCTAGAAAATGTCTTCATGTCTACGTATAATCATGAGATTTCTCTTACTTCTGCATTAGAAAATGACTACAAGGCATGAAAAAGACATTTGTACGTATTAAAAAGTTACAATCCTAAGAAATACGAGCAATGGCGAATCCACTTAGGAGAATACGGTGTCAAATGACACCCTATTCATTTTATAAAATGTAAAAATATAGCTAAAATACTAGTAGATTCATTAGCAAAAGTGGTAAAATATGCTAATTGACACCCCTATCCAGAGTTCGAATCCTCACATTGACCCCTCTAACCATATTTTGACCCATATAAATAACAATTCTGGATTTGCCACTGATTATACGAGTAACGAGCAAAACATTAGTTTCGGTTTATCTTTTACTTTAGTAAATAATTCTTGAAATGATGGCAGCTGCTAAATTTAATGGTCTCCTTAAAATGCCAGATATCGAAGTTTCCTACTCTTTCGTCTAATGAGCAATAAGAGGACATTTTTGTTCGTGATAACGAAATTGTGGAGATCCGCATGGAAACGGAAACGGAAACGTGGAAGCGAAACGTTTCGGAAACGAGAAACGTCATTTTTGGAAAATATAAGAATGGAAACATTTTGGAAACGTGTGTGTATATATATATATATATAAATATATAATTATATATATTATAAGAGATTATGATGTAGAGAATAATAGGTGAATCTTTTTGTGGTTATTTTTACGTTTAATAATATAAGCCGTATTTAGAGAAAAGTAACTAGTAAATCTCTTTAGTCCGGTGGATAGAATTGTTTCATTGACCCAGCTTGTAATGAGTTCGAACCATGGGAAACAACTTTTGTTTCATTTTTCAACTTTTTAGAGGGTATAATTGTAATTCCAGAACGTCTTCTTCCCTAATTCTCCACATCTTCTGCAAGTTGTGTTTTTAAAACCGAACCGGATGATGAACCGAATTATATCGGGGTCATGGGTTAATCCGGTCCAACCAGGTCCGACCGGGTTTTAAATATTTTATATTTATATTATTTATTATGACATATATCCTGATATATCCTGCATTTAGGTATATACAATATTTGTCATTAATGCATATTACCATTTTTTGCCAATTAAAATAAAATTCTATTAAAAACCCTAATAGAATCTTTTGAATATATCATTTACTCTTCTTGAAAACCTTTCCCCACCCCACTCAAAACCCTTCGCCGCCGCCCTGATAAGTAGGATTTTTGTATCAACTACTCTCAATCCATACCACTCATGTCATTGTAGTACTTGAGATGTCAATCCAAGTGGAGATTTAAACTATCGAAATAAAGAAAAGGCAAAGATCAAGTTTTGATAAAAGATTGGGTTTTGTTTTGTAAAGATCTATGCTTTAAGCTAACAAGATGAAATAAAGATTTAAACTTTGACAATAAAAGATAAAGGAGGCGTCTTGGGTGAGATTAGTTGGGATCAAACGAGCTCAACCTTCCTTTCTCAACACACCAAGACTCAAGCTTTGTGCTTAGACTTTGGGTAAATCCGCCACTCTCGTGGTCAGATCGCTTTGCAAGCTGAGAATCCAAAGCTAGCTCTCACTAGTGGACTCAAAGTTACAAGCTTTCACAAGATCTAGTCTAAAAGTGCACAAGATACATCCCAACAACCAATCTCTTAGGTTGGGAATGTTTCTCTCTATCGCTAGCTCTCTTAGGCATTAACGCAAACACCTTCTAGGTGTACTAGCCTAGATTCGCGACTTCAAGTGATCAAGAAGAAGCCGAGATATAAAGCTCTAGCTAAAGAAAAGCTGGTCAAGGGAGATTAAGGAAGAGGTTAACAGGAAGCTAAAGCTCTGACCTTTCCTAATCTCACCCTCGAAACCTCTAAAGAACTACTCGCTACTCATACTCGAACCGAAAGCAAAGAGGTAAAGAAAGCTAGAAATCATCATTAAGACAAGATTAGCAAACTAAGTACTTCTTAAACTTAAAAGATTCAAAGTAAAAGCTTACAAAAGATCTCCAAGAACAAACTGTTTTTCTTGGAGAGAAACTGGTTACAAGATAAAGATTGCCTAAAAATTAGGTCTTAAAGGTTTATATAGAGAAGGGAAAAGTGTATCCTTGGTCAACATTTTTGCTTTGACTTCACAGATGCGCGCGTAGCTTGAGCAACTTCCTCAAGCACTCTGTTTCCTTTTGCTCAAGGCTCTGTTCCGTCTTGCTTGTTTTGCCATCCGATTACTCCGATCTCCTTCTGGTCCATCTCCGATCATCACCTCCGGTCCCTTCCTTCGCCATAAGCTCCGAATACCTGATAAATGCACCCCAAATGCAATGGAAATGCAAAATGCTATCCTAAAGGCTAAATGATCCTAAGTAGACTAAAGCTACACTAAATGTTATGAAATGGGACTCAATTATACACAGAACTATGCAGTATGAGAGGCTAAATGTATGCAAATGTTGAGTACATCAACACCCCCACACTTAGTCTTTGCTTGCCCTCAAGCAAACATCAACCAAGCATAAGAGTGTTCTCTGAGCAATAGAGTCAAGTGAAAGCCGAGAAGAGAATTGAATCAACAACCTAGTTCCAAGGTCTAAAGCGCAAAAGATGTTCTCTACTTCAAAAATCTTAGCCGCACCTTCATAATACAATCAATGACAACTAGCTCAACCTAAACATGCATTCAAATCCTCTACTCCTTTTAACATTCATTAAAGCTCAAAACAGTGAATCAAAACACATGCAAGTCAAGTTAACTCGTTTGGCCAATGGAAAGAGAGAGAGCAAATCACAATGCAAGCTCATGTCAAATGACAAAGGAAGGGTTCTCTCAAGAAGAAGTGAAACAGCTTCGGCATAATGCTAAAGGCGAGAACCAATTGGGAGGTACAAGGACAAATGATCATCTACCCGAAACCCCAAGTACCTTTTGGTGACTCTCAAATCCGAAACTTCCTATTTCTACCCTTTCCCTTTGGGTTTTTCTTTTCCTTTTCTTAGAGCTTTTTGAAACTTTTAGCGAATTTTTCTAAGGCTTTTTGAAAGACAAACTCGAGAGACTTGGTCTAAACTCTTGCCCTAACCCATCTTTTCCTTTTTTTCTTTTTCTCTTTTTTTTTTTTTTTTTTATTTTCTGATGGGGGCTTTCTTAAACTCACAGACCAAGCTCTTAATCTACCTTAGCTAAAACGCTTCTTTTCTTTTTGCTACAAGCTCTTTCTTTCTTTTTCTTTTTGAATCCCCCCAAGACATTCCCAAACCCAGTCCTAACCTAGTCTGGCCCAAAAAGCGTGGACCAGAATCTACATGATCACCTATCCTTGTCGGCTCAAGACCTAACACTTTATGCCAAGCTTTTTCAAAGGCCTCACAACACACAAGAACAACATTTGGTTTGAAAGGAAGGGTTGGTTAAGGGCAGGGAGTTCTACTTGAATCAACAAAGAAGGATGAACAATAATGCAAAGATGATTCAAGTATGTATAATCCACGAGTTGAACTTAACAAGCATGAGCATGATAATTGATGTTCAGGTTCAGGTTTCACTTAGACAAGGAGCAGATTCAAATCGCAGCAATGCATTCGGTTTTACTAAGACAGTCATGATGCTTTTTGATGATGCGGTTCTACCTTAACTTCAAGAACTATCAAAAGCGCCAAACAACTTAGAACTAGGGCACTGAAGCAATTCCGCAACTCAATCAATCAGCTCAACAAACATTGCTCAGATGCAAATGAAATGATCTTAACTACATGCTCTGTTTTTGGTTTTTTTTTTTAGCAATGCAAAAATGAAAATTTTACATGATTTTCTAGATGCAAATGCATGAGACTCAAGTTATGCAAAATATAAAATAAGAACATAAAGCACTTCGTCAAATACCATTGACCCTCTCCCCCACACTTAGTTCACACGGTCCCTTGTGTGATAAGAAGGCGGAAGAGAGAATCAAAGCAAAAGATAAGTGAAAATAAAAAGAAAAATGCATGCTATTTACATGGTTGGGGTTCATACCTCTCAGAAAGAATCTGAGGAGGAGGATGATGTGGAATCACCCTTTGTGCTCGCTTGAGGTGACTTCGAGGCCTTCCTCTTCCTGGTTGAGGTCTCTGCCGTTTGGAATTTGGAGGAGCCTTCATCACCTTCTTCGGAGTCCTCGACTACGTCGTCGTCATGATAGGAACCGAGGTGTATCGGAGGAGTGTTGTCGGAGTCGTGGCTTGGGAGACTTGCTCTTGCCCTTGGTCAGCTGCTTGATGCGCTTCCCCATCTTCTTCACGGTCTTGAGGAGGGACTTGATCGCTTTGTCCTGGAACTGGTTCCAGGCTTTTGAGCGTGTTGATGCTCTCAAGTGCGGTGTTAGCCGCTGACTTCCTCCCTTTGATCTCGTGGTTCTTGAAGTGGAACTCTCCGGTTTTGTAGTCCATGAGGTTCTTCGTCGCCTGAGCTCTCACCTTCGCCAGCTGCTCCTGGGTGAGCGTAGTCTTCCTCCTCTTGGCCTTGCTCGAGAATGGTCTCGATAGGAGGCTCAAAGTCTATGTTCTCCATGACCGTGATGTAGGTCAAGGTGGTTTGGCGGAAGAAACTCGCCAGCCCGTATTCAAACTGCCTATAGGCGAACTGATAGTTGTGGCGTCCGCTGATGGGTTGGCCGCGAAGGTAGGTGCTCTTGCGGAGATACTGGATGTTTATCGCAGGATCAACCGGCTTCTCAAGCGTGATTCCACGTTCATGAGGATCGGCGTTATGAGTCCTCCACAGCTCAGCTGACCACTGCTTGCCTTGTGCACTTTGTTGAGAGAAGAGCATACTCCCTGTAGCTGAGGAAGCTCTTGAGAAGATACGTCGCCACGCTGTTCCCTGTTCTGTCCCCGACCATCTCAGTTCCATCCGGCAACGTGTGAATCACCTTCTTCATCCCTTCATTTAGGAAGAAGAGCTCCTTTTCGGTGACACCAGTCACGTCGCGCCTCACATAGATGGTGTGAGCGAGGGCCTTGTGGACGTATCGGAGCACGGGGTTCCTGATGTGTGTGCTCTTGGCAGTGCTAGCATGTACTCGCCAACTCCGATCATTGCCCAGAAGGCTTGAAGCTCTGCTTGTGGCGTTCCAGGCTCTGTTTCTCGCCATCTTTGTGTTCAAAATGAAACACATCCTCCAGCTCCTTGAAACTCATCCGGTACTTCCTCTTGTTGATTCGGAAGGAGAACCTTCCACTTCCATGCCCTCAGGCACGATCTCGTCAGGCTCGTAGAAGTTAACTCGGAGAGTGGAGAGGAACTCGATGGTTTCCTTCTGGTATGCAGGGGAGGGTTCATCATCAGCCTCGCAAGCTGCATCTCTCGAAGATAGTGGCAATCCTGAGAGATCCCAGCTCTATCATCGTCAGGTCAGGGTATCTCGTCCCGACGAAAGACATCTGGTCGAAGATCTCGGCGTAGTCCTTGCTCTTCATGACTCCGGATCCGCTTTTCCTACTGCCTGAGCCTTCCTCTGTCCGCGGTTTCTTTCCTTCCGCCTTCTCCGCCGCGGCTCTCGAGAGAGTTCCTCTTGTCGTGGACACCATTGTTCCTGTGGAAAAACAAACTCACAAACAGAGTAAGTATCTCAGCCAAATAATGTCACTGCAAGGCTTAGAGAAGAAACAGATCAAGCAAGTTGAGATTCGAGATAAAAATCAAAGCTTTAGACAGATCTCAACTAAAAAGGTCGATTAAAACCGGCGGTGAACTCAAATCTCGGAAAAACAGAGACATGCAAAACAGTTTTCAAAAATCCAAACTCAAAATCTCTCTTTCAACCTTAACCCGAAACAAATCTACCTCTACTAAGCGAAAATCAAAACCAAATCTAGCCAAAGTCGGAGAAATTACCGGTTGAGCGCAGAAAACGGTTTGAAAGTGAAGAAGAAAGAGCGAAAAAGTAGAGAGAAAGATGGAGATTTTTCTTTTCACAAATCGGGAAAAAGGAGAAGTATGAAAGAGAGAGTTTGGCTTGTCTCGGTTTTGTAAAAGGTAAAGTAGAGAGAGATGGGTTGCGGAAAAATCGGAGAAGGATTTGGATTAAAACCGCTGTCAAATCACAACTTCCCCAATTGACTACTTTCTCTCTCCCACGTTCCTTTTCTCTCCTTTTCTTTTTCTTTTCAAACCGAGACAAAATTCCGGATAAAACTCGATCAAAAACTGTTTTATTTGGGCCTTAAACAGGAATGGGCTTACCTGGCAACGATTTTTGAGAAAAACCTAAGTCTTTTCAAAAATCGTTGCATCGTTCTTCTTGATCAGTTTGCTCAAGCTTATCGTCAGGCTGACCGAACACTTCCTTCATCTATACACCTGAGCACTTATAAAACTAAAACAAGAAAGATTAAGCAAAAATAAATATATACAAAGATAACCATGGGACTTCCTCCCAAGTGAGCTTGTTTTGAGTCCCATAGCTTGACTTTCATAACCTTTTAGGCTAAGGGAGCGTCCGGAAGAGGAGTTGAGACTCCTTCTCCTTGAATGCGTTGGCCCAAATATGGTTTGAGCTTGTGGCCATTCACCGTGAACTCCTCGCCATTCTGGTTGAGCAAAGTGACAGCTCCATAAGGAAGGACTTCCTTAATCTCAAACGGGCCCGACCACTTGGACTTGAGCTTCCCAGGGAACAACTTAGCTCTCGAGTTGAAAAGCAGCGCATATTCTCCAACCTTGAAGACCTTAGGCACAATTTTCTTGTCGTGAAATGCCTTAGTCCGTTCTTTGTAAATCTTGGAGCTCTCATATGCGTCCAGCCTGATCTCTTCCAACTCATGTAAGTCGAAACCCCTCTTCTCTTGGGCAGACCTGATGTCGAAGTTGAGCAGTTTGATTGCCCAGAGTGCTCTGTACTCAATCTCCACCGGAAGGTGACACGATTTCCCGTAAAGGAGCGAGAAAGGTGTCCTTCCTATTGGCGTCTTATAGGCGGTCCTGTAAGCCCAGAGAGCGTCGTCCAACTTAACTGCCCAGTCCTTCTTGGTGACTCCCACAATCGTCCTGAGGATCCCCTTTATCTGCTTGTTCGACACTTCCACTTGACCACTTGTCTGAGGATGGTATGGTGTCGCTACCTTATGCTTGACTCCATACTTCTTCAGTAGTTCTCGAAGACTTTGTTGATAAAGTGGCTTCCTCCATCGCTTATTACAACCCTTGGCACTCCATATCTCGGGAAGATGATGCTTTTGAATAGCTTGAGCACAACCTTGGCATCGTTCGTTGGGGAAGCGATTGCCTCGACCCACTTGGACACATAGTCAACCGCCACAAGGATGTATCTATTCCCATGAGAAGGTGGCTCGAAAGGGCCCATGAAGTCGATGCCCCATACATCAAACACTTCCACCTCAAGTATCGGGTTGTGGCATTTCATTGCGCTTGGAAATGCTCCCTTCTCGTTGGCATCTATCACACCTTGCAATGAAGTCGTGAGTGTCTTTGAAAAGGCTTGGCCACCAGAATCCGGCTTGAAGAACCTTGGAAGCTGTTTTGAAAGTCGCAAAGTGACCTCCGTAGCTTGATCCGTGACAATGCTCGAGTATTCCCTCTACTTCCTCCTGAGCTATGCACCTCCTAAACAGACCATCCGATCCTCTCTTGAACAGGTATGGTTCGTCCCAAAAGAGTGTGAGATGTCCCTGAAGAACTTCTTCTTCTGGTAAGGAGATAGGTCGGTTGGACTTCCCACACACCAAGTAGTTGGCGTAATCTGCATACCAAGGCGCTTCCTTTTCCTCAACTGCCTTCAACTGCTCTAACCGAACTGCCAAACCTACGCTTTTCCCAGACTTCCACCAAGAGTAGCTGTTCCTCAGGCAGAGTATCGTCGATAGGTGCCGGTTCATTTACTCTCATCCTCGAGAGATGATCCGCAACTCCGTTCTCAACCCCTTTCTTATCCAGAATCTCGAGATCGAATTCCTGGAGAAGAAGTATCCATCTCAGGAGCCTTGGCTTGGTGTCCTTCTTTGCCAACAGATGTCTTAAGGCTGCATGATCAGTGTAGACTATCACCTTTGAACCCACGAGATAACTCTGAACTTCTCGAACGCAAAGACCACTGCCAAGAGCTCTTTCTCAGTTGTTGCGTATCGTCCTTGGGCATCGTCCATGGTTCTGCTTGCGTAATATATCACGTGGAGCTTTCTTGTCTATCCTCTGGCCAAGCACAGCTCCCACGGCGTAGTCACTAGCGTCACACATGATCTCGAAAGGGTAGTCCCAGTTTGGTGCTTGCACAATCGGGGCCGTGACCAAGGCAGTCTTGATCATCTCAAATGCCTTAAGGCACTCCTCGTCAAACAGGAACTCAGTCTCCTTGCACAAGAGGCGTGTCAAAGGACGAGCTATTTTGGAGAAGTCTTTGATAAATCTCCGATAGAAACCAGCGTGCCCAAGGAAACTTCTCACGTCCTTGACTGTCTTTGGTGGAGCAAGCTGACTCATCACCTCAATCTTTGCTTGATCAACCTCTATCCCCTTTTCTGATATCTTGTGTCCCAAGACAATCCCTTCCCTGACCATAAAGTGACACTTCTCCCAATTGAGCACTAGGTTCGTCTCCTCGCAGCGCTTGAGAACCCTGCACAAGTTGGACAAACAAGACACAAAAGAACTGCCATAGACAGAGAAGTCATCCATAAACACCTCAACAGTGTCCTCAATTAAGTCCGAAAAGATTGACGTCATGCACCTTTGGAAAGTCGCCGGAGCGTTACACAATCCAAAGGGCATACGTTTATAGGCAAAAGTTCCATAGGGACATGTGAAGGTGTTTTCTCTTGGTCATTAGGGTGGATGGGGATTTGAAAGAATCCCGAATAGCCATCAAGGAAGCAATAGAAAGGATGGTTCGCCAACCGCTCAAGCATCTGATCGATGAAAGGCAGTGGAAAATGATCCTTCCTAGTCGCCGCATTGAGCTTTCGGTAATCTATGCACATTCGGTGACCGGTTATGGTTCTGGTTGGGATCATTTCGTTTTTTTCGTTCTTGACTACTGTGATTCCACCTTTCTTGGGCACACAGTGTACCGGCGAGACCCAAGTACTATCCGAGATAGGGTAGATCACGCCGGCGTCAAGCAACTTAAGGATTTCCTTTTTCACCACCTCTTTGAGGTTGGGATTTAAACGTCTTTGGTGTTCAATAGATCCTTAGATTCATTATCTAGGTGAATGCGATGAGTACAAAGCTCAGGAGATATGCCTTTGATGTCCTCTAAAGAGTAACCAATTGCTCTCCTGAACTTCCTCAACTCATTAAGGAGGGAGGTTAATTGGGGTGGGGTAAGTTCTTGGTTCACAATTACGGGATAAGTTGAATTTGGTCCAAGAAATGCGTACCTTAGCCCATCTGGTAAGGTCTTGAGGTCCACCTTTGGGGCTTTGAGCTCACTCCAGTCATCGTCTGACAGTTGCTCAAGATTGTGCTCTGCCTCTACCTTGTGGACTTCCTCAATCTCACTGAGCGTCCTATGATTTCCTCAACCATGTCATTGGGAACAGTCCCTCTGTGGGAGTGTAAGAGTCGAGCATACTCCAAGGATTCGGTGTAAGTTCTTGGTTCACAATTACGGGATAAGTTGAATTTGGTCCAAGAAATGCGTACCTTAGCCCATCTGGTAAGGTCTTGAGGTCCACCTTTGGGGCTTTGAGCTCACTCCAGTCATCGTCTGACAGTTGCTCAAGATCGTGCTCTGCCTCTACCTTGTGGACTTCCTCAATCTCACGGAGCGTCCTATGATTTCCTCAACCACGTCATTGGGAACAGTCCCTCTGTGGGAGTCTAAGAGTCGAGCATACTCCAAGGATTCGGTGTTGAAGTAGCTCTTTTCCTCCGCCTTCTCAGTCAAGGTTAGCTGAAGCTGGTCCTCTGTGGCTAACTCCTCTAGATACTCGTCTGCCAACTGATCCAAAGTCTCTACCCAGAAGAGCTGTCCATCAATGGTTGGTTTCTTCATCGACCTCTTGATGTCGAAGCTGAGCTTGAAGTCATCTCCAAAGTTTAGCTCAATCTTCCCTCTCTGAACATCGATGATAGCTCCGCGGTTGCCAAAAAGGGCCTTCCCAAGATCAGCGGATCCTTGGGTTCCTCATCCATCTCAAGGATAACAAAGTCAGTGGGTATCTCCACGTTTCCTACTCGCACAGGCAAGTCCTCGAGCATACCCACTGGGATGCGTACTGATCTATCCGCAAGTACCAAGGAAACGTCGCACTTTTGATACTTCTCGAACCCAAGCCTCTTAGCTACTGTAGTGGCATCACAGACACGCCTGCTCCAAGATCACATAAGCTTCGGTTGAATGCTATTGGGCCAATAGAACAAGGGAGTGTGAAGCTGCCTGGATCCTCAAACTTCTTCCCAACCACTTTCCTAGTGATGATTGCGCTACATTCCTGAGAAAGAACGACCATACCCTGAACCTCTTTCCTTCTCTCGGTTACAGCGTCCTTGAGAAATTTCTGATAGGGAGGAATGAGCATACATGCATCCAAGAAGGGCATTGTAATCTCAATCTCCTTTATCTGCTTGTCAAACAGAGCTCTTGCTTTCTCAAGCTGTTGCTTTTTGAATCGGGAAGGAAAGGGAAGTTGCGGTTTGTAGGAGGAGGCACGAAAGCTGGGGCTTTCTTCTTCTTTTGCACTTCCTCTGGTGCTTTCTCTTTCTCTTGAACTGGTGGTTCCTCTTCAGCTACAGGTGCTGCGACTTCAGTTTCAACTGAAATCTCCTCCTCTTGTTCCTCAATGTCCTCATTGACTGGTGCGGGTCCTGTTCTCGGAGGTAAAGCGCGTCCACTTCTCAATGTGATTGCGTGGACGTACTCCTTTAGGGTTTTGCTCAGCTTTACCCGGAAGTTGACCTTGCGTTCTGGATGATGATGCAGTTCCGCCTTTGTTCTCAAGCTGATGGATTCTACTTGTGAGAGCTTCAATTTTAGTCTGAAGGTCGTGGTGTGAGAAGTCGATTCTCCCATTGATCTCAGATAGTCGCTTGTTGAGATCCACGTTTCCGGCAGACTGTCCCTGAAGTAGTTGCTGAAGCATCTGCTTTACTCCAGGTTCTTGCGGACCTTGCTTAGCCTCGAATCCAGGTGGAACAGAGGTGTTTTTCTGATAGCCTCCTTGGAAATTTTTGTTGTACCCATCTCGTGGTTTAGTTGGGTACATCTTTCCTTGACCAGACGTGTTGGCTTGAGGAGGATAGACTTGGTCCTGGGGGTTCTCTACATTCGTGCTTCGATAGGACATGTTGGGGTTGTTCTTGTAGTAACCCTGGCTATGAATGTAGTTGACGTCCTCAGTGTAAAACTCCTCCTCTTGATCGTCATCGCGTTCCTCCAGCATGTGTACCGACTGTTTTTGCTGGACTATAAGCAGTTTGTCAAGCTTGTCGTTCAGCACTTCAGTTCCTTCTTGTGCTTTTCCTCTGCTTCAACGGATCCTCTGTTTATGCGGTCGGTGTCTTCGCCGTATGTACCATTGCTCATTGCCATGTTTTCCACCAAGAACAGACCGTCATCACATCTCTGGCTAAGAAGTTGCCTTGGCTTGCTGTGTCAAGCATCTGCCTGAAGCGAGGCAGTACACCACGGTATAGAGTACTTAAGGAGTGACTCTTGAGAGAAACCGTGGTGTGGGCACTTCGACTGGTATCCTTTGAAGCGTTCCCAGGCGTCTGTGAAACTCTCGCCGTGCTTTTGTGCGAAGCTTGAGATGTTGGTTCTGAAGCTTGCAGTTCTGACTGAGGAGAAGAACTTAGCCAAGAAGGCTTTCTTGCACTGATCCCAGCTTGTGATGGACCCTCGAGGTATCGTCTTTTCCCATTGGCGAGCTTTGCCATCAAGTGAGAATGGGAATAAACGAAGTTTGGTTGCGTCTTCGCTTACCCCATTCTGTGTGATCAAATCACATGCTCTGTCAAACTCGTCAAGATGGTCCAACGGGTCTTCCTCAGGTAGACCGTGATAGATCTTTTGTTGGACTTGATGCAGAATGTGCGGTTTGATTTCGAAGTTGTTGTGCACATTCGGCGGGGCTATGCCTTGACGGTTTTCGTGAGTATTAGGTGCATCGCCGGCACCTATTTGACGGTGAGGTCGCAGAGGTGGATTGTTTCGCTGACCACCTTGTTGTTCCGGTCCGGGTGGGAATCCTTCCTGTTGGGGTTGGGCTGCCATGTCCGGAACCTCTTGTCTTCTGGTTCGCGAAGTAACTCTGCGTGACCGTTTGTTTTGCTCTGCTTTGTCAAGATCGCTTGTACTTAGGAGGTTGTCTCGTCCTTTGGATCTGGTGTGCATACACCTGAGGTCAAAGATGAGAGGTTTCACAGAAAGTTAGCGACTTTAGGCAAGATAGAGCAAAACCGACTTAATCTAAGGTTTTTCTTGAAAACGAAATGCTTAAAAGTCTCCACTTTGGCAACGGCGCCAAGTTGATAAGTAGGATTTTTGTATCAACTACTCTCAATCCATACCACTCATGTCATTGTAGTACTTGAGATGTCAATCCAAGTGGAGATTCAAACTATCGAAATAAAGAAAAGGCAAAGATCAAGTTTTGATAAAAGATTGGGTTTTGTTTTGTAAAGATCTATGCTTTAAGCTAACAAGATGAAATAAAGATTTAAACTTTGACAATAAAAGATAAAGGAGGCGTCTTGGGTGAGATTAGTTGGGATCAACGAGCTCAACCATCCTTTCTCAACACACCAAGACTCAAGCTTTGTGCTTAGACTTTGGGTAAATCTGCCACTCTCGTGGTCAGATCGCTTTGCAAGCTGAGAATCCAAAGCTAGCTCTCACTAGTGGACTCAAAGTTACAAGCTTTCACAAGATCTAGTCTAAAAGTGCACAAGATACATCCCAACAACCAATCTCTTAGGTTGGGAATGTTTCTCTCTATCGCTAGCTCTCTTAGGCATTAACGCAAACACCTTCTAGGTGTACTAGCCTAGATTCGCGACTTCAAGTGATCAAGAAGAAGCCGAGATATAAAGCTCTAGCTAAAGAAAAGCTGGTCAAGGGAGATTAAGGAAGAGGTTAACAGGAAGCTAAAGCTCTGACCTTTCCTAATCTCACCCTCGAAACCTCTAAAGAACTACTCGCTACTCATACTCGAACCGAAAGCAAAGAGGTAAAGAAAGCTAGAAATCATCATTAAGACAAGATTAGCAAACTAAGTACTTCTTAAACTTAAAAGATTCAAAGTAAAAGCTTACAAAAGATCTCCAAGAACAAACTGTTTTTCTTGGAGAGAAACTGGTTACAAGATAAAGATTGCCTAAAAATTAGGTCTTAAAGGTTTATATAGAGAAGGGAAAAGTGTATCCTTTGGTCAACGTTTTTGCTTTGACTTCACAGATGCGCGCAGCTTGAGCAACTTCCTCAAGCACTCTGTTTCCTTTTGCTCAAGGCTCTGTTCCGTCTTGCTTGTTTTGCCATCCGATTACTCCGATCTCCTTCTGGTCCATCTCCGATCATCACCTCCGGTCTGCTCCTTCGCCATAAGCTCCGAATACCTGATAAATGCACCCCAAATGCAATGGAAATGCAAAATGCTATCCTAAAGGCTAAATGATCCTAAGTAGACTAAAGCTACACTAAATGTTATGAAATGGGACTCAATTATACACAGAACTATGCAGTATGAGAGGCTAAATGCATGCGAATGTTGAGTACATCACCCCCCTACCATCGATTACATCCCCTCTTTCCTTCTCCTTCTTTGTATCTTCTAAAATTCTAAGCTTTTCATAAAACTCAATTTCTTTGTTTCTTCAGGTTAATAGATCGATCAAAAAACTCAACAAAACCAAAGAGCTTACTGTAAAAAATCAACAAAAACAATGGTAGAAAACTCAAAATTTTCAAAACTGGGTTTAGAGGGTTCGCCGGTTCAATCCGGTTCCCCGGTTTTGTCCAGTTTTTAGCCGATTTTTATGGTTTTAATCAACACCGGTTTTCAGCAGTAACTCAAACCGGATACCCCTCCGGTTCACGGTCCAACGGGTTCAAGCGGCCGGTCCGGTCCAGTTTTAAAAACACTGTCTGCAACCCTAATTTTGGCAGCTGCCTTCAATAATTTTCACATCTTACATCAATCTTTGTGTGTTTTTAGTCATTTTCTTCATAAATTTTGTGGATCTAACAGATATGAATCTTTCAAAACTAAAATATCGAATCAAATTAAATTTTCCAAAATTCTCCAATTTTGTTGTTGATGAGTTCTTACCCACCGCTAAGGCTGCTGCAAGACCGTATTTTCAAACAGAAAACAGGTTTCCGATGCGTTTCCGATTTGGAATCGGACGTTTCCACCACATTTCCAAATGGAGGATTTCACGAAACGCATTTCCATGCGTTTCCATCGCGTTTCCATCACGTTTTCAATCTTTTAGAATTATTAAATGGGTTATTATTTTCCCACCCTCCTCTACACGTCAGTGTAGACTTACTTTTTCGTCTAAAGACGAACGCAAGGATATCTACATTTAAGTTTTTTTTTTTTAGAAACATAATTCCTAGAATTTGTGGACATTTTTTTCCTTGACGAAGAATTTGTAGAGACTGTATAGCGAACCGATTTTTTTTTTCTTTTTCTAAGCAAAGGGTTACGAACTGGAAATTTTCCTAGAATTATTATATTGGTTCGTTGGTTAAATAGTTCTAGTATTATTATAACTTTGCCACCATTTGGTAAAATCATAATTAAGAGATTTTTTGGTCTCATAGACATATCTTTATTTTAACAATTAGCATAAAAAAATATATAATCGTTGCATGTAATGTTAAATGGATAATGTTTTTATCGACAAATAGCATGAAATATCAACGTAGCATTTTTCCACTGAAATGGAATTTGATTCTAGTGTGACTTGAAAAGTCCTGCCTCACAAATCATCCCATGTTTCACGTTGATCGTTGTAGTCACAGACTCACAGAAAGAAGATACTATAAATGGGAGCTTCATGAGATGTGAAATCACAAACCAAGGAAGTCGAACCATGTCTTCTTGCGCCTCTTTGATTTTCCTTTTCCTTTTCACCTTCTTCCCTAGCTTCAAAGCTTCTGCTAGAGATCCTAATGATTTTTACCATTATTGTCCCAATACGACAACGTATACAAGTAACAGCACTTACTTCACCAATCTCAAAAACCTTTTGTCCTCTCTCTCTTCCCCAAACGCCTCATACTCCACCGGATTCCAAAACGCTACAGTGGGACAAGCCCCCGACAGGGTCACCGGATTTTTCCTCTGCCGCGGAGATCTCTCCCCTGAAGTTTGCCGTAACTGCGTCGCCTTTTCCCTCAACGATACTTTAACTTTGTGTCGTAATGCGAAAGAAGCCGTGCGTTATTACGATGAGTGCATGCTCATATATTCTCACAAGAATATTCTCTCGACCGTTACATACGGTGCAGGATACATGGGGTTGAACACCAAAAATATTTCATCTAATCAAGAAGACCGGTTCGAAGACTTGGTGTCGTTGACGATGAATCAAGCTGCCCTTGAAGCGGCGAGCAGTTCTAGAAAATTCTCCATGATAAAGACCAACTGGACCGCACTCACGAGTCTGTACGCGCTGGCTCAGTGCACTCCTAATCTTAGAAAAGTAGACTGTTTGAGCTGTCTGTATCAATCCATCTATGGAATGCCTCTTAACAGAGTTGGAGGAAGACTTCTTTGGCCAAGCTGTAGTACGAGGTACGAACTTTACTCATTCTACAACGAAACCGCCGTTAGAACACTATCACCAGCACCACCACCATCACCATCACAACAAGCACCGCCACCACGTCAACAACCTACCAACGTCTCTACTTCTCCGGTGTCATCTACTCCACGACATGGTGAGTTCTTTCTTCTTCCTCTGTTTTCTCGAAATTTACAATACCATTATGGTAAGTTTTTTTTTGAGCTTGTGATTGAGTCTAAGCAGATAATAATTAAAACGCAGGGAAAGGTGGGAATTCAAACGTATTAGTAGTAGCCATCGTTGTGGCTATTATAGTTATTCTTCTGCTTTTAACAGCTGGCTACTGTTTCCTTGCAAAGAGGACAAAGAAGGCTTTTGATATTGCCCCAGCTTTTAATGGTAAAGTTTTGAATGATTTCACCATTTTAATTGCGTTATATATATTTTTGTTTGTAATAAAAACTGATTAATACGACGTTTAATGGACAACAGGAGACGATATAACAACCGTAGAGTCGCTGCAACTTGAATATAGAACAATTCAAGCTGCAACAAATGATTTTTCAGAGAGTAACAAGATTGGTCAAGGTGGATTTGGCGAGGTTTACAAGGTAATACACCACTATTAAAACTTTAATTAATTTCATGCGCCGGAGGTTGTTTGTATAAACACATTCATTTGGATAACGAGATGAAAACGGGTAGGGTACACTTTCGGATGGGACTGAAGTTGCGGTTAAGAGACTGTCAAAAACATCCGGACAAGGTGACACAGAATTCAAGAACGAGGTTGTTGTTGTTGCAAAGCTTCAACACAGAAATCTTGTTAGGCTTCTCGGATTTTCTCTACAAGGAGAAGAAAGGGTATTGGTGTACGAGTATGTTCCCAACAAAAGCCTTGATTACTTCCTCTCTGGTCAGTTGCATTTATTGTTTTTTCTCTTCCAATGATTCTCTAGCCATTCTTTAAATTCTCTTCCAATATATCATCATGGATGTGCACACACAGACCCTGCCAAGCAAGGTCAACTGGACTGGCAGACTCGACGATACAAAATCATTGAAGGGATTACTCGGGGGATTCTATATCTTCATCAAGATTCACGGCTTACAGTCATACACCGTGACCTCAAAGCAAGTAACATTCTCTTGGATGCTGACATGAATCCGAAAATCACTGATTTTGGAATGGCAAGGATCTTTGGAATGGACCAAACACAAGAGACCACAAGCAGAATAGTTGGTACCTAGTAAGTCTTGCACTTAGCTTCTCATAATTTATTGACCATTATTTAGCCAACATACTAAAGTCTTCTTCTTGAATTCAGCGGATACATCTCACCGGAATATGCGATGCATGGTGAATTTTCAGTGAAATCAGATGTCTATAGCTTCGGAGTATTAGTTCTTGAGATTATAAGCGGCAAGAAGAATAGTAGCTTCTACGAGACAGATGGTGTACATGATGACTTGGTCACATATGTAAGTTTTTTAATTACCTATCTTACAAAAAGCAACGGTTGCAAATACTGATTTATCATATATATTCTAGGCATGGAGACTTTGGAGTAACGGTACAGGGTTAGACCTCGTGGATCCAATTATTGTAGATAATTGCCAGAGGAATGAAGTTGTTCGATGCATCCATATCGGTCTTTTATGTGTTCAAGAAGATCCTGTTGATCGTCCGACCTTTTCAACCATTATTGTGATGCTCACTAGTAATACTGTGACACTACCAGTGCCTCAGCAACCCGGATTTTTCGTTCAGAGTAGACCAGAGAGAGACCCGCTTGATACAACAGATCAGTCTACTACAACCAAGTCTGTTGCAACTTCTGTTGACGATTCATCCATCACTGATTTATATCCTCGTTGAGTATGGTGTTGCGGCGACAAGCTTGGACCAATTGGTGTTATTTGAAAACAAGCTTAAAACTTTTCTAGCTGTCAAATTAACCGCAAGCAAATTTTAAAAGGTGAACAAATCGGTTTATATACATGTCATCCTTATCTTGATTTTTCACACACTATTTTAAATAAAAATCAACTCGGTTTATATACTACATACATATCTCGCCATTCCGAAATCTGCAATTTTTGGTTCATAGCAGCGTCTAAGAGGATGTTACTTGTTTTGAGGTCACGGTGTATATATATATGATTGTGAGCCGCGAATCTTGAAGAAGATATAGAATCCCTCTAGGCTCTAGCATAGATTTCCTCCAATGATCTTGTACCGTGTAATTCAATCCAGCTGGCTTTTCAATGTAGAATCTGGACAATCCTTTTTAAAATGTTATAAAACTACAATATATAGTCTCAAGAATGGGGTTGAACAATGAAAAGTTTTGAGCTAAAATATTATATTAAGTGACCAAAGAGGAAGTGATCGAGACTTTTGTTAGCCACAAACTCATAGACAAGTTTTCTCTTCTCTGTCATAACAATAACCTCATTCTTGTTCACCTTGTACTGATGTTTTCGAGATTCTCTTCACCGCAACCTGTAATCCATTCGGAAATGTTCCCTACAAAGAATAAGATATATATGAATTTAAACCGAAATCAGTACTTATGTTTGATGTCTCTTATATATGAAGCTCAATGAACTGGTAAAAATATTATATATACCTTGTAAACTTCTCCGAATCCACTTTGACCAGGTTTGTTACTTTCCGAAAACTTATCCGTTGCAGCTTCAACAGCTTTAAAATCAAACTGCAAAGAGCCAGCAGTTGTAATATCATTCCCATCTGCAAAGTCATATGTTTTCTTGCAGGACACGTAATAATAGTGCAGTACTATACGTTAGCATGTTCCATTTCAAAACACATTGATCTCGTGTTGTCTGTAAAGAGTAATTGAAGGCCATTTCTCCATGAAGTCTGATGTCTATAGCTTTGGAGTCTTGGTTCTCGAGATTATAAGCGGCAAGAAGACTAGCAGCTTAGACCAGACAGACGGTAATATTAGCAACTTGGTCACATATGTGAGTAGTACCAACAAAAACCAAAATTCAAAAAATTCAACTTACTAAAGTTTGAGAGAAGTAATGTAATTTGGTTGTCATGGAGGCTTTGGAGAGAAGGTTCACCATTAGAGCTACTGGATCCGGCCATTGGAGAGAACTATCATAGCAATGAAGCAACAAGATGCATCCATATTGCACTGTTGCGTGTTCAAGAAGATCATGTAGATCGTCCGACATTGCCTTCAATTACTTTAATGCTCACTAGCAACACAATAACTCTACCACTGCCTCAACAACCTGGATTTTTCTTCCAGAGTAGACCTGATCAAGACTTTGTAGCTGAGGGATTAGGATCAAGTTCTACGGCAAGATCTATTCATTGTTCTGTGAATGACGCATCGATTACTGATTTAGAGCCTCGATGAAGATGAAAACAGTCTAAGAGTGTGAGTGTCTCTTCCACTACACTGATTAGACTGATAATTGGTATGGAAGTGAGCTGTAAATTGATAGATCCAACTGTGCATTCTCTGTTTTAGCTGTACTCTGTTTAGGATTAGAATCAGTGAGATTACTAGGCTTTCATTTGTATGTGTATACTCCATTGGTTGCTACTTTGCCCGCCCACTCATACTTCTCGGCTTTACAGTTTTTGGTTTTATGGGTGTAAATTTATAAATTCTACTATCTCCTACTCCATTTTCTTACCTCCTGTGAGTTTATGTCACATCATTTCAGATATATCGATTGATTCCATATAACCAAAGCTGATTTATTTACGAACCAATGACACACTAACCAATTTCTCTTCTTCTACTTGTCCTTGTTCTACAACTTCGTCAAGTTCTTGAAGCTTTTAAAAGTAAGTGATTCAAAACCGGGCAAGTTTTCAGGGGCATATGATTGCACTAGAGTATTTAGATTTCCCACATAAATTCTCTATAAGATTTCAAGAAGCTACATACAAGATTCTAGATATTCGATTAGTTTAAATTGGATCTGGTCAAATAATATTGGCTAAGTGGGATCATTGACCCATTCATTTATAAAACTTGTCAAAAATCAACTTAATACTGCACCACACTTGCAGCGCTTTGGCAATATATGCTTCAAACTGCTCTGCTTCAACGAATCAATTCTCAATTCTCATTTCACAATTCAATATTTTCAAAAAGAAAAAGAAAAAAGTATTCTCTTTTGTTTACGGTCAGAGAAATTACAAAAGAAATACTATTGAAATTAAACTTGATTTTGATCAAGGTTTAATTTTGGGTCCATAAACAAATTATTATTAAACCCAAAATTAGGCCCAAGTTCTAGAACTCTCTAGAAACATCATAAGAGGTCATCACTTCCTCAAATTTTCTAGAGAATTCTACTAGATAACTCTCTAGATATTTATGTAGAACTTTCTAGTTCTTGTAAGACAAGAAATCTAGATATTATGTTAGAGAGTTCTAGAGATTAGGATAAACTTGTAAGATAATTTGTAGAAAGTTGTAGAAGAAGAAGAAGAAATATCTAGGACCTAAGGAGGTTATAGAAGAGTGTAGAAACTTTGTAAGTAGATTTGGGAGGCTATAAATACCTCCTCACCCCCTCATTTGTAAATGCACAAGAAATTGAACAAGTTAATAAAGAGTGTTCTAAAGCTAAGTTCTCTCTTGTTCTTCTTAAAAGTCTTTCAAGTATTCTCTTGTGTTCTTCCATATTTCTCTTCATACTTAGAGGGTTTATTGTTTCTTTCGGGTTTCTCGGGTATTACGGTCTTGGGCTAGTGCTAAGCACTATCGGTGCTGGTTTCTCTACATGGTATCAGAGCCATTCTAATCTTGTGCTCATCAAGATCGGGATTTAGGAGAACTCGGGTTTACTCTAAGTATGGAATCAATGGGTCGTGTTGTTGGATTGGGAATGGAGATCTTAAACCAATCTAACTACCGGTTATGGAAGTCATGTATGGAGTCATACTTGGTGAGTGAGGACTTATGGGATGTCGTCGGCGGCAGTAGCACCACACCACCAATGGGAGCTGCTGCGACAGCGGAAGCGACAAAGGAATGGACACGGAAGAATGCCAAGGCGGAGTTTGCATTGAAGAGGTCAATATCCTCGGGAGTATTTGAGCATGTCTCAAGGTGCACATCCGCTAGTTCCATTTGGCAAGCGTTGGACCAACTGTTCAACAAGAAGAATGAGGCTCGTCTACAACTGTTAGAGAACGAGTTGGCGAATGCGAAGCAGGGGGAGTCTTCAATCTCAGAGTTCTTCATCAAGGTAAAGAACCTTTGCTCTGAGATTAACACTCTTAATCCGGAGGAGTCTATTTCGGAAGCTCGGTTAAAGCGGTCTATTATTCGTGGTTTACGACCCGAATATACACCGTTTGTGACTTCCGTTCAAGGATGGGCTACACAACCTTCCTTGGAGGAGTTTGAAAATCTGCTAGCTTCGCAAGAATCCTTAGCCACGCAAATGGCGGGAGTCAAAATCCATGATGACTCGGGGAGCGCTTTTGTAGCTCGGAGGCAACAGAGCTACAAAGGAAAAACCAAGAATGATGGTGTAAAGAATAATGATGGACGGGAAAGATCTTCTACGGGAGACAAGAAGCAGTTCAAGTGTTACCGGTGTGGAAAGCTTGGGCATTTCAAAAAGGACTGTCGGGTCAAGCTGAAGGAAACCAATATGGCGGAATCAAAAAGTCATACTGAAGACGAAGATTGGGGGAAATGTTTCACGGTGGAGGCTGCATCTTCAGGTACATCCACAACTAAAAATCTTGGAAATGATTGGATTGTGGATTCGGGTTGTAGCCATCATATTACCGGAAACGAGAAGTTATTTTCTAGTCTTCAACGTCATGACGGGAAAGAAGCTATTATCACTGCGGATAATTCAATCCACCGGGTTGAGAAGGAAGGGACTATTGTTATTGAAGGAGAAGAAGGAGGCCCAATCACTCTCAAGAACGTATACCATGTCCCTGGAGTTAAGAAGAATCTTCTTTCCGTGGTGAATGCGGTGGACTCAGGTAACTACGTTTTATTTGGACCAAAAGACGTTAAATTCTTGAAGAATATTCAAGAGTTAAAGGCGGACGTAGTTCACACCGGAGCACGGGTTAAAGATCTTTATGTCTTATCGGCCTCAAATTCGTACATTGAGAAGATGAGTACGAATGATAATGCTTTTATTTGGCATGCTAGGCTTGGCCATATAAATATGACTAAGCTGAAGGCTATGGTGAATAAAGATCTGGTTAATGGGCTCCCAAAGTTGAAGATTCAAGATGAAGGAAAGCTTTGTGAAGGTTGTCAATATGGAAAATCACATAGACTTCCATTTGACAATTCTACTTCACGATGCAATGCTCCGTTGGAGAGGATCCATAGTGATTTGATGGGTCCGACGAGAACATCCTCCTATTCCGGGTTCCGCTACATGCTGTTGTTCGTTGATGATTACTCACGGTACACCTGGGTATACTTTGTGAAGGAAAAGTCAGAAGTATTCTCCAAGTTTCAAGAATTCAAGGTTACCGTGGAAGGAGAGTTGGGTCGGAAAATCAAGACCTTAAGGACGGATAATGGAGGGGAGTTTATGTCAAACGAGTTTCTCTCTTTCTGCCGAAAGCATGGTATCAAGAGAGAATTTTCATGTCCATACACACCTCAACAAAATGGAGTAGCAGAAAGGAAGATAAGGCATCTAAGTGAGACGTGTAGAAGCTGGCTACATGCGAAGAATTTGCCTAAGGCTCTATGGGCAGAAGGGATGAGATGTGCAGCCTATGTCATCAATCGGATGCCGCTTAGTCCAAATAATATGAAGTCTCCTTATGAGATGGTTCATGGGAAGAAGCCAACAGTGAAACATCTCAGGATATTTGGATCTATCTGCTATGTCCATGTGTTCGACTCTCAAAGAACCAAGCTGGAGGCAAAGGCGAAAAAGTGCATCTTTGTCGGCTATGATGAACAAAGGAAGGGGTGGAGGTGTATGGATCCAGAGACACACAGATACACTGTATCTCGTGATGTTGTCTTTGATGAAGTGTCTTCATATTACGGATCTCCTCAAGTCTTGGTTGAGCAAGATGGTGCGGGCTCACTTAAAGACGATGAACCAGCTGCTCAGATACCAAGTGATGGTGGAATTTCTGAACCAGAGATGCAAGGTGAAAGGGGGAGCACTAACCAAGAGGAAGAGGAGGAGGAAGATCATGGTTCCTTGGCTAATCAACGACCAAAACGGGACATCGTTAAACCTGCTCGGTACAGAGATGAAAGGTTTGTTACTACTTACTCATGCTACTTTGCATCTCCTTTTGATGAAGAAGAACCATCATCTTATGATGAAGCAAAAGGAGTTAAAGAGTGGGAGACCGCAATGAAGGAGGAGATGGATGCTCTAAAGAAAAATGAAACTTGGGATTTGGTTCCAAAACCCAAGGATGTCCAACCCGTCTCATGCAAATGGGTGTACCGGATCAAGCGTAAGAGGGATGGAAACATTGATAGACACAAAGCAAGATTGGTTGCTCGGGGATTTTCTCAGAAGTATGGAGAAGACTATGATGAGACTTTCAGTCCAGTGGCGAAGATGACTACGGTACGTACACTCTTATCTTTAGCTGCAAGCTTTGGCTGGAAGTTATGGCAGTTAGATGTGAAGAACGCTTTTCTATACGGAGAACTTGATAAAGAAATCTATATGGAGCAACCACTTGGTTACATATCACAAGAGCATCCCGATTATGTTTGCAAGCTAAAGAAGGCTTTGTATGGGTTAAAACAAGCTCCAAGGGCCTGGTATGGAAAGCTTGCTCAGTTTCTTCAGTTTTGCGGTTACTCTCCGTCGAACTCTGATCCGAGTCTGTTCTTCAAGAAGAATGGAGGAGTCCACGTGGTAGTCCTTCTTTATGTGGATGACTTGATAATTACCGGGAATGATGAAGCGGAAATTGCTCGTCTGCAAGAGGATATGTCGATAAGGTTTGAGATGAAGATGTTGGGTGAGCTGAACAACTTTCTTGGTTTGGAGGTTGAAAGGATGAAGGATGGAATATTCATCGGCCAACATAGCTACGCAAGAAGGATTGTAGAGAAGTTCGGGGTACACGAAGGAAAGACACGTACTACTCCGATGGATGCGAACATCAAGCTGAAGCGCGATGAAGGATCCTTGCTACCCGATCCTCGGCCTTATCGTTCTCTTGTGGGAAGTCTTCTATACTTAACCATTACAAGACCTGACATTTCCTTCGCGGTTGGTCTTGTAAGTCGGTTTATGCAGTCACCAAGGAAGCCACATCTAGAAGCGGCAAAGAAGATCTTGAAGTATGTGAAGACAACTCTTGGCATGGGTCTAATGTACAAGTACAATGCCAAGGTCTCTCTCTATGGCTTCACGGATGCTGACTTTGGTGGAGATCTAGATGGTCGAAAATCAACTTCGGGCTTTGTGTTCTTGTGTGGAGACACAAGCGTTTCATGGTGCAGCAAGAAACAAGCAACGGTGTCGCTGTCTACCACTGAAGCGGAGTATAAAGCTTCGACGCTCGCAGCCCAAGAGTGTATTTGGCTTCGAAGGCTTCTTGAAGATTTGTTTGAGCCAATCAACAAGCCGGTTGCCATATATGGAGATAACCAAAGTGCTATCAAGCTGGCTAACAATCCGGTGTTCCATGCAAGGACGAAGCATATTGAGTTGGAACATCACTTCATACGGGAGAAGGTGCTTGATGGAACAATTGAAGCTTTGGAGGTTCGAAGTGAGGATAATGTTGCAGATATCTTCACCAAGTCACTACCAAAAGGTCAGTTCGAGTTACTTCGCTCGAAACTCGGGATGGTTGATAAAATCAAGTTTAAGGGGGAGTATTGAAATTAAACTTGATTTTGATCAAGGTTTAATTTTGGGTCCATAAACAAATTATTATTAAACCCAAAATTAGGCCCAAGTTCTAGAACTCTCTAGAAACATCATAAGAGGTCATCACTTCCTCAAATTTTCTAGAGAATTCTACTAGATAACTCTCTAGATATTTATGTAGAACTTTCTAGTTCTTGTAAGACAAGAAATCTAGATATTATGTTAGAGAGTTCTAGAGATTAGGATAAACTTGTAAGATAATTTGTAGAAAGTTGTAGAAGAAGAAGAAGAAATATCTAGGACCTAAGGAGGTTATAGAAGAGTGTAGAAACTTTGTAAGTAGATTTGGGAGGCTATAAATACCTCCTCACCCCCTCATTTGTAAATGCACAAGAAATTGAACAAGTTAATAAAGAGTGTTCTAAAGCTAAGTTCTCTCTTGTTCTTCTTAAAAGTCTTTCAAGTATTCTCTTGTGTTCTTCCATATTTCTCTTCATACTTAGAGGGTTTATTGTTTCTTTCGGGTTTCTCGGGTATTACGGTCTTGGGCTAGTGCTAAGCACTATCGGTGCTGGTTTCTCTACAAATACTCCAAATGTGAAGAAGCTATTAAGTCTTTTCTCACACAAACAAAACACGTGAAGAGACTGGAAAAACGATATGGCTTTTGGGCAATGGTTGTCGTTTCTCATACAAACAAAAACATTGCGTCTGTAAATAGGTTGTAATATTAGGACATTCATATAGTAAATAAGAGTAGGATTTTGAGCAGCAACTGTAAATTTAGGAAGTTGAAACTCGTGAGGGAAAAGAAGAGGAAAATTAAGGAAATTGAAACATCTGTAAGAAGACATTTATATATTGGGAAACATTGGATTTTATGTTTAATTAACTTTTGGGTTGGCTTATGTTTCAAATTGTAAAATGGGTAGTTCACTGTTTTTCCCTTGTTATTGGCCCTCAAGATGCAAAAGTCATCTCTCTCTCCTGATTTCCTAATTAAATTTTGCACCCACCTCTTTCACCTATTTCGAACTTGAAACTACCTACTATGGAAAGTATCCCTTATATATTTTAATTTCCTCAGATTTTGTTTCTCGTCAAGCTTGGGGAAGCGAAACTGATTTTCCTTCTCAGTGGGACTCTGTTATGTATTAGATTAGGCTGGTTGGTTTGAGAGATGGTTTTGTGACACGAAAAGTCTAGTAAATGCGTGTGTTTTGTCAATGTGACTTGAAAAGTCCTGCCCAACAAACTTTTAACCAACTCAAACTGAATTAACAAATTAAAGCTGGTTAAATAATAACAGCTTAACGATCAAATTTCAAACCCAAAACGTCTCCCCAAATTTGAAATCTATAATCTCTAGAATGTCTTCATGTCTACGTATAATCATGAGCTTTCTTTTACTTTACATTAGAAAATGACTGCAAGGCATGAAAAAGACATTTGTACGTATTAAAAAGTTACAATCCTAAGAAATACAAAAGTAACGATCAAAACATAAGTTTCGGTCCAGAGCATCGTGGTCCAAATGATAAAGATGGACTCTTTCCTGCACCCAGGTTGTGAGTTCAAACTTTGCTGGAGGGAATTATTTCATGATCGTCTCTGGACACCTACACGGATATGGGCTCCTGCTTATATTCCATTTGAATATTCGGAGAGAGGGTCTATCGTCAGCTGCACCTCCCCCAGAGGATTAGTCTGGGCCGTCCATAGGCTTAGGATTTACCCCTGAATTATCAAAAAAAAAAAAAAACTTTAGTTTCGGTTTATCTTTTACTTTAGAAATTAATTCTTGAAATGATGCCAGCTGCTAAATTTATTAGTCTCCTTAATGCCAGCTATCGAAGTTTCCTACTCTTTCGTCTAATGAGCAATAAAAGAGGATATTTCTAAGATATGTGGACTTCGATCTTTTGTTCGTAAAAACGAAATTGTGGAGATCCGGTATAATCGAACACATTTTCAATCTTTTAGAATTATTAAATGGGTTATTATTTTCCCACCTTCCTCTACACGTCAGTGAGTGTAGACTTACTTTTCGTCTAAAGACGAAGGTAGGGAGGGATATCTACATTTTTTTTTTTTTTTAGAAAATATTTCCTAGAATTTGTGGACAAATGTTTTCCCTTGACGAAGAATTTGTAGAGACTGTATAGCGAACCGATTTTTTTTTTTCTTTTTCTAAGCAAATTAAGGCCAAAGGGTTACGAACCGGAATTTTTCCTAGAATTATTATATTGGTTCGTTGGTTTATAGTTCTAGTATTATTATAACTTTGCCACCATTTGGTAAAATCATAATTAAATTAAGAGATTTTTAGTCTCATAGACATATCTTATCTTAACAATTAGCATAAGAAATATATAACCGTTGCATGTAATGTTAAATTAATAATGTATTTATCGGCAAATAGCATGGAATATCAACGTAGCATTTTTCCACTGAATTTTCCACTGAAATGGAATTTGATTCAAGTCCGACTTGAAAAGTCCTGCCTCACAAATCATCCCATGTTTCACGTTGATCGTTGTAGTCACAGACTCACAGAAAGAAGATACTATAAATGGGAGCTTCATGAGATGTGAAATCACAAACCAAGGAAGTCGAACCATGTCTTCTTGCGCCTCTTTGATTTTCCTTTTCCTTTTCACCTTCCTCCCTAGCTTCAAAGCTTCTGTTAGAGATCCTATTTTCCTATACGGGTTTTGTCCAAATACGACAACATTCTCCAGAAACAGCACTTACTTCACCAATCTCAAAACCCTTTTGTCCTCTCTCTCTTCCCCAAACGCCTCATACTCCACCGGATTCCAAAACGCCACAGCCGGAAAATCCCCCGACAGGGTCACCGGACTTTTCCTCTGCCGCGGAAGCCTCTCCCCTGAAGCTTGCCGTAACTGCGTCGCCTTTTCCGTCAACGACACCTCAATTAAGTGTCCGAATGAGAGGGAAGCCGTGCTCTTTTACGAAGAGTGCATGCTCAGATACTCTCACCAGAATATTCTCTCGACCGTTACATACTATGGAGGATACATCCTGATGAATGCCCATAACATTTCATGTAATGAAGCAGACCGGTTCGGAGATTTGGTGTCGTCCACGATGAATCAAGCTGCCCTTGAAGCGGCGACCAGTCCTAGAAAATTCTCCACGATAAAGGCCAACTGGACCGCACTCACGAGTCTGTACGGGCTGGCTCAGTGCACTCCTGATCTTAGAAAACAAGACTGCTTGAGATGTCTTTATCGATCCATCTATCGAATGCCTCTTAACAGAGTTGGAGGAAGACTTCTATGGCCAAGCTGTAGTGCAAGGTACGAACTTTACTCATTCTACAACGAAACCGCCGTTAGAACACCATCACAACAACCACCGCCACCAGGACAACAGCCTACCAACGTCTCTACTTCTCCGGTGTCGTCTACTCCACGACCTGGTGAGCTCTTTCTTCTTCCTATGTTTTCTCGAAATTTACAATACCATTATATGGCAAGTTTTTTGTGTGCTTGTGATTGTGTCTAAGCAAATAATCTTTAAAACGCAGGGAAAGGTGGGAATTCAAACGTATTAGTAGTAGCCATCGTTGTGGCTATTATAGTTATTGTTCTGCTTTTCACAGCTGGCTACTGTTTCCTTGCAAAGTGGGCAAAGAAGACTTCTGATATTGCACCAGCTTTTCATGGTAAATTTTGAATGATTTCACCAGCTTAACTGTGTTCGGTTAATGTTTTTTTTTTTTTTAATATGATTACTACGACGTTTATTGTACAACAGGAGACGATATAACAACGGTAGAGTCGCTGCAACTTGAGTATAGAACAATTCAAGCTGCAACAAATGATTTTTCAGAGAGTAATAAGATTGGTCAAGGTGGATTTGGTGAGGTTTACAAGGTACTATACATCACTATTAATTTAATTAATTTGCATGCGCCTGAGGTTGTTTGTATCAACACATCATTTGATAACGAGATGAAAACGGATAGGGTACATTTTCGGATGGGACTGAAGTTGCGGTTAAGAGACTGTCAAAAACATCCAGGACAAGGTGACACAGAATTCAAGAACGAGGTTGTTGTTGTTGCAAAGCTTCAACACAGAAATCTTGTTAGGCTTCTCGGATTTTCTCTACAAGGAGAAGAAAGGGTGTTGGTGTACGAGTATGTGCTTAACAAAAGCCTTGATTACTTCCTCTCTGGTCAGTTGCATTTATTGTTTTTTTTTCCAATGATTCTTTAGCCATTCTTGAAATTTCTTTAGATTAAGTGTAATATCATCATGGATGTGCACACACAGACCCTGCCAAGCAAGGTCAACTGGACTGGCAGACTCGACGATACAAGATCATTGAAGGGATTACTCGGGGGATTCTATATCTTCATCAAGATTCACGGCTCACGGTCATACACCGTGACCTCAAAGCAAGTAACATTCTCTTGGATGCTGACATGAATCCGAAAATCACTGATTTTGGAATGGCAAGGATCTTTGGAATGGACCAAACACAAGAGAACACAAGCAGAATAGTTGGTACCTAGTAAGTCTTGCACTTAGCTTCTCATAATTTATTGACATTATTTCGCCAACATACTAAAGTCGTGTTTTGGATTTCAGCGGATACATCTCACCGGAATATGCGATGCATGGTCAATTTTCAATGAAATCTGATGTCTATAGCTTCGGAGTATTAGTTCTTGAGATTATAAGCGGCAAGAAGAATAGTAGCTTCTACGAGACAGATGATGTACATGATGACTTGGTCACATATGTAAGTTTTTTAATTACCTATCTTACAATAAGCAACGGTTGCAAATACTGATTTATCATATATATTCTAGGCATGGAGACTTTGGAGTAACGGTACAGGGTTAGACCTCGTGGATCCAATTATTGTAGATAATTGCCAGAGGAATGAAGTTGTTCGATGCATCCATATCGGTCTTTTATGTGTTCAAGAAGATCCTGTTGATCGTCCGACCTTTTCAACCATTATTGTGATGCTCACTAGTAATACTGTGACACTACCAGTGCCTCAGCAACCCGGATTTTTCGTTCAGAGTAGACCAGAGAGAGACCCGCTTGATACAACAGATCAGTCTACTACAACCAAGTCTTTTGCAACGTCTGTTGACGATTCATCCATCACTGATTTATACCCTCGTTGAGTAGTGTTGCGGCGACAAGCTTGAACCAATTGGTATTTTTTGAAAACTAGCTTAAAACTTTTCTAGCTGTCAAATTAACCGCAAGCAAATTTTAAAAGGTGAACAAATCGGTTTATATACATGTCATCCTTACCTTGATTTTTTCACACACTATTTTAAATTAAAATCAACTCGGTTTATATACATGTCTCCCCATTCCGAAAACTGCAATTTTTGGGTTCATAGCAGCGTCTAAGAGGATGTTACTTGCTTTGAGGTCACCGTGTATGATTGTGACTTGTGAGCCGTGAATCTTGATGAAGATATAGAATCCCTCTAGCAATTCCTCCTATGATCTTATACCGTGTAGTCCAATCCAGCTGGCTTTTCAATGTAAAATCTGGGCAATCCTTTTTTACAATGTTATATATAAAACACTACAATAGTCTCAAGAATGGGGTTGAAGTTGAACAATGAAAAGTGTACGGCTAAAATATTATATTAACTGACCAAAAAGGAAGTGATCGAGACTTTCGTTAGCCACAAACTCATAGACAATTATTTTCTCTTCTCTGTCATAACAAAATCCGAGAATCTTGACAAGATTTCGGTGCTGAAGCTTTGCCACAACAAGAACCTCATTCTTGAATTCTTTTTCACCTTGTAATGATGTTTTCGATAGTCTCTTCACCGCAACCACAACAAGAAAACTTATCCATTGCAGCTTCAACAGCTTTAAAATCAAACTGCCAAGTCCCAAGTACCAGCAGTTGTAATATCATCCCCATCTGCAAAGTCATATGTTTTCTTGCAGGACACGTAATAATAGTGCAGTTCTATTACGTTACCATGTTCCATTTCAAAACACATTGATCTCTTGTTGTCTGTAAAGTTTTACTTTAAAATCGGAAATTGCAAACTTGTATCATTTGTGACTTAAACATTCAGTCTCTAATGTTTTGGCTGATGAAACTAGACGAATGTAAACCGGAACCTATTAATTAACTTAACCGATAGTATCATATTAATTTGGTGAATTTGAATTCTCTGTTTTCGCTCTAGTAAGTTAGGAATTCGGGATTTAGCATTTTAGATCATACTAGACTAATGCCCGCGCATACGCGCGGGTTTTGTTGTTGTTAAAGTTTTTAAAAAATGCTCGAAAACAATTTTAGATTTGCAATTATTAATATTATAAAGTATAATCCAATAATATCCATATTTAATTTCTATTTGTTGGTTAGGGAATGACTTTCAAACATATATTTTTGTATCATACCACATGTCTATGAACCATTAACTCTATTTGTTTACTCACGACCACATAGAACGGACTCTACTAATAGAGTGATTTTTGCTATCGATTTTTGCTAAATCCATTTCTCCATATATTAGGAGAATTTAGATGTTTAATAATAACTCAAAATGGAAGTCGAAATTTAAAAGTCTTGGATTAATAGAGTGATTATTATTATCATAATTTGAAATGTATAAGATTTAGAGTTATTGACTGGAAAGAAGAGGAAAAGTCATGCCAGAATATCAATTAATGGAGTGTTGAAACAACATGGAAGGTGAAGCAACTGACGGTTTTGAAACCTATTATAACTGTAACGACTAAGAATGTGAAGAGACTGCTCTCTTTAAAAGTTTTGCCACATGTCAATCATATGGAGAGAGTTGGCCTCAATTCATATATATGATTCTACTTTAAATAATGATGTGTTGGGCATATTTAATCATTGAAATATATATATATATATATATATATATATATATATATATATATAAGTTCATGCAATTCTATTTTGGTGTTGCCACATCATGAAAAAAAACTCCTTATAAATTCACCAATTCGTCACGTCAGTACTTTATTTAATTTATTATATTTTTTCTTTTTTTCTGGTCCACTTTTTTTTCTTCCTATACTGTCTAATTTCACTACCTTTTCTTAGAAGTCTGTAAATGATGTAGTGTTTAAGAGGTTCCAAAACATGGAAGATCGTAGAGTAGTTTTGTAGGAGTTTTTGATTTTTTCTTTTATCATTTACGGACTTTTGTAGTTTTCAGTATTATTTTAAGATTTTTTATTATTATTCATGTGCCCCATGTTAAATATATTTCTGCGTCCGCCCCTGGGTGGACAGAACGGACGGGGCGGGAAAGAACGGGACAAGATGAAAAAGAACGGAATGAGATAGAATTATGCTTATCCCTAATTATATTTAGGGACCGCGACGAGATGAAACGAAATGGGACATAACAAAATGGAAAGAAACATAGGGATATAATGGGATTGGACGGGACGGAACATATATGAGTACATGACGGATGAGACGGAAAAGAACAAACATGATGAAAATGAACAAAATGGGACGAGATGGAATAAGACGGTACAAATTTTTTGCCTAAATCTAATTATATTATAATATCTTTGAAACAGTATTAAATTTGCCGAAAAACAATAAAACTAACACAACCAGCGCGGGTCACCCCTAGTTAGGTTATAATTTTTCTATGTAGACTCCGCTAATTGCTGATTTTGCTGATTTCGCCGCCTGTTACCGGACGGATTGTTCTGCGTGAAGACTGGTTTCACCGATATAAATATTGTATTTTTTTGGTATTACGACTTACGAGGCAAAGACGATTCCAAAAGAAAAGGAGACTTGGTTACAGGAAAATACTAGTACTAAAGAGAGAGAAATTGTGAAGCACCTATGAGTCTTTGTGTTTTGTCTTTACTTTGTATTAGTCTTTGTCAAAAGACTCCTGATTTTTATTAGTCTTTGACGTACGTCTTCTTGGACAAGCCTTTATGTAATTTTCTGAGTCCACATATTATGTGAAGAAAGAAAAATTATTGACTTTTTGATCTTTGAGTCTTTGACGCTTACCGTATGTACAAGGTTTGACGAATTCAACATAATTTTCAGAGAGATACTTTGATTTGCTGTTTAAAACTGGTAAAAATAAGAGAGATTTGTAAATGCTAAAAATACAAAGATTTTGATTTTGCTACATCGTAAAGGAACAATGAAGCAGATGATTTTGTTATCAATCCTCTGTTTTCTCTTCATAAGCTTTGGTGTTGCTTCAGTTTCAGCACAAACATGCATGAACGACTATCAGAAATTCAAGCCAAACGGTACTTACGACGCAAATCGCCGTCTCATCCTCTCTTCTCTTCCTTCCAATGTCACGGCTCAAGACGGCTTCTTCTACAGCGCTTCTATCGGACAAGAACCGAACCGTGTCTACGCAACAGGGATGTGCATCCCAGATTCAACTCCAGAAATGTGTACCGAATGTATCAAGAACGTTACTGATGGTTTAATTAAGAGTTGTCCTGAGCAAACCAACGCGTTTAACTGGACAAGTGATCCCACGCTTTGCTATGTGCGCTACTCCGACACTTCTTTCTCAGGAACTTTTGTTCTGTATCCGTATACAGTGCTCACCAGGCCTGGAAATACAACCTCTAATCTTACAGATTTCAAGGAAATATGGGACCGCTTAATCAGTCGTCTGGTTAATGCAGCCTCCGCAGCAAAAAGCACACCATCGTCTAGTAACAACCATTACGCAGCTGATTCAGCGGCTTTGACACCTGGCCAGAATATATATGCATTGATGCAATGCACGCCGGATATATCCTCTAGTGATTGTGAGGCTTGTCTGCGACGAAACATAGTTGACTACCAGGGATGCTGTGGTCTGAAGCAAGGAGGCGTTGTTATGCAGCCGAGCTGCTACCTCCGGTGGGAGTTGTATACATACTTTAACGCTTTTGGTAACATTAGGGTGGCTTCTCCTCCTCCGCAACCGCCTGTGTCTGTGCCTGTGCCTGTGCCACAACCTTCAGGTGATCAGGCCAACACGGAAAATGATTAGTCTTCCCGCTGAAAAAGCTAGGGGTATGACTCTGTAAGAAGATCTGAAATTTATATATGACATATTTTTTCTGTGTTGTCAGAAGGTAGCAAAGGAATCTCTGCTGGGGTTGTTCTGGCGATTACTGTTCCAACTGTTGTTATCGTCTTCATACTGATTGTTCTTGGATTGTCTCTTTTCAGGAGGAGAAAATCATTCCAAAGAGCTAAGATTAAATGTTAGTTCCATGTGTTTTAGCTCTGTATAGTTTTCATTCGTTATAAACATTTATCCATAAGCCAAGAGAGAAACAAATAGCATAGTTTGCTTTGCAGCTGCTAGTGATACTTCAACTGAAATCTCATTACAATACGATTTTGAATCATCATCATAATCTTAGTGGAGATAGCTTACTTTGCTGGAGGAGAAACCATACCAAGAATATGACTTTGATCAATGTGTGTGTTGTTCATATGCTTTTCTTTGGCCTCTTACCTTTTAGCATGCATGTAACTTAGTATGGAGTGATTTAATTACATCTTATTACAACACTCTCACAGAGTTTGTCTTTTATTTACATAATAATGCAGCTGGTATTACAACATTAGACTCCCTGCAATTCGATTTTCATACAATTGAAGTTGCAACCGAAAATTTTACAAGTAGTAACAAGCTTGGTCAAGGTGGATTCGGCGAAGTTTTCAAGGTATCATCATTTCTGTAGCTACGTGGTTCATTTCTGTTTACATTGTCTCATAGATGACATTTGTAGGGTACGTTGCCTAATGGAACAGAAGTTGCAGTGAAAAGGCTATCGAAAGCATCAGAACAAGGCGCAGAAGAGTTCAAGAACGAGGTTGTTGTTGTCGCAAAACTTCAGCATAGGAATCTCGTTAGGCTTCTCGGTTTTTGTCTCGAAAGAGAAGAAAAGTTGCTTATTTTCGAGTATGTCCACAACAAGAGCCTTGATTACTTCCTTTTTGGTATGTGATATATTTATTCAAGCTTCTTCTATAAAGTGAAGAAATCCAAAGTAGCTAAAAACAATTGTTCTATGTGTGGCAGACCCTACAAAGCAAGGGCAACTAGACTGGACAAAACGGTACAACATTATCCGAGGAATCACTCGAGGAATACTATATCTTCATCAAGACTCACGGCTCACTATCATACACCGTGACCTCAAAGCTAGCAACATTCTCCTAGATGCTGATATGAACCCTAAAATTGCTGATTTTGGAATGGCCAGAATTTTTGGGATGGACCAAACAGGAGCTAATACAAACAGAATAGCTGGGACACGGTATAAACCTATAAGGACCCCTTGATATGGCCTATGTAGTATATCTTCAAGAATCTATTCTTCATCAATGTATTTGTGTTTTACTCTTGCAGCGGTTACATGTCCCCAGAATATGTGATGCAAGGCAGATTCTCAACGAAATCTGATGTCTATAGTTTTGGGGTCATAGTTCTTGAGATAATAAGCGGCCAAAAGACAAGATTCGTCCACCAGTCACATACCATAGTTGAGAATTTGGTCACATACGTAAGAAACCAAAGAAGAACTAACGTCTTGATTGATGATTAAATATTTAACCAACAATATGTTAAATTGTGGTGGTTTTTAATTGTGTGTTCTTGATCAATGACTAAATAATGTTACAGGCTTGGAGATTGTGGAGAAACGGCTCACCACTAGAACTCGTGGATCCAGCCATTTCGGAGAATTGTCAACCCGAAGAAGTGACAAGATGCATCCACATTGCGTTGCTATGTGTTCAACACAATCCCACAGATCGACCCACCTTGTCGACAATTGACCTGATGCTCACTAGCATGTCCCTCCTATTATCTTCTCCTCATCAACCTGGATTCTTCTTTCCAAATAGACGCAACCAAGAACGAGATGGCTCCGAGTCTAGCCAGTCTACGATCAGGTCCACTTCACACACTATCAATGAAGTGACCATTACAGATCTTGATCCTCGTTGAACATTGTGTTATCCGAAAGTTATGTATGATAGGTGAGATATATAATACTATTTAACAAAAAAATGTGAGATATATATGGTTTTTGTTTTATTTTTGGGCCAGAGTCATTTCTACGTTGTTACTGTACGTGGGGGATGTACCGAAGTCCCTATGCATTTTAGGTTATTTTAGATGGATTTAGAAAAATGTCTTTGTGACTTTGATGGGATTTTTTTTTCTTTTTAAAAGAGGTTGGGTGATTTATCAGAGTATATATCTGTAATTTACCAAAATTTAACAATTAACTAACCCTAAATACTAAAATATAGATCTTTAGACTTGTATACTTTAAAATAAGACATGAATTTGCATTTTCGATTACCAGAAAAATTAAAATATCTATATAATAAATAATAATCAAACAAAAAATACAAATAACCCGAAAACCGAGATTATTCGACCCAAAAATATCCAAACTGAGAAAACCGATAACCGAAACTATCCAAACCGAAGTAAGTATGGATCTAGTATATATGGTAGCTATTTTTTATTAACCGAAAAACCCGAACCGAAATCGAACCGATATCCGGATTGAATACACCTAGAAAAATCCTAAACACGAAATCCAAAATATTAAACTCTAACCCAAATATTTAAATTATAAATCTTAAAAGTCAGTTTTTTGGCATTTTTGTAAAATTCCATTTATTTATACATTTAGAAATCAAAATTAGTGATTGTATTTTTAGACCAAAATTTTAAGTTATTCCTTCAGAAAAAATGCCAAGAAGAAAAGTTTCTTCTAAAGGATGATTAGTCATTCTCAATCTTCTTCTTAGACTTAGAGTATGGAATGGATTTAACTCAACGTATGATACAGCATGGTCTTACTCAACGTATGACTCAACATGGTCTTCCATTAGGAGCTTCTTGTATCATACCTTCGTGGAAATTTTTATCCAGAAATGGTTATTAATGGGGTATCTCAATAGCTTCATAATTCATTCTGTTTTGAAAAGAACAACACATTACCATTGAAAATGTCTTTACTATTCCTCTTGTTTGTCCTCACGAGCACTAGTCTTGTCTCTGCATTTCCATTCAAAAACACAACACTTCCATGCATAAACACAACCCTCTTTGCACCTAATTCTACGTTCGATACAAACCGTCGCTTAATCCTCGCATCTCTTCCTTCTATAGTCCCATCTCACTATGGCTTCTACAATGGCTCAGTAGGTCAATTTCCTAACAAAGTATATGCCGTAGGGATGTGTATTCCAGGTACTGAGGAATCGATTTGCACACGTTGTCTCGTTCTTGCTTCCAATTTTTTACTAGAAACTTGCCTCCAAGAGAAAAATGCTCATAAATGGTTGGTAAACATAACTGTTTGTATGGTCCGGTACTCTGATACTTCCTTTGTTGGTTCGTTAGAGTTAGAGCCGCATGTTGAGTTTCTCAGTCCTAGCGGTTACAGAGCCAATGAAACAGAGTTCACTAGAGTATGGAATGGATTAACTCAACGTATGATACAAGAAGCGTCCTCTAGCACAGATGCAACATGGTCTAGTGCCAAGTACTATGCAGCTGATGCAGCCGCCTTGCCTGATTCACAGGCTCTCTATGCAGGGATGCAATGCACTCCTGATTTGTCTCCGTCTCAGTGTAATCTCTGTTTAACCAAATGTCTTGGTAACTATCAGAGATGTTGCCTTAGCCGGCAAGGAGGCTCTGTCGTTAGGCTAAGTTGCGCTTTTCGAGCAGAGTTATATCCATTTTCTGGACTTTTTACTGTTATGACAGCAAGACCTCTATCCCAATCTCAACCGCCGTTAACCATGACAGGTAAATCATTTGAAAAAGCTATGAGTCATGTCACAAGATCCTTTGAAAAAATTCAGAACTTATATCTTGTATACCGTTTTGTTCTTTTGGCAGAAAGCAAAAAGAAATCTACGGGAACTATTGTAGCAATTGTTGTTCCCATTGTAGTGGTCATCACCTTCTTGGTACTGCTTGCTCGCCGATTTTCTTGGAGGAGAAAACCATATCAAGAAACTTGTCTTGATCAATGTGAGTTTTCTTTGGCCTCTTAGCTTTTAGCAAATAGTCTATGGAACTAAGAACATTTATTAGACTAGCAATGATGGTAACATTTTTCAGCTGATATAAGATAGTTTTGTGTGTTTGATTTGATACTTGCAGCTGGTATTACGACTGTGCACTCCCTACAGTTTGATTTTAGGACAATTGAAGCTGCAACTGACAGATTTTCACAGACTAACAAGATAGGTCAAGGTGGATTTGGTGAAGTTTACAAGGTACCTGGTTCATCACTTTTTCTTGAAAATACTTGGAATTATAGAGTTAGAGTAAGCTGGTGGCTCATGTCATATTGGGATGTGTAGAAATTAATGGACCATAGAACCTTAATCTCTAAAGAGTATGTTTAACTTATGTCACACATGGAAAGTTGGCAGGGACTTTGAATAATATACAAGGGACTTGGGGGCCACTCCACTCATTACCAATTAGTTTTGAGCTATATGCCCAAATAAGTTAACATGTGTTCTTACTTTTTTAGGGAACGTTAGTTGGTGGAACAGAAGTTGCAGTGAAGAGGCTGTCAAAAACATCAGAACAAGGCACACAAGAGTTCAAAAACGAGGTTGTTCTAGTGGCGAAACTTCAGCATAGGAGCCTTGTCAAGCTTCTTGTCTGGAAAGAGACGAAAAGATCCTTGTTTATGAATTTGTCCCCAACAAAAGCCTAGACTATTTCCTTTTTGGTCTGTGTGCATTATATTCTTTATTCTTTCATGATGAATTAGACTTAAATGGTTGAAATGAATTACTAGTTGTGTATGTGCAGATCCTACAAAGAAAGGGCAGTTAGATTGGACTAAACGATACACCATTATCATGGGAATCACTAGAGGAATTTTATATCTTCATCATGATTCACGTCTCACAATCATACACCGTGATCTCAAAGCCAGCAACATTCTTCTAGACGCAGATATGGACCCGAAAATTGCTGATTTTGGAATGGCGAGGATCTTTGGAATAGACCAAAGTGTAGCTAACACAAAAAGGATAGCTGGAACTTTGTAAAATACTAACTACCCTATGAAAAGAAATCTCAAGAATCTTTTCTTTACCTTAATATTTTTTTGTGTTTTAATCTTGCAGCGGTTACATGCCTCCGGAATATGTGATCCACGGCCAATTCTCAATGAAAACTGACGTGTACAGCTTCGGTGTCTTAGTCCTTGAGATTATATGTGGCAAGAAGAACAGAAGTTTCTCCCAAGAAAACAATACAGATGAGAATTTGGTCAGCTATGTGAGTACTAACGAAGATTTTTTGTTTTACTATATCTTTATCTTCTTGAAATTGTAATGGCAAGTTCTTGATTGAACATTACATTGTATATTACAGGCTTGGAGGTTGTGGAGAAACAAATCACCATTAGAGCTCGTGGATCCAACCATTCAAGAGAATTATCAGAGCGAAGAAGTGACAAGATGCATCCACATTGCGCTCCTATGTGTTCAAAAAGATCCAAAACATCGTCCCAACATGTCGACTATCATGCTGATGCTCACTAGCAATTCCGTTAATTTACCTGTTCCTCAACCACCTGGATTCCTACTTCCACACAATCATGGCGTTGAGTCAAGCCAATCTCCAATGAGGCCCACTTCTCAGACTCTCAATGATGTGACTGTTGTGGAGCCTCGTTGAAGTTGTTATTAGGTTCTGTTTTTGTGGAACTGTTACTGAAAACAAGGATCTACATTTTTGAAACTAATCAAAATATATACATAATGTGTATATTCAAGGTTATGTATGAATTTTAAGCTATGTTCTGATAACTTTGAATATTTTTTTTTTTATAAAGTTCAGATTAATTTGTCATTTGTACATTGTAAGATCAGCTATTTGTTAAGAAAATTTCTGATTTCCTATGTATGGATCCACTATCAACATTGAATTGATCCGTTTATATAAACGTCCCAAACCGGTTTATTAAGTTAACCGGTTTTTCTATTTCTTCTCCGCCATAAGCTTTTTTTTCACTGAACTCGTTTTAGGAATTTCTAATCGAGGGATTGGATTTCTGATTCAGTGGCGATTTTGGGTTATCCAAAGTTCACGACTTTTCGATTTCGAGGTAACAAAGGAGGATAATTTATAGAAATCTGGGCTGCGTCTTCTTGTTATTTACTTGCAACTTGATGATTTTGTTGCTTTGTAACTCTGTTTCATGCTTTATCCAGCCAAATTGTCATACTTTCCTTATCCGAAATCATTTGAGCTCTCTCGTCTTCCTGTAGTTCGATATCCTCTGAAAAAATGTGTGGTGCTTCCTTCACATTTCGTCTATTTGCTTAGAATCATCCACTATGTGCCTCTTGGCAACTTGTTCATCTCGGTACCACTTTGCTTTTTTTCTTTTCAAATACAATTCTCACGAAGATTGGCTCGATTACATTTTTTAGTACCTGGCTCATAATTACATTTTTTACGACAAATTCAATGTGGATAGGTCCCATTTGTTAAATGTCATCCTCTCTGGCTATGTGATGAGTGAAGTCAAGTGCGCTCATTAAAGTGACAACACATTCATATTTATGCATTACATATCTTACACATTCATAGCGTTTGTTTACTTGTTCTGAAAAAGTGAAAATGAAACAAAGTACTAATCTTTGTATATGTATAAACCAAACTGTATTTTCCGGTGGGATTTGTATCCATTTAATGGTGCTTTTGATCATATTACTTCCCTCAGTGCCTCAACGGCCACCTTCTTTGAAACAACCTGTGTCAAATGGAACCTTTACAGCCCAAGATGGTATATTATTCTATCTCTGGTCGTAAGAATAACCTGTGGAAAGATTGAAACTGTCATTTTGTAAGTTACCTTCTCTGTTGGGCTTGTGCAGATAGTAAAACAGTCTCAAAGGGAATCATCTTGGCATTTGTTGTTCTTGCTACTGTTATCGTCTTGGTGCTGCTTGCTCTGGGATTTGCTGTTTGCAGGAGGAGGAAGTCACACCAATCATTTTATTGTCAGTGTGAGTTTGCTTTTTGTTTCTACCATCATTTCCTTGATTGGCTCTTATCTGTAGGAAGTATACATCAATTTATAAAACCTATGCGTTTTGCACTTCTGAATTGAAGTGACCTATATGCGTTTCTGTATGCATCAGCTGGTATTGATATTACAAGTACACAGTCACTGCAATTTGATTACAAGACAATCGAAACTGCAACAAATAAGTTTTTAGAGAGCAACAAGATTGGCCGTGGTGGATTTGGAGAAGTTTTCAAAGTGTAGTTTCTTAGACCTAGGAAGACTGCATAACACATCAATGAGAGGTGGTAATAAATAATGTTTCTTATATTCGTTGTAGGGCGTTCTTCCAGATGGGACAGAAGTGGCAGTGAAGAGGCTGTCAAAAACCTCAGGACAGGGCGGAGAAGAGTTCAAGAACGAGGCTGTTGTGGTGGCAAAGCTTCAGCATAGAAATCTTGTTAGGCTTCTCGGATTTGTTTTAAAAGGAGAAGAGAAGATACTTGTGTACGAGTTTGTCCCCAATAAAATCCTCGATCACTTCCTTTTCGGTGAGTCAAGTTTAATACATAAGAAGAGTCATAATGATTAATGATCATGCCTTTACTATGTGAAACATGAATTGTATATACCATTTATATGTGCAGACCCTTTAAAACAAGGCTTAGTGGACTGGACAACACGATACAGTATCATTGGAGGGATTGCTCGAGGAGTTCTTTATCTTCATCAAGATTCACGGCTCATATTCATACACCGTGACCTCAAAGCTAGTAACGTGCTCCTAGATGCAGATATGAATCCAAAAATTGCGGATTTTGGAATTGCTTGGATCTTTGGGATGGACCAAACTCGAGCTGAAACACGTAGGATAGTTGGAACATAGTAAGTATTTTTTTACCTTTCAGCTAAAGTTTGACAAAGTTTTTAGTTTGTGTGTAAAGTTATACGTTCTCTTTTGTGCTCTTCCAGTGGTTACATGTCTCCAGAATATGCAATGCAAGGCCATTTCTCCATGAAGTCTGATGTCTATAGCTTTGGAGTCTTAGTTCTTGAGATTATAAGCGGCAAGAAGACTAGCAGCTTAGACCAGACGGACGGTAATATTAGCAACTTGGTCACATATGTGAGTACCAACAAAAACCAAATTTCAAAAAATTCAACTTCCTAAGTTTGAGAGAAGTAATGGAATTTGGTTGTCATGTTTAGGCATGGAGGCTTTGGAGAGAAGGTTCACCATTAGAGCTAGTGGATCCGGCCATAGGAGGGAACTATCATAGCAATGAAGCAACAAGATGCATCCATATTGCACTGTTGTGTGTTCAAGAAGATCCTGCAGATCGTCCGACTTTGCCTTCGACTACCTTAATGCTCACTAGCAACACAGTTACTCTACCACTGCCTCAACAACCTGGATTTTTTCTTCCATAGTAGAGTTGATCAAGACATTGTAGCTGAGGGCTTATATTCAAGTTCTACGGCAAGATCAGTTCCTTGTTCTGTGAATGACGCATCGATTACTGATTTAGAGCCTCGTTGAAGATGGAAAAAGTCCAAGAGTGTGAGTGTCTCTTCCACTACACTGATTAAACTGATTATTGGTATGGAAGTAAGCTGTAAATTGATGGATCCAGTTGTGCATTCTCTGTTTTAGCTGTACTTTGTTTAGGATTTGAATTATTAACATCAATATGTTTTAATTTGTATGTGTAGACTCCATTGATTGCTGCTTTGGCTGCTCATACTGCTCTGTTTCAACAGTTGGTTTCATGTGTATAAAATTGTAAATTCTACTTTCTTACTCTATTGTTGACCTCCTGTAACTGTAAGTATGTCACATAATTTCAGATATTTTGATTGATTCCATATAACCAAAATTAATTTATTTACAAACCAACGACACACTAACCAATTTCTCTTCTTCTACTTGTCCTTGTTCTACAACTTCGTCAATTTCTTGAAGCTGTTAAAAGTAAATGATTCAAAACCGGGCAAGTTTTCATATGATTGCACTAGAGTATTTAGATTTCCCACATAAATTCTCTAGAAGATTTCAAGAAGCTACATACAAGATTCTAGATATTCGATCAGTTTCATTTGGATTTGGTCAAATAATACTGACTAAGTGGGATCATTGACCCATTCATTATACAACTTGTCAAAATTAACATAATACTTCAATACACTTGCAGCGGTTTGGCTATATATATGCTTCAAACTGCTCTGCTTCAACGAATCAATTCTCGTTTCATAATCCACTATTTTTAAAAAAAAAAAGATTCTCTTTTGTTTACTTGGTCACAAAGGGATGATAAGTCTTTTACTTTATTTCCACACACACAAAAAAGCCAAAAAGAAAAGTTTCTGACTCTTCTTCTTAGAGTATGGAATGGATAATATCAACGTATGATACAAGTCATACAACATGGTCCTTCCATTAGGAGCTTCTTGGATCATATGTTCGTGGAAATTAGTTTCCAAAAGTGCTTATAAATGGGTTTCTCAAATTCTTAATAGCTTCATACTGTTCTATAAAACAAAACAAAAAAAACACATCATAACACATCAGTGACATTACCATTAAAAATGTCTTTTTTATTCCTCTGTTTTGTCCTCTGGAGCATTAGCCTTGTCTCTGCACTTCCATTCACAAACACAACACTTCCATGCATAAACACAACCCTCTTTACACCTAATTCTACGTTCGACACAAACCGTCGCTTAATCCTCACATCTCTTCCTTTTAAAGTCCCATCTACCTCTGGCTTCTACAACGGCTCAATAGGTCAATTTCCTAACAAAGTATATGCCGCAGGAATGTGTCTTCCAGGTACTGAAGAAGTGATTTGCACACGTTGTCTCTCGCTTGTTTCCCAATTTTTACTAGAAACTTGCTTCCAAGAGAAAAATGCTATGAGGTGGATAGCAAACGTAACTATTTGTATGATCCGGTACTCTGATACGTCCTTTGTTGGTTTGTTAGAGTTAGAGCCGCATAAGGAACATCTCAGTCTTAACGGTTATAGAGCGAATGAAGCTGAGTTCAGTAGAGTATGGAATGGATTGACTCAACGTATGATACAAGAAGCTTCCTCTACCACTGATGCAATATGGTCTAGTGCCAAGTACTATGTAGCTGATGCAGCCGCCTTGCCTGATTCGCAGGCTCTCTATGCAGCGATGCAATGCACCCCTGATTTGTCTCCGGCTCAGTGTAATCTCTGTTTAACCGAATGTCTTGGTAACTATCAGAGGTGTTGCCTTGGCCGGCAAGGAGGCTCTGTCAATAGGCTAAGCTGCGGTTTCCGGGCAGAGTTATATGCATTTTCTGGAGCATTTAGTGGTGTGACAGCAAGACCTCTGTCCCAACCTCCAACCAAGACAGGTAAATCATTTGCACAAACTATGAGTAATGTTACAAGATACTGTTAAAGGTATTCAAAACTCATATATATGTTATGGTGTTTTTGATATTTGGCAGAAAGCAACAAATTCTCAACGGGAACTATTGTAGCAATTGTTGTTCCTATTGTAGTGGTCATGATCATGATGATCATCATCATCATCATCTTCTTCTTGGTACTGCTTGCCCGCCGTTCTCAGAGTAGAAAATCATATCAAGAAGCTGATCTTGATCAATGTGAGTGTTGTTCATAAGGTTTCTTTCTTTTCTTGTCTTTTAGCATTATATCATATATATACTCAATGAAACTAAGAACATTTATTAGACTAGCAGATGATGGTTACAATTTTACTGGTGATAACAGATAGTTGTGTGTTTGATTTAATTCTTGCAGCTGGTATTACGACTCTACAGTCCCTACAATTTGATTTTAAGACAATTGAAGCTGCAACTAACAAATTTGCTCAGACTAACAAGCTAGGTCAAGGTGGATTCGGTGAAGTTTATAAGGTAAAGTTACTTAGTTCATCACTTGTCTTGAAAATATTTGGAATTCAGGCTGCTCATGCCATCATCTTCCATTTGTAGGGCAAGTTAGTTGATGGAACAGAAGTTGCAGTGAAGAGGCTGTCTAAAACATCAGAACAAGGCTCACAAGAGTTCAAAAACGAGGTTGTTCTAGTGGCAAAGCTTCAGCATAGGAGCCTTGTTAAGCTTCTTGGGTTTTGTCTGGAAGGAGACGAAAAGATACTTCTTTATGAATTTGTCCCCAACAAAAGCCTAGACTACTTCCTTTTTGGTCTGTGGGCATTACCCCATATATATAGTTTTTTTTCATGATGAGATTCTGATTTGACTTAGATGATCGAAATGAATAACTAGTGGTGTATGTGCAGATCCTTCAATGCAAGGGCAGTTAGATTGGACCAAACGATATAACATTATTATGGGAATCACTAGAGGAATTCTATATCTTCATCATGATTCACGTCTCACAATCATACACCGTGATCTCAAAGCCAGCAACATTCTTCTAGACGCGGATATGGACCCGAAGATCGCTGATTTTGGAATGGCGAGGATCTTTGGAATAGACCAAAGTGTAGCTAACACTAAAAGGATAGCTGGAACTTTGTAAAATACTAACTACCCCTATGAAAAGAACTAAATAAGTCTCAAGAATCTTTTGTTTACCTCTATAATCTAATATTTCTTATGTGTTTTAATCTTGCAGCGGTTACATGCCCCCGGAATATGTGATCGACGGCCAATTCTCAATAAAAACTGACGTCTATAGCTTCGGTGTCTTAGTCCTTGAGATTGTATGTGGCAAGAAGAACAGAAGTTTCTACCAATCAAATAATACAGCTGAGAACTTGGTCACCTATGTAAGTACCAAAGAAGAAACCTCCAGTATGTTACTTATTATTGTAAGTTCTTGATTTATCATTACTTCATGTTACAGGCTTGGAGGTTATGGAGAAACGAGTAACCATTAGAGCTCGTTGATCCAACCATTTCAGAGAATTATCAAAGCGAAGAAGTTAGAAGATGCATCCACATTGCGCTCCTATGTGTTCAAAATGATCCAAAGCATCGTCCCAACTTTTGGACTATCATGTTGATGCTCACTAGCAATTCCTTTAATTTACCTGTTCCTCAACCACCTGGATTCTTGCTTCCACACAATCATGGCGTCGAGTCAAGCGAATGTCCAATGAGGTCTACTTCTCAGACTCTCAATGATGTCACCATTGTGGAGCCTCGTTGAAGCTGATATGTTCCGTTTGGGAACTGTTACTGAAAACAAGGCAGGATCTACATTTCAGATAACTGCATTTGAAACTATATATGATGTGTAATTCAAGGTTACGTATGAATTTTTTTAAGTGTTATGTTCTGACAATTTTTTTCTTCTTCTAAAGTTCGGATAAATTTCTTCCCATTTCTACACTTTGTAAGTTTTATCATCCGTATACAACCCAAACCGGTTTATTAAGTGAACCGGGTTTTCTATTTCATCTCCGACTCATTCGGCCTTGAGCTTTCACTGAGTTTCACTGAACTCGTTTTAGGAATCAATCGACGGATTGGATTTCTGATTCAGTGGCGATTTTGGGTTATGCAAAGTTCACGACTTTCCGATTTCGAGGTAACAAAGGAGGAGACTTTGTAGAAATTTGAGCTGCGTCTGTTTGTTATTTACTTGTAACTGATGATTTTGTTGCTTTGTAACTCTGTTTCATGCATCCATCCAGTCAAATTGTCATACTTTCCTTATCCGAAATCATGCGAGCTCTCTCCTCTTGCTCTAGTTTGATATCCTTTGAAAAATTGTGTGGTGCTTCCTTCACAAATCGTCTATTTGCTTAGAATCATCCACTATGTTGCCTCTTGGCAACTTGTTCATCTTGGTACCACTTTGGTTTATTCATTTTTCAAATAATATTTGCAGATATGACAATGGAGCTACAGTCTCACAAATAATTGGCTCAATTTCCTTAGTGCATGGCTCATAATTACATTCTTTATTAAAAATTCAATGTAGATAGGTCCCATGTGTTAAACGTCATCCTCTCTGGCTATGTCAACTTGATGAGTGAAGTCAAGTGCGCTCATTAAAGCGACAACACATTCATATCTTACACTCCTACTTGCTACCGAGCTTTCTCAAAGCGTTTGTCAAAGTGTTTTGAAAATGAAACAGAATACTAATCTTTTGTCAATCTTCTGGTTTGTTCTTGTAGGCTTTGGTGTTGTCTCTGCACAACCATGCGTGAACAATGCGTTTTTCAGACCCAATAGTACTTACGACACGAACCGCGGCCATATCCTCTCTTCTCTTGCTTCAAACGCCACGGCTCAAAACGGCTTCTACAATGGTTCCGTTGGCCAAGGACTTGATCGAGTGTATGGAGTTGGGATGTGTATTCCAGGTGCTGAACCAAAGCTCTGCTCAGAGTGTATCCAGGAGGCGTCTGACGGGTTACTACAGAGCTGTCCTAACCAAACAGAAGCCTATACCTGGTCTGGTGGAGGTAAAACTCTTTGTATGGCAAGTTACTCCAACCGTTCGTTATCTGGCTCACTTGATATGGACCCTCCTTCTTTGGGGTACAATACTGGCGATATTAAAACTAACTCAACAGAGTTTGATAGAAGATGGGAAGAGTTAATGCAGAGAATGATAACCAAGGCTTCCACTGGCAAAGACGCATCGTTGTCTGATCGTAAGTACTATGCAGCCGACGTAGCAGCCTTGACAGCTTTCCAGAATATCTACGCGTTAATGCAATGTACGCCGGATTTATCTTCGAGGGACTGTAAAACCTGTCTAGGGACAAGTGTTGGTGACTATGAGAGCTGCTGCCATGGGAGGCAAGGTGGCTATGTGTTTAGGCCGAGCTGTATTTTCCGGTGGGATTTGTATCCGTTTAACGGGGCTTTCGATCATATTACATCGGCAGTGCCACCGGCATCTCCTCCAGCTTCTTTGAAATCCAACGCAACCATCATAAACCAGAAAGGTAAATTCTTTTATTGCAAGAACCTGTCACAACATAAAATCTACTTTAGTTGGACCAAGATTTGAATATGGCCTAAAAAAGATTCAAAACAGTATGCTTTAGTTTTCTTTCTTTTCAGTTGTGTAAGTTTTCTTCTATGTTTGGTTTGCACAGATAGCAAAACAATCTCAAAAGGAGTCATCGTGGCAATTGTTGTTTCAGCTGTAATTGTCTTATTGGTACTTGCTTCTCTAGGACTTGCTGTTTGCAGGAGGAGGAAGTCATACCAGTCACTTGATCATCAGTGTGAGTTTTTTTCATGTGTTTCCCATTTATTACTTTATTCTTTGTCATAAGAACCTATACAAATCTAGATATATGAGGTTTGTTTAGTTGACACTAGGAGAATCTTGGTGGATTTCTGAATTGAGACCTGTACATTTCTGTATGCAGCTGCCATTGATATTAGGACTACTCAGTCACTGCAATATGATCTTAAGACAATAGAAGCTGCAACAAATAAGTTTTCAGGGAGCAACAAGATCGGTCAGGGTGGATTTGGAGAAGTTTTCAAGGTAAAATTTCTTAGACTTTCTGGTTTGTTTGATTCTTAGAGAGTTTGGATAACACATCCAAGTGATGCTATATTCATTGTAGGGCGTGCTTCCAGACGGGACAGAAGTCGCTGTGAAAAGGCTGTCAAAAACAACGAGTCAAGGCGCACGAGAGTTCAAGAACGAGGCTGTTCTGGTGGCGAAGCTTCAGCACAGGAATCTGGTTAGGCTTCTCGGATTTTGTGTAGAAGGTGAAGAGAAGATACTCGTCTACGAATTTGTGCCCAACAAAAGCCTTGATTACTTCCTTTTTGGT